TTGAATCTTTCACAATATAGCAGCTATGTCACTAAATGGTAGAAAAGGGCAGAATCTTATGTCTCCCCATTCATAGGAATAATGCGTCAATTACACAAGTGTTAAGGTCTAGGCGGTATGCCACTTATTTGAAAAATTGATTGTTTGCCTGACTGGCATATAAATCTATCTGGGCTAAACTCTAGTTTTGCTAGGACCCTTGAGAGCACTGCTTTACTTAGCATCCATTCAGATTCCTTCCCTTGTCCCATTGATTCGAAGTCAGCTACAATATTTTGCTTGCCTGGTAGGTGAGCAATATTAATCCAGATTTTTTTTTATACACACTTCCCAAATCTTTTGTGCCATAGTATTACATATGTTGAAATTTGCTTGCACCCATATGATTTATTATTTTTATTGTGGTTGTGTTGTCACACAGTATTTTGATGTGCGTGTTCTTAATATGCTTTGCAAAGATCTGCAGACCTAGGTAGACTGCCAACATTTTTAAATAGTTAAGGTGGTTTATGGCCTCTGATTTAGTCCATGCCCCGCCTTTGGATGTTCCCTTATACTCTGCCTCCTATCCTGAGAGGGAAGCAACAGTTGTAATTGCATGTTGGGGGTTCTCCCTTGACAATTTCTATGACAAATTTTCTGCATTAGAGACCGAACATTGTAGTTCGGGTTTTGCACCCTGTGATACATTATGGAGTCAAAAGTTCCTTTTGAATCTCTCAAGTCTATAGTTTTATCTCTTTTTACTTCTCTATACAGCAAGGGCCCATACATTACCCTTGGGAAGCTTGCTACTATTTTCTCAATGACACTGGCAAACACATTTTATTGATTGTGGTTTAGTTGCATCTAGTAACGATTTACAATTATTCCTCAAACCTTTTTCCCTTTTAGCAGTTAGCTTTATTGTCTTTGTCACCGAGTTAATAAGAAACCCTAGGATAATGATTTCTTGTTATGGAATTAGACATGATTTGGTAGTATTTGTGATAAATCCTAGATTCTCAAATAATATGAACGTATCAGTCATGTTAAGGACACATTTCTCAAATGTTTGCCTTGAAGATAGTAGTCATCAATATGCACTAACGAAATGTGTCCACTTGAGAGCAAATTTGCTAAAACCGATCTCAAAGCTTTAGAGTATATCCTGGGTGCACATGAAAGCCCATTTGAAAAGAATGCAAATTAAAAAATTGACGATCGTAAAATCGATCGCCATGACGATCGTAAAATTTTTGATTCGATGCCCTTATAGGTATAGCGTAGAAGACATCTTTTAAGTCCTGTAATGCCATTAAACAATTTTTTGTTACTAGCTTGGTGACATTGTGAATAGAGTTCATCTTAAAATGATGATAGACTACTCACTCGTTAAAAGCCTTCAATTGGAGAATAAGGCAATGTGACCCATTGGGTTCTAATTTAGGTCATGAAAATATGGTAGAAAGGATTTGTCCAGTTTCATAATGCACTTTTCTCCTCGTCAAGCAAGGGGCATTCACGCGGGAGAATTTTTTATAGGCGTAGCTTATGTTGCGCTGAGTCCTCAGTGCTTTTGACTTGATAATATTTGATTGTAATTCCTGTCATGTGAGATAAAAATTCAGTACATGAGGGAATGCTGTGCAACTCTCCCCACAAAGAAATTTCTGTAGATGATTTTAAATTTCAGGTACAAATTTTTCAAACTCATAGAATTTTTGACTACATTTAAAGTCTCTATGATTTTTTCTCTAGTCCTCTTTTCCATTGAGATTTTTTTTCTTCGCTGCTTCCTCTGTTGGCTTTGCCACTAAAAAAATTGTTAGTTTAAAATTGCCTCTTCTTGTAAGAAGGAATTGGTTTTTTGCCAGTAGAGTGCGTTCTGTTATTTCCACTTCTCACGGAGGAGCTGATGTGACTTGTCTCTTTTAACTCTTAGACTTTTTGCCAAGTCATTTTCACAAAGTAATTTGCTGTCTGTCAGGTCCTCCAATATTCCTCTTTGATTGAAAGTTTTATCTGATATTTTTGCACCAATAATAAATTATTTTGTGCATTTGCCATCAACGATCTGGCATCTACTAAGTTTGCAAATGCCTAAGAGTTTTCGCTTCTACAGACTGTAAAAACAAACGAGTTTGTTGTTTGTAAAATTGCAAACATGGCTGTGAGTATTGTTTGTTGTGCGTTGAGAATTTGTATATTTGCCTTCTGTTTATTTGAACTTAACAGTTGCCATATCTCTGGGTTAATCTTCTTGCCCCACATTCCTGGGCAGTTTTCCAGACGTGCATATTTCTCAAGGATTTGCTTTAATCTTTCGGGTTCATTTGTTTGCCCTATCGTTTTAACACTATGTTTCCAAATTTTATGTTACTTAAGGGCCTGTGCTTTCCTCATCTGACAGACGTTTTTGTGAAGTCGTCTAAGAAATCATGTTCTTGCGCTTTGGGTTCATTTCCCAGCATTTTTGTTATCTCACCGTTGGTATTCTTGCCAGCAGTGCCCACAAGTTTTGCTAGCTTGTCCTCGCTATCGCTAGCAATGCTTATAGCATCAGGAGACTTAATGCAACGTTGTCGCTTGCCTCTATTCCTCCCAGAGGATGTTTCTGAGTCTAGCTTAGTGTTAGAGTCATTGTCATACTCTGTTGACTGTCGTTTCCGACTGACCGTTAGGTTTTCGCCTTTTAGCAGGCTTTTTAGCAAGTATATGTTTAATTATCTGGCCCATTTTGCACATCGTAACTTTAATGTTGGCTATAGACTTATGAATGTCTGGCGTCTTCTCTTAAGCACAGTCTCTAGGCTATCTATTTGGCGGTTCCGATGTCTCTCCGAGCTGAATGACCGCTTCGCCCGCCACATGTTCATATTATATGTCGGTTGAAATCCGTTAAAATATTGTGAAATATGAACACAATTTTGGTCCGAGATAAAAAAACTATACAATTTATGATACTTACTTTTCTGTTTTTGCATTAATTTCCCTTCATAAACTCTATATAAAATGGATGTATTGGATTTAAAAAGGTTTTCTACTTGATAAACTCACCCTTTGTCAATTTTCAGCACAGGTCAACAAATACGCATACGCACCTAATGAGACTCTTCATGACAAGGACTTACGACAAGATAGAATTGTAGATTTATAACGGCGGTTCAAAATTGCATTTATTGATGATTGATTAAAATAGAATATATTTCACTTGTTTTATGCTTTATGAGCAGTGCCATTTTCTCATTTTGTCTTCGTGATGAGTAACTAAATGAACAATTTTTAAATCTCATTCAAAAATTTTAATATTCTGCATGAAAATTCAATATGAAAAGGCTGTAAACAAAGGGAAAAAAGTAGATACATAATCAAGGGAATGGGAAAATTAGGCACGCAGTGCTCAGCTTTTGGCTGTAGCAAACGGAAAAAGAAAGCCAACATCTCTCGTAGTGATAGTGATGGCAGTTCAGATGATGAGTTTGGACTTAAACCAAAACTTTCAAAAATATTTCATTCGTCAATGTTAGATTTGGTTTCTCATCTTTTGGTTTCTCATAAAAAAAAAATGCAAAATGGATCCAAAACATGCACAGGGAACATTGTATGGCAACCACCTACTCAAGAAACTGCTCTGACCACTTTGAAGAGAAACATAAAACTAGCTAAAAGGTTATGCTAAAAGAAGATGCAATTCCAACAGGATTCAAAACTATGCCAAAGCATCTGAAAAAGGTTGGCCTAAATTTAAAGTACTCATACATTGGCTAATTAATAGTTGCAGGAGATGTTACCCAGAGGATTTTGTGGGATCTCTGATATTACCTGATAATTTTTCAAAAAATATAACTATAATAGGTATTTTAATTATGACACATGTAATTTAATAACCCATAATTTATTACAATGAACTACCTATTTCAAACAGCACCCAAAACAAGTGAATTTTTTATATATTTAAACAATTAGGAAACAAATTTTATATAAAGTCAAAGAGCAAAAACCACTGACAAATCGTTTAGCAGATTTTGCACAGGCTTGTTTAAATATAACTTCATCATTATCAAATGATCACCATGACTAAAGTCTAGCAGTTCAGGAATCCCCAAGGAAGCTTCAAAGAGAACTGCACAAGGCCAGAGCAAATGTGATATCATTGAAAAAGGAGCTGAAAATATCACAACAAAAAGAGCGCCGTTTAAAAATCAACTTGAGTTTTATTTTTCCAAGGCGTATGAGTATGTTAGTAAAACATGTAATTTGACACTTCCTCATCAGGTTCAAGTTCGTAAATGGTATGCGAAAATTCCAGAAAAACCTGGATTCACAGAGCCTTTATTTCAATTTTTCAAGCACTTACTCTAGGGTGAAGAAGCAGTTAAAAGAAATCAAAATGTTCTTTGCTCTCTCATGTTGGATGAAATGGCTATCGGTAAACATGTTTCTTAGGATTGTAAGAAATTCAACGGATATGTTGATGTTGGCAATGGTATAAAAGACAATGATACGTTACCTGTTGCAAAAGCCGCTCTTGTCTTAAATGCTGTTGCAGTTAATGGATCATGTAAAGTTCCCTGTGACTACTTTTTATTGATGTTTTGAATGGTAAAGAACGAGCCGATCCTGTACTAGTCTGTATCAAGAAGCTTTGAGATGTTTGTATTGGAGTTGTCTTACTTGTGATAGCCCCTCATGTCATTTCACAATGCTACAGGAACTTGCTTAACATTAAAAGTCCGAAATGCTACTTTACTTATCCAGGGAAACAATGAAAAACTTGTGCTTTTTACTCATTAGTAGATTCAATTTATAAGTTTTATTTGTAGCAATGCAGCTTCATGGCTCTATATTGTTTTCACTTACTACTATTGTAAATACTTGTAAATATAAGACTTGTAATTATAATTTTAATTACTTTTATTTGTCACAAGCACAAAAGCTTTTCTACTGTTGAGAATATAATATAGCTTTTTAGTTTTTAATGCAAAGTTTCCATCATCACTTTATTATAAATTCTACAGGTTTTGGTATCCCAATCAACATTTGTCCAACAAGAAGTATAACGCTGTCTAAAGGTCATATTGATACAATAAATTACAACCGGGTTAACTACGTCCGCAAAAGTTGTTCATTGACGATCAGGCAACCACTTAATAGAGTGTTCAACTTTACTTTTTCTCATATTTCTCTCAACCACTTTGTACATGGTAAGTATATGACTAAGCTAGATATAATGTTTCTTTGTTACTTTAAAAAATAAAGCCTTGATAGAAAATATTTAATTGTTCATGCTACAAACGACTGTATGGAAAGCCATTCGGCTATTAAAAAACCCGTATTGCGCTCTTTGGCTACAGGAGCATGCTGAAATATGTTGAAGCCATATATATAAAAAGAAAAACGCATTTCAATGTTATATGCTCGATTTTTAACTCAATATAGGAAAAACAAGGGCTAAAATTCACAGCGTGATATTTCAATTCTATTTCAAATTCAACCAACAATATTTTCAAAATATCATCACCGTAAAATTACTCTTTGTTGAACATTTTTTTATCTTTCAGCTTACTCTTTTTGCTTTGTAAAAGACAATACTATTTCGATTATTTAGTTGTTATTTAAAAATATTAATATATCAGTTCCTTGTATTCCATTAAACGCAATTCTTTCAATCGTGAACAAAAGCCTTTTGCATCGTTGCTCATTTTACAAGTTTTAGGTATTTGTACAGAAAAATTAGAAAACAAGAGGCAATGAATGTTAAAAAGTTTCTTTATCGTGAAAACTTTACATCGAAAAATCGGTAACGATCCGTTGTGTAAAATTGGCAAAATTCATTTCTAAACTAAGTTCCGATACTAATATATCGGCAATAGCCAGTTTTACAAGATTGAGAGTTGGGGAAGGGTCAATTTTTGTTGCTTATTGCAGAACACGGATTTATTACTTAAAACTTCCCATTGCTGCGATGTCTTCTTTAACAAAAAATTTCTCTACCCTTCTTCTTTCCAGATGTGTTCAAATCATTTTTTGATGTTCGTCTTGAAATTTTCACTGACCCGAAAAATAGTAAATAAAGTTCTCGCTAAATGAACTAAAAACAAATCTATAAAATTTTTGTTTACATACCATGCGCTTTGGTTTCTTACTGTTTATTTTTACACTTTTAGAATAGACATAAAAACAACTTTTGTTGGCATAATACTGTAATGTTTTTCACTATTTCTTGAGTTTGGAGTAGCTAGTTAACTTTGTGCTTTTATAAGCTACTTTAAAATGTAAAAAACGATTGCTACGCTCTTTTTGAATACAATATTATGGCGTCATCATTTTTCTTGACCAATTTCTCTTCTAAGCTTTGATTTTAGAAAAATCCTTATTGTAGTGTGTTGAAGTAAAAGTAGAATAGAAGGACACCACTGAAATGTGAGATTTAGTGAAATAATGAAATGTTTGTGTTATGAAATGAGCCTTTAAGTTTCTTTTAATTGGATCATTATAAATGAAATAAATCTTGGGTTTCAGGCCATTTACCATGGCAATTACGCTTTTAGCAAAATAATAATTGTTCAGAATTTTTTTCAGATAATCAAACAAGATGCATTGGTTCTCTCACTATATCTGGTGGAACTTCAAAACAGTTTTGCACGAACACGACATCCATGACATTTTCACCTTACACCAATATTGTGGTTTTGACTTTTAACGCTTATTTGAATCGCCTTTTTAAAGGTTTTAGTCTTAAATTTGAATCAACAAAAAGTAAGTATATAGTTCTTACTGTTTTTTACTAAAATTACATACTTTTAAGAACAAGTTTAAATTTTAATATTGCAATTCCACATTCGTCAATTTTAGGCAATAACTTACCACCTGCGTTCAGTGTTTGTTCTAACAATACAATTTCAAACAATGTCGGTCGTATTCATTCACCTGGTTTTCCTTTTGGATACAAAACTGAAACAAGATGTAGTGTTGCAGTTGCAATTCCCACTGGCAAGTGGTTGGAAATTGTGGTTAACTTTATTGACTTAAGAGAAAGTGAGTACGTTTTTACTACTTTTATTGTACTTTTTTACTAAAATGTTTGTAAATTTGCCACTGTTATCAAAGGCTGCCCAGAAAATCACTTAGCTAACTAAATTGTATAAACAAACGATAACTCTCCCAATTCATCGTAACAATTCGTGCGCCGCAAACTTTGTATTTATTGATTACATTTATATTTATATATATTTGAAAATTGGTAACCCAGGCATATTATGATAATGATAAGGTTACTCTGGATTTTATTTTGAAATTTTTTTTTTATTAAGCTTTCAACTCGGTGCTTCGAGCCTTCGTCAGAATGTGCGAATATATTATTTACAAAGATTTTGTAGGCGTTTGGAGCGTCTGATTGGTTGGTTAGTAGTTGAGTTGATATTATTGGATGGTATAAGATGCGTTGTCATGGTTTCGGGTGTATGGATTGCGTTAATGAAATATGAGTGTTTTATTGTAGTCGTTGTGTTATTAGTTTGTTGTTTTCGTTTTGTCTTTAGTTGTGAATAGATGATGGGGATGTCAATATGTCTGTTTATTGTGTTGTTGTCTTTGCTGTACCATGCCTCTTTGAATTCTCGTGCGTGTTTTGTCTGTGCGCGTCCAAGAAGTTGTGTTTTTGTGATTTTGTCCAGCCAAATGTGTGGTTGGTATCGTAGGTATGTTCTGCTGGTAGTGACTTTGGGTCGCGTCGTTTGATGGCATTCTTGTGTTCAGTGAGTCTTGTTTCAATTTTCTTGGATGTTTGTCCTATGTACTGTTTGGGGCAATCTTTAACGGAACATCAGAAATGATATCAAGACTACTCCGACCATTCAAAATAAACATCGCACATAAACCAACACACAAACTCAAATCATACTTCACTAAACATAAAGACCGAACAACGACATTTGACACAACCAACGCGGTCTACATGATACCATGTAAAGATTGCCCCAAACAGTACAAGGACAAACATCCAAGAAAATTGAAACAAGACTCACTGAACACAAGAATGCCATCAAACGACGCGACCCAAAATCACTACCAGCAGAACATACCTACGATACCAACCACACATTTCACTGGACAAAAACACAACTTCTCGGACGCGCACAGACAAACCACGCACGAGAATTCAAAGAGGCATGGTACAGCAAAGACAGCAACACAATAAACAGACATATTGACATCCCCATCATCTATTCACAACTAAAGACAAAACCAAGACAACAAACTAATAACACAACGACTAAAATAAAACATTCAAATTTCATTAACGCAATCCATACACCCGAAATCATGACAACGCATCTTATACCATCCAATAATATCAACTCAACTACTAACCAACCAATCAGACGCTCCAAACGCCTACAAAATCTTTGTAAATAATATATTCGCACATTCTGACGAAGGCTCGAAGCACCGAGTTGAAAGCTTAACAAAAAAAATTTCAAAATAAAATCCAGAGAATCCTTATCATTATCATATTTATATATATACAAATTGTATAACAATGTGCCTTCCCGGCTATCACCCACTTTCATATATATTATATATATATATATATATAATGGGATTTTGTGATAGAAACTATCGCAAACAAAATCGCACGGTTAGAGTGCTCAATGCCACGACAGAGCGGTATAATTGAAAATAAAATAAACCACGAATTGCTTCATCGAAATTTATTCCCTACAGAACTGTTTCGTATGGCAGTTGTTTAACTTACCACACTAGTCAGGAGAATAAATATAGCACTATAGCACAACGGAACTTATACACAAAGATGAATAATTAAGAGCTTAGGTGATATAGTATTACATTAATGACGTTAGTAAGTGTTTATTACGATGGCGGCATGCGGAAATGAGTTTGTTTTGTTTTTTTGAGCGAGCTGAGTTCTGGGTGGAAGATGATGAAGAATTTCTCCGAGAGGCATAAATTACAGCGTTTGGTTTTGTTTCAGTAAGGTTGTGATTTCTTTAATTTTCCATTTGATGGTGTATGGTGTGTTAGAGTCTTTTAGTTTCCATATGTGTTTGCTGAGCTCTGTGGAGTGTTGTTTTGATTTATTTTGGAATGAGCTCATGTGGCTCAAGTAGCGTGTTTTAAAAATGTTCTCCGTTAGACCGATGTAGGTTTCTTTGTGTTTGGTCAGTGTGTTGGTGACTGTGGCTTGGTAGACTACCCCTTTGGTTTGGCATTCTCCTTTTTGTGGGCATTCCTCTTTCTTCCGGCAGTTGCATTTTCTGTCTGTGGTGGCGTTTTTCATCGTTTCTTCTTTGGTTAAAACGGTCTTATTGCGTGCAGAAATTATTGTATCGATGTTTGGCATGCAACTGTAACTTAGCTTAAGTGTGTTTCTGTTGAAGATTTTGCTGAGTGGATGGTTTTTTGGAAAGGACCTGTTGATTATGTTAAGGAACTTGTGTCCGATGTCTGTGTGGACATTGGAGTTGTAAGGTGGGTTGTACCAGGTGATGTTTCTATTTCTGTTTTGTGACTTTCGTGTGGCTTGTGGGTTGTATTGTAATTTGTAGTTAAAGCCGCTTTTTGTTAGTGCTTCTTGGTATTTGTGTATGCTTGAGTGAATGATTGTTTGTTGGACGAGATTCTTGAGAGCCGCTGATTGATGGTTTCCGGGATTCTGCGTAGGATAGATGGGGGGTGGTTGATGTGAATGTTTATGTATTGAGGAATGTTTCTAGGTTTGTTGTATGGCTTAAAGGAGTCGGATTGTAAATCAAAGGTGATGTCAAGGAAGTTCACGGACTTCTTATTTGCTTCAATGGTTGATTTCAGGTGGATTTCGTTGAATATTTGGCACAGTACTTTCTTGACTTCGACTTTTTCAATCATTTTCGGAGGAGCATTGAATGCACCGAGACCATCGTCGCAGTATAAACCAATGTTGTTGCTGTAGTCGGAAGGAAGTGGTGAGAGTAGAAATGAGCCGACCAACTGGTATGTTTCCGCTCCGTCAAAGCTACCCATTGTTACGCCGAAATTTGAGCTGCTGCCTTTCTTGCGGCATGCTTTCTTTCGGCGCATATGTATATATATATACAAAGTGTATATACAATGTGCCCTCCCGGCTACCACCATAGTAAAATGGTGACTCCTGCACTTGGGACACAGGACGTACGGTTACACATTGTATGGATTGTATTGTGCAGTCAACACAGTGCTCAAACCTATAAAGGTGAGCTTTGCATATCGCGAACACGGTGAACGTCTCCATATGAGACTTTCTATACAATCTGACAGTGCTCAAACAACGCATGCGCAGTGAGCGTAATATACAAAGTGTATTTACAATATGCCCTCCCGGCTATTACCATAGTAAAATGGTGACTCCTGCATTTGGGACACAGGACGTACAGTTACATATTGTATGGATTGTATTGTAGAGTCATTTATAGATTGTATTGTAGAGATTGTATTGTAGAGTCACCACAGTGCTCAAACCTATAAAGGTGAGCTTTGCTTAATACGAAAACGGTGAACGTCTCTTTATGAGACTCTCTACACAATCCGAGAGCGCTCAAACTGCGCAAGGGCAGCGAGCGTAATTTACAAAGTGTATTTACAATGTGCCCTCTCGGCTATCACCAAAGTGCAATGCTGACTCCTGCATTGGGACACAGGACGTACAGTTTATATATATGTATACATAAAACATGAAAGTTTCTCCGGATTGTGCTAAAAATTATTTATTGAGCTTTCGAGTTGTTGCTTCGAGCCTTCATCAGAATGAGGAAATTATAATTTACATGTGCTTTTAGCTGGTAGACTCTTAGAGCGTCTAATTGGATTAGCGGGTGAATTAATGTGATTAAATGGGATGGGATGCGTTGCCATGGGTTTGGTGTGCTGTTAATATGATCGGTATTAATATTATTAGAGTGTAATGTTGTAGTTTTTGTGTTGTTTGCAGTTTTTTTGTCATTTTTCTTTAGTTGTGAGTATATGATGGGTATGTCAATAGGTAAAAAGTGTGAGAAATCACGAACCAGGCTGTTCAGAATGAAATTGTAGTTTTTGTGTATTTTCTTCTTCTTATCAATACATATATACATCATATATTTATCAAAATAATTAAATAAATAAAATGAAGAAAAATATAAATGTATATTTGATATATAATATATTGATATATATATTATATATTATATATACATACTCAATTAATAAAACTTTGCGGCGCATGGTCTGATATGATGAATTGGGGAGAGTTATCGTTCGTTTATACAATTTAGCTAGGTAAGTCATTTATTGGATCGCCTATGCTGTTATTTAGCTTTTACTTTTATCAGTCAAGTGATATTCATATTTATATTGAGTTGAAGAAGTAGTTTTATTAAAATAGCTTGCTTCTTTAAAATTTCTTGAATTACGGGTAATATGTTTGTTTTATGATTTTTTGCCTAATATCATCGGTTTGGAGTTAACCATTTTTTCCATTGTTATCCAGTTTAATTCTTCATTTTTTTCTTGCCAGATTTATTTGGTTGTGTTCAAGATGAGTTGTTAATAACGGATGGACGAACTTCAACCTCTACATGTCAAAAATCGCTTGTAAATGGACGTCCACTTTTCTTCAACAACAACAAAGTTAATGTCAGTTTTCGTTCCTCTTATTCGACAAGCAGCAGATCTGGGTTTTTACTAACCTTCAGAGTCCTTAATTATACAGGTAGATGTTTGATTATTCGTTCATGCTAGCTCTAGCTGTAACAACAACTTCATGTCTCACTGTTAATTCAAACCCCTAATTAATTGGCAAAAAGGAAAAATGCGCAAAAGTCCAGTGTCTGCTTCAGTTTTAAACAAGCAAAATACAGAGTACAATGGTTTCACATTTTACGTTCCTGCTAGTTTTTCATCTGTTTTTTGCAAGCTACAAGCTAAGAACGCAAAGTTGAAACTTTAACATAAACAAAATAAAAATAAATATAAAACTTTAACTAAAAACTTTTAGGTCCACTGTTACAAATGTGTAAAGAAAGTTTATTTATTTTTGAAATATCCTTCTTAGCTGAGACTGAGAGAAACTTGACATAACTCAACTGAAAACTCGTGCTCCTTTAAAAAAGCCCCTTTTGGATCTTGTTTAACCTTATTTCCTTTAAATTAGCCTTTTGAATATTTCAAGTCTTTATTTTTATCTCTTTCTACTTCTCTATACCGCAAGGGCCCGTACATTACCCTTGGAAAGCTTGCTACTATTTTCTCGACGACACTGGCAAACACTTTCATTGATCGTGGTTTAGTTCCATCTAGTAACGCTTTGCAAACATTCCTCAAAGCCGTGGCCCTTTTAGCAGTTAGCCTTATGGTCTTTGTCACCGAGTTAATAAGAAACCCTAGGATAATGATTTCCTGTGATGGAATTAGACAGGATTTGGTAGTATTTGTGATAAATCCATGTTTTTCATATAATATGAACGTATCAGTGATGTTAAGGACACATTTCTCAAATGTTTGCCTTGAAGATAGCAGTCATCAATATGCACTAACGAAATGTGTCCACATGAAATCCCATTTGAAAAGAATGCAAAGTAAAAATTTCTTCATGCCATGACGATCGTAAAATTTTTTATTCGATTCCCTTATAGGTATAGAGTAGAAGACATCTTTTAAGTCCTTTAATGCCATAAAACAATTTTTTGTTACTAGCTTGGTGACATTGTGAATAGAGTTCATCTTAAATTGATGATAGACCACTGACTCGTTAAAAGCACTCAAATTGAGAATAAGGCAATGTGACCCATTGGGGTCTAATTTAGGTCATAAAAATATGGTAGAAAGGATTTGTCCACTTTCATAATGCACTTTTCTGTAATACACCCCTTTTAATTAACTTTAGTATCTCCTCGTCAAGCAAGAAGCATTCACGCGGGAGAAATTTTTATAGGCGTAGCTTATGCTGCGCTGGTTCCTCAGTGCATTTGATTTGATAATATTTGATAATATTTGATAATATTTGATAATATTTGATAATATTTGATTGTAACTCCTGTTATGTGAGATAATATTTCAGTACATGCGGGAATGCTGTGCAACTCTCCCCACTCTGAAATTTTTGGATGAATTCTGTAGATGATTTTAAATTTCAGGTACAAATTTCTCAAACTCATAGAATTTTTGACTACATTTAAAGTCTCTATGATTTTTTCTCTAGTCCTCTTTTCCATTGAGATTTTTTTTCTTCGCTGCTTCCACTGTTGGCTTTGCCACAAAAAAATTTGTTAGTTTAAAATTGCCTCTTCTTGTAAGAAGGAATTGGTTTTTTGCCAGTAGAGTGCGTTCTGTTATTTCCACTTCTCACGGAGGAGCTGATGTGACTTGTCTCTTTTACCTCTTAGATTTTTTGCCAAGTCATTTTCACAAAGTAATTTGCTGTCTGTCAGGTCCTCCAATACTCCTCTTTAATTGCAAGTTTTATCTGATTTTTTTGCACCAATAATAAATTATTTTGTGCATTTGCCATCAACGATCTGGCATCTACTAAGTTTGCAAATGCCTAACAGTTTTCGCTTCTACAGACTGTAACCACAAACAAGTTTGTTGTTTATAAAATGGCAAACATGGCTGTGAGTATTGTTTGTTGTGCGTTGAGAATTTGTATATTTGCCTTCTGTTTATTTGAACTTAACAGTTGCCATATCTCTGGGTTAATCTTCTTGCCCCACATTCCTGGGCAGTTTTCCAGACGTGCATATTTCTCAAGGATTTGCTTTAATCTTTCGGGTTCATTTGTTTGCCCTATCGTTTTAACACTATGTTTCCAAATTTTATGTTACTTAAGGGCCTGTGCTTTCCTCATCTGACAGACGTTTTTGTGAAGTCGTCTAAGAAATCATGTTCTTGCGCTTTGGGCTCATTTCCCAGCATTTTTGTTATCTCACCGTCGGTATTCTTGCCAGCAGTGCCCACAAGTTTTGCTAGCTTGTCCTCGCTATCGCTAGCAATGCTTATAGCATCAGGAGACTTAATGCAACGTTGTCGCTTGCCTCTATTCCTCCCAGAGGATGTTTCTGAGTCTAGCTTAGTGTTAGAGTCATTGTCATACTCTGTTGACTGTCGTTTCCGACTGACCGTTAGGTTTTCGCCTTTTAGCAGGCTTTTTAGCAAGTATATGTTTAATTATCTGGCCCATTTTGCACATCGTAACTTTAATGTTGGCTATAGACTTATGAATGTCTGGCGTCTTCTCTTAAGCACAGTCTCTAGGCTATCTATTTGGCGGTTCCGATGTCTCTCCGAGCTGAATGACCGCTTCGCCCGCCACATGTTCATATTCTATGTCGGTTGAAATCCGTTAAAATATTGTGAAATATGAACACAATTTTGGTCCTAGATAAAAAACTTTACAACTTATGATACTTACTTTTCTGTTTATGCTTTTATTTTCCTTCATAATCTCTATATAAAATGGATGTATTGGATTTAAAAGGGTTTTCTACTCGATAAACTCACACTTTGTAAATTTTCAGCACAGGTCAACAAATACGCATACGCATCTAATGAGACTCTTCATGACAGGGACTGACGACAAGATAGAATTGTAGATTTATAACGACGGTTCAAAATTGCATTTATTCGTAGTTGATTAAAATAGAATATATTTCACTTGTTTTATGCTTTATGAGCAGTGCCATTTTCTCATTTTGTCTTCGTGATGAGTAACTAAATGAACAATTTTCAAATCTCATTCCAAAATTTTAATATTCTGCATGAAAATTCAATATGAAAAGGCTGTAAACATAGGGAAAAAAGTAGATACATAATCAAGGGAATGGGAAAATTAGGCACGAATTGCTCAGCTTTTGGCTGTAGCCAACGGAAAAAGAAAGCCAACATCTCTCGTAGTGATATTGAAGGCAGTTCAGATGATGAATTTGGACTTAAACCAAAACATTAAGAATATTTCATTCGTCAATGTTAGTTTTGGTTTCTCATCTTTTGGTTTCTCATAAAACAAAAAATGCAAAATGGATCCAAAACATGCACAGGGAAGATTGTATGGCAACCAGCCACTCAAGAATCTGCTCTGACCACTTTGAAGAGAAACATAAAACTAGCTAAAAGGTTATGCTAAAAGAAGATGCAATTCCAACAGGATTCAAAACTATGCCAAAGCATCTGAAAAAGGTTGGCCTAAATTTAAAGTACTTGTACATTGACTAATTAATAGTTGCAGGCGATGTTACCCAGAAGATTTTGTGGGATCTCTGATATTACCTGATAATTTTTCAAAAAAAGTAACTATAATAGGTATTTTAATTATGACACATGTAATTTACCAACCCATAATTTATTACAATGAACTACCTATTTTAAACAGCACCCAAAACAAGTAAATTTTTTAAATATTTAAATAATTAGGAAAAAAATTTTATATAAAGTCAAAGAGCAAAAACCACCGACAAATCGTTTAGCAGATTTTGCACAGGCTTGTTTAAACATAATTTCATCATTATCAAATGATCACCATGACTAAAGTCTTGCAGTTCAGGAATCCCTAAGGAAGCTTCAAGGAGAACTGCACAAGGCCAGAGCAAATGTGATATCATTGAAAAAGAAGCTGAAAATATCACAACAAAAAGAGCGCCGTTTAAAAATCAACTTGAGTTCTATTCTTCCAAGGCGTATGAGTAGGTTAGTAAAACATGTAATTTGACACTTCCTCATCAGGTTCAAGTTCGTAAATGGATGCGAAAAATCCAGCAGAACCTGGTTTCACAGAGCCTTTATTTCAATTTTTCAAGCACTTACTCTAGGGTGAAGAAGCAGTTAAAAGAACTCAAAATGTTCTTTGCTCTCTCATGTTGGATGAAATGGCTATCGGTAAACATGTTTCTTAGGATTGTAAGAAATTCAACGGATATGTTGATGTTGGCAATGTTATAAAAGACAATGATACGTTACCTGTTGCAAAAGCCGCTCTTGTCTTAAAGGCTGTTGCAGTCAATGGGTGATGTAAAGTTCCCTGTGACAATTTTTTATTATGTTTTGACTGGTAATAAACGAGCCGATCCTGTACTAGTCTGTGTCAAGAAGCCTTGAGATGTTTGTATTGGGGTTGTCTATCTTACTTGTGATAGCCCTTCTTGTCATTTCACAATGCTACAGGAACTTGCTGTATGTCTTAACATTAAAAGTCCGAAATGCTACTTTACTCATCCAGTTCATAAAATTAAAAAGATTTAAATTTTCTCGATTGTATGCCGCATGTCAAAACTTCTTAGGCTACGTTTACATGAGACCGGATAAGTTTTAGTCCGCTCAAAACTTGCACGGGCGAAGGTGTTTACACAAGTCGTTAAAACTCGAGCGTTTACGCTTTCCGTTTACACACTATTTAGCTTTGTAGCACTTATTAATGGATAAGAAAGGATTCGTGGGCTTTGTTCGTTGGTCGTTTATGAGAAGTGAGAACACTGTATGATAGCTTGTGCACACAGCCGCGCATGTGTAATACATTTCACTTAAAACATGGCGTCCCGAAATCATAATTTTGTTTGGAGTGACGAAGAGACTGCTCCTTTGATGCGCGTAGTTATCGATTATAAATCTGATAAATGTAATGCTGGTTTCGACTGGGAAACAATCAAGAACAAGTACGAAGAAATACTGCAGCGTTTTCGCGCAGCCTACCCAAAAAATGAAACAAGCATGGAACACTATCCGAACTGCAACAATTTAGCTGTTTTTACCAAAGAAAAGATATCGCAAAAGATAAAGCGTATCAAAGCTAATTTTCGTAAGGCTGTGGACAGTGGTCGTAAAAGTGGTGGTGGAAGAGTTGTGCTGGGTCTGTATGACGAATGCTTTGAAATTTGGGCAGGATCTCCAGCAGTTGAAAGTATGCCAAAGGGAATTGAAAAACGTTGACCTGGATGGTGGCAATGTAGGAAGCTCAACTCCAAATGTTAGGAGTATCTCACCAACATCTTCAAGTAGTCAATGCGATGATTCCATTGATTTATACGAAAGGAGTGAAGTTGATTTGAAGAGTGAAATTGAGAGAAATGCTTCAGATAAACAAGATTTGTCTCACAAGGTCAAAGATATGGGTGAATTCAGACGTAATTTAATTAGAAATCTGAAAGAAAAGAAAGATTCAAAGCTGACTAAGAAGCGATCTTTAGATGAGCACATGCTTCAATTAATTAGCAATTCAAAGGAAGAAGTTGTTCTCAAGAAAAGAGTTGTTGATATGATGGAGGAAGCCAATAGAAAACATGAGAATGACATGCAGTGCTTAAAAGAAAGCATTGGAAATCTCACATCAGCTATTAACAATGGATTTAGTTCCTTGCAAGTGTTCTTTCAACAGCCAATGCTGCCAACTGACCAACATGGCTACAGAAACCATCAAAATGGATATTCGCAATCTTTCCCATCTTATCCAAACTTTTGATAGCCATGCTTTACTTTTTGGCTTTTAATAGCCCAAAATTTGTATTTTTCTATACTTAAGCTGTTTTTTTTATTGGAAAATTATTTCTAGACTTCATGTTTTGTGTTTGTAACACTGAAATTGGATTATTCTTATTGAGCTAAAACACATGTCCTTTTTCAGCTAATACACAATTAAAAATATTCATATTATCATCCGATAACTTTAACTAGAAAATTTTAAGTGATTGTTATTGGTTTCATCAATCAAAAAATTTTACAAAAATGTCTTTAATTATTTTCCCACTTTGTTCATCATTAATACCAAGGGTGTATCTGTTTCCCAGAATGGATGGTTGGAATTGTTTTTCACTTTCCATTGCTTTGCTTATTTCTTCTACAGACCCAACCTGCTTTTCTTCTTCACAATAGTTGTGGAGAACAAAGCATGCATAAATGACATATGGTAGATCTTCAGTGTTGATATCCATTTCACGCTTTAATATTCCAAACCTGCCTTTCAGTCTTCCAAATGCACATTCTATAACCATTCTCGCTGAAGAAAGGCGCCACCCAAAATATTGTTGTTGCACACTGTTGCCACCTCCTGGGAACTCTTTCATAAGAAATGGAAGGAGAGGATAAGCGGGGTCACCCAGTATACACACAGGGACTGGCATCTCATCATCAACAATTTGTTTTTGACATTTAAAACTCTCATTTTTACGAAGCTTACGGTTAATGTTGGAATTAGAAAATATCCGTGCATCATGTACACTACCCGGCCATTTAATGACCACATCCATGAAACGATATTTAAAGTCACAAACAGCTTGAACATTAAGAGAATACCTGTTCTTTCTGTTAAGGTAATCTGTTGGTGAGGTACTGGGGCGTTTAATGAAAATATGCGTACCATCTATTGTACCCATGCACTGTGGAAACCCATGTTTAACAAAGAATTTTGAGACAAGAGTTTGCGTCTCCTCCTTATTTTGCGGTAGTTTTATGTATTTGGATCCCAGACTTTTTGTCAAAACATGGCATACTCGTCGAATGATTAGTGAGACTGATGATCTCGATACACCAAAGGCATTTGCCACTTTACGATATCTACCCTCGTCCGACAAGTAATAGAGTGTTATTGCCAGTTGCTTTTCAACCGATATAGGTACGCGCATATTAGTAACTTTTTTCTCGAGAAACGGCTGAAGTAAATTGCATAATTTGGTAAAAGCCATTTTCGACATTCGAAAATTTTCTCGCCATTCTTCCTCAACAACAAAACCATTCATGAAATTCGTCCACCATTCGGAGCTCCTTCCTGGTCTCACCCAGAACCTTCGCCTTCTTCCTTTTCGCTTCCCTCTTTTAATGGAGTGTAAAAGCAAGCTGAATTTTTTGTTTGCATGCCCAAAATGGCTGTCATAGTTGTCAACCGTTGCCTTCATTCACGCTCTCTTTCTAATGACTTTACAACAGCCGGAATAATTTCCAAAGTTGCAACGGAGCTTAATAAGCCGACGTGAATAAAACTAAAGGAAGTTTTTTCTTCCATTGGTCCATGATATTCAGCCAAAATATTCATCCGCACAAGTTTTTATTTGCCCGCTTTTACAGCAGCACGAATATTCTTTCGGATACATGTTAAAAAATTAGTACGGATGCGTGTTGTAGTGTAAACGGAATGGCTAACGGCGCGAGTTTTTGAGCGGACGAAAACTTATCCGGTCTCGTGTAAACATAGCCTTAGAAAGACTCTTGGATCATTTGGCATATTGAAGGACATAAATGGTAATCAAATCTACTGGAATTTCATTGTAGAGCGCCAAAAACTTTAAGCTGATGAAGGTTTACGTTTAGAAAACAAATTGAAGCTTACTCATATCAGATTACAACAATAAAAGATGAAAGTTAATTTAGCAGCAGAAGCACTGAGGCCCCGTCCACACGTATACGGATATTTTTGAAAACGGAGGTTTTTTTCTCCGTTTCTGAAAAGATTTGCGTCCACACGTAGCGTATTTGAATCGTTTTCGCCTGTCCACACGTATACGCAAAAACGGAGGAAATTTAATACTTCTAAGCACAGAGCATGCGCATTTACTTGTAACAAGAGATTCATCAAGCTTTTGCAGCATCCAAATTTTGGCGCTATTTAGCAACATCTCTTTACCATCTTTACATTTGGCATCGTGGGGCACTCTGTTTGTTTGATTTTGTGAGTTTGAATAAAAATTAGAATGGCCAAGTCAAGTAAAGGCTCCACCAAAGGAAAAGGCAAAGTCGAATATTATATTTGGACTGATGATGAGGTTAAGCTTCTCCTTAAAGTTACGGAGGAGTACAAGGTTAAACAAACCGCTGAGAACATCGACTGGGAATCTTGTCAGAGCAAGTACTCTGATATACTTGATTTATTTAAATCGCAATATCCATCTGCAGAAAACGCCAAGGATATCGGAAAAGATTTTCCCCACAACAAAGAAGATATTACGAAAGTAATAATAACCACAAAACATTGCACTAACACTCTCAAGTTACCACAGTTCCAAGGATGAGAAGAAATAGTACATTTCATTCGTAACATAGATCAATTGTATCACATCCTGAACAGTCGTAAACCATTGGCAAGCAACACTTCGTGTAAAACTAATTGAAAAGTTTGTAATATGCCACTGGCGTTCCGAAATACGAGACAAAACATAAAACATGGTTTTTAGATTTCTTGTAGTGATTAAAAATGTTAAATGCTTGTTCCCAGAACTGGTAGGGAAAGAAAGGTTACTCATGAACTATTTGTTGATATACCATTTCAGACAGGATTATTTGGAACTTTTTTTAGTGCCATTCAAACTGCTAGAGACTTCAATAACAATCTCACAGCACTGCAGTTAACAGTAGCTTATAAGAGTCTCTTTTTGAGGAGTGCAATTGAAGGTGATAAAGGCAATTGTTTAAAAATTAGACCCAACATCAATCCTTCATATCATGTATGAGACTTTAATATGAACAAAGAAGATGTCACCATCACAAATGCAGGACTCATTCGGAAATATGGCCTGGCAGAAAGAATATCATTTTGCGATTATGAATATGCAATTCCTAATGGTTGGAACCTGTCTAAATTCAAGAAGACATCAATTTCATATATAGCTGGTTAAAATGAAAAAATTGCAGAAAAGAAAACACTATGCATGCATTGCTGTCAGGCTAAGGGTGTGCTGGTGCCAGCTGGACACCAAGCACCGTTAATATTTCTGAAACATAAAGACAGAGGCAGTTTGCTCAAGACAACACAGAGTGTTATATCTGTTTGTAAAGAAACAGAGAAATGCTTTCAGAGAACGAAAAATTTTACTAGTCAAAACCTTCCTCAATGCTGTGGAATTTATGATGCTATTGTTAAAGCTGTATTATTACAAATAAAATGTTAAAGATCTTTATAGACTTTAACAGTCACATGTTTGACACTATTGTGACTTACAATCACATTTTTTGTTTAAAAAAAACCTTTTCCAAGTGTAACTGTAAAATAAGGTTGTATCATCTGAGTAAAGAAGCAACAGCTAAAGCACATGATAAGAATTTCAGGGAAACAATGAAAAAACTTGTGCTTTTTAATCATTAGTAGATTCAATTTATAAGTTTTATTTGTAGCAATGCAGCTTCATGGCTCTATATTGTTTTCACTTACTACTATTGTAAATACTTGTAAATATAAGACTTGTAATTATAATTTTAATTACTTTTATTTGTCACAAGCACAAAAGCTTTTCTACTGTTGAGAATATAATATAGCTTTTTAGTTTTTTATGCAAAGTTTCCATCGTCACTTTGTTATAATTTCTACAGGTTTTGGCATCCCAATCAACATTTGTCCAAAAAGAACTATAACGCTGTCTAAAGGACATATTGTGTCAGCAAATAACTACTTCTACGAAAGTTGTTCGTTGACGATCAGGCAACCACTCAAAAGAGTGTTCAACTTTACTTTTTCTCATATTTCTCTCGACTACTTTGTACAGGGTAAGTATATGAATAAGCTAAATATGATGTTTCCTTGTTACGTTCAAAAATAAAGCCTTGATAGAAAATATTTAATTGTTCATAATACAAACCACTGTATGGAAAGCCATTTGGCTATTAAAAAACCGTATTGAGCTCTTTGGCTACAGGAGCATGCTTGAACTTGTTTCCTTTACACAAATATGTTGAAGCCATATACATAAAAAAAAACGCATTTTAATGTTATATGCTCGATTTTTAACTCAATATATGAAAAAAAAACAAAACGGCTAAAATTCACAGCGTGATATTTTAATTCTATTTCAAATTCATCCGACAATAATTTCAAAATATCATCACCGTAAAATTATTCTTTGTTGAACACTTTTTTATCTTTCAGCTTACTCTTTTTGCTTTGTAAAAGACAATACTATTTCAATTATTTAGTTGTTATTTAAAAATATTAATATAACAGTTTCTTGTATTCCATTGAATTCAATCGAGACAAAAGGCTTTTGCATCGTGGCTTATTTTACAAGTTTTAGGTATTTACACAGAAAAAATTAGAAAACAAGAGGCAATGAATGTTAAAAAGTTTCTTTATCGTGGAAACTTTACATCGAAAAATTGGTAACGATCCGTAGTGTAAAATTGGCAAAATTCATTTCTAAACTAAGTTCCGATACTAATATGTCGGCAACAGCCAGTTTTAGAAGATTGAGAGTTGGGGAAGGGTCAATTTTTTTTTCCTTATCGCAGAACACGGATTTATTACTTAAAACTTCCCATTGCTGCGATGTCTTATTTAACCAAGAATTCCTCTACCCTTCTTCTTTCCAGATGTGTTCAAATCATTTTTTGATGTTCGTCTTGAAATTTTCACTGACCCGAAAAATAGTAAATCAAGTTCTCGCTAAATGAACTAAAAATAAAGTCTATAAAATTTTTGTTTACATACCATGCGCTTTGGTTTCTTACTGTTTATTTTTACACTTTTAGAATAGACATAAAAACAACTTTTGTTGGCATAATACTGTAATGTTTTTCACTATTTCTTGAGTTTGGAGTAACTATTTGACTTTGTGCTTTTATAAGCTACTTTAAAATGTAAAAAACAATTGCTACGTTCTTTTTGAATAAAATATTATGGCGTCATCATTTTTCTTGACCAATTCCTTTTTATAAGCTTTGATTTTAGAAAAACCTTTATTGTAGTGTGTTGAAGTAAAAGTAGAATAGAAGGACACCACTGAAATGCGAGACTTAGTGAAATAATGAAATGTTTGTGTTATGAAATGAGCCTTTAAGTTTCTTTTAGTTGGATCATTATAAATGAAATAAATCTTGGGTTTCAGGCCATTTACCATGACAATTACGTTTTTAGCAAAATATTAATCGTTCAGAATTTTTTTCAGATAATCAAACAAGATGCATTGGTTCTCTCACTATTTCTGGTGGAACTTCAAAACAGTTTTGCACGAACACGACATCCATGACATTTTCACCTTACACCAATATTGTGGTTTTGACTTTTAACGCTTATTTGAATCGCCTTTTTAAAGGTTTTAGTCTTAAATTTGAATCAACAAAAAGTAAGTATATAGTTCTTACTGTTTTTTACTAAAAGTACATACTTTTTAAAAACAAGTTTAAATTTTAATATTGCAATTCCACATTCGTCAATTTTAGGCAATAACTTACCACCTGCGTTCAGTGTTTGTTCTAACAATACAATTTCAAACAATGTCGGTCGTATTCATTCACCTGGTTTTCCTTTTGGATACAAAACTGAAACAAGATGTAGTGTTGCAGTTGCAATTCCCACTGGCAAGTGGTTGGAAATTGTGGTTAACTTTATTGACTTAAGAGAAAGTGAGTACGTTTTTACTACTTTTATTGTACTTTTTTACTAAAATGTTTGTAAATTTGCCACTGTTATCAAAGGCTGCCCAGAAAGTTACTTAGCTAGCTAAATTGTATAAACAAACGATAACTCTCCCAATTCATCGTAACAATTCGTGCGCCGCAAACTTTGTATTTATTGATTACATTTATATTTATATATATACAAATTGTATAACATATATATATATATATATATAAAAGATAAACGTTTCTCCGGATTTTTAAATGATTTTTATTGAGCTTTCGACTCGTTGCTTCGAGCCTAATTGGATTAAAAATAAAAAATAAAATCATTAAAAAAATCAATAAAAATCAGAATCATTTAAAAATCATTAAAAATTTTATTTAAAATTTTTTTAAATAAAAATCATTTAAAAATCCGGAGAAACGTTTATCTTTTATATATTCAATGCCTGGATTACAAATTTTCAAACTTATATATATATATATATATGTGTGTGTGTGTGTAGTGGTGTTGAGAAAAATCACAAAACTACAGATTCATCCCGACAAGCCTGTTTCGTGATTGCTCACTCTTCAGGGGATTTAATGAATAAAATACTTAAATGCTTAAAATATATATACAAGATGACGGAAGTTAGTGTATTAATCAAGGTGTATAGTTTCAAGTTAGATGACGGAAGTTAGAGTATTAATTAAGGTGTATGGTTACAAATTACGTAGGAGTGTTTTGGATCTATGGCGACAAGAGGAAACAAGTTCGTTGCGTTTATTGAGGGATGATTTGGATGGTTGGTAGAGGATGTAGAATTTTTCTTTGAGGCAAAGGTTGCATCTTTTACTTGTGCTGTTGTATGGTTTGCTGTGTGTGATGATGTTCCATGAGATGTCGTGGTCGATATTGCTGTCTTTAAGGGTCCAAATGTGCTTACTGAGCTCGGTCGAGTTTCGTAGTTTTTTGTGGCGGAAAGAGGCAGTGTGATTTCTATGTCTAGTCTTAAATTCGTTTTCTGTAAGTCCAATGTACGTCTCAGTTGTGTTATTGTCTTTGCGTTTTACAATAGCTTGGTAAACAACGGATGACTGCAGGCAGTTTCCGTTAAGTGGGCAGTTTTGTTTTTGTCGGCAGTTGCATGTTTTTGTAAGTGTCTTTTTGTTCGCGGTGTTGTCGTTAGTTTTGTCTGATGTTCTCAGTATATGTTTGTTATGGTTGTTGATTATTTCTTCGATATTGTTCATGCAGCTGTAGCTGAGGTTGATGGTGTTACGGTTGAATATTTTCCTGAGTTTATGGTCTATGGGGAAGTGTTTGTCGATTAATGAAAGGAATCTGTGGCCAATGTTCGTGTAGACGTTTTTGTTGAATGGAGGGTTGTACCAAAGTATATTTTGTTGAAGTCTGTTTTTCCGTTTGGTAGTAGCGTCTGAGTCGAATTTTAGTGTGTATCGGTATCCGTTTTCGTCGAGTGCTTTTTGGTATGGTGCAGTTATTTGGTCAAATGATGCTTTGTCGGATGATAGTGAAGATAGACGTTTGTTGATGGCGTCGGGTATGTTCTTCGTTATGGTTGGTGGATGGTTGCTTTCGCTGTGGACGTATTGCAGAGAAGTGTTGGGTTTTGTGTAAGGGCGATATGAAAAATTGTTAAGATTGAAGGTGATGTCAAGGTGATTATCGTAGAGTGCTCAACAAAAATTTATCTTGGAGCGTAATAGGAAGTTTATAATTTATGATTTTCCGTATAAAACAGTGCTCGATGCCCGAGAGCAGAGCGTAAATATGTGTAGTGGTGTTGAGAAAAATCACAAAACTACAGATTCATCCCGACAAGCCTGTTTCGTGATTGCTCACTCTTCAGGGGATTTAATGAATAAAATACTTAAATGCTTAAAATATATATACAAGATGACGGAAGTTAGTGTATTGATAAATTTTTGTTGAGCACTCTACGATAATCCGCAATGGAGAAATTCAACTTCAACTACAGCATCAAGAACATTCCTCTACCATCACCGAATGAATACTTACAACGACTTATTGAAAAATCTGAGACCTTCCTTCGTAATATGCGTTGGAAAGCTTACTTCTTCCTTAACCCGAATACTACCACCGATTATAAAGATACCTATGGCTTCAAGAGTACTAAAAACCCTCCACCGGATCGACGACCTAAACGATTTCGAGAAAGACATGACGAAAATGATACAATCAATAAAGTTTAAAGACGTGAACAGCACATTCCTTAACAAAATGAAAGACCACACCAGTACCATGAAACACGAAACGAAGCTACTAATCGCTGCCGACAAAACAACAAATTTCTACAAACTAGACAAGCCAACATACTACGACCTCCTTGAACAAAACATCACAAAATCATACAAGAAATCAAACGATGACACAATAAAAGCCATCCACACCGAAGACAAAAATATCACATCACGACTGGGTATATCTGACAGAGTAGAAGCCACTGCCCATAAAAATGCATTCATAACACTCAAAGACCATAAACCAAACTTTACTAATAAACCAACCTGCCGACTTATCAACCCAACAAAATCTGAAGTTGGTAAAATTAGCAAGAAAATACTGGACAGAATTAACAGCAACATCCTAAAAACAACCTCATACAACCAATGGAAAAACTCATCATCTGTGATCCAGTGGTTCAAATCTATCAAACACAAAAAAAAACGTCACCTTCATATCCTTCGACATCGTAGACTTTTATCCATCCATTAATCAAGACCTACTAAACAAAGCACTGGATTTTGCCTCAACCTACGACAACATCACAAACGCCGAAAAAAACATTATTATACACGCTAAGAATTCATTCCTTATACACAACCAACAACACTGGCAAAAGAAATATAACTCAACATTCGACGTCACAATGGGTCGCTTCGACGGAGCTGAGACATGCAAACTCGTAGGAAACTACCTCCTTTTTCAACTACAAAACACCACAACAGACAAAGGACTTTATCGAGACGACGGACTTGCCATTTCAAACACCACACCACGAGAAACAGAGAACATTAAAAAGGAAATATGCCGGATATTCAATAACAATGGACTACGCATAACTATTGAAGCAAACAAAAAAATCATCAACTTCCTTGACATCACCTTCAATCTTAACAATTTTTCATATCGCCCTTACACAAAACCCAACACTTCTCTGCAATACGTCCACAGCGAAAGCAACCATCCACCAACCATAACGAAGAACATACCCGACGCCATCAACAAACGTCTATCTTCACTATCATCCGACAAAGCATCATTTGACCAAATAACTGCACCATACCAAAAAGCACTCGACGAAAACGGATACCGATACACACTAAAATTCGACTCAGACGCTACTACCAAACGGAAAAACAGACTTCGACAAAATATACTTTGGTACAACCCTCCATTCAGCAAAAACGTCTACACGAACATTGGCCACAGATTCCTTTCATTAATCGACAAACACTTCCCCATAGACCATAAACTCAGGAAAATATTCAACCGTAACACCATCAAACTCAGCTACAGCTGCATGAACAATATCGAAGAAATAATCAACAACCATAACAAACATATACTGAGAACATCAGACAAAACTAACGACAACACCGCGAACAAAAAGACACTTACAAAAACATGCAACTGCCGACAAAAACAAAACTAAATTAAATGAATTAAATGAAGATATGATCTTCGCACTTTGTTGGACAATTTAAGCAATCGTCTCAGGAGCCTTAAAATTCAGGTGACTCAACGGGATTCGAACCCATGACCTCTGCGGTGCCGGTGCAGTGCTCTGACCAACTGAGCTATGAAGTCACACAGTGGTGAGCAGGTCAATATTGTTGGGCTCATGTTTTCTCGTGAAAGGAATGTCGTATAAATGTTTTATGCAGTGTGGTGTTTGAATTAAATGAAGATATGATCTTCGCACTTTGTTGGACAATTTAAGCAATCGTCTCAGGAGCCTTAAAATTCAGGTGACTCAACGGGATTTGAACCCATGACCTCTGCGGTGGAATGTCGTATGAATGTTTTCTGAAATGTCTGAGCTCTGTGGAGTGTTGTTTCGATTTATTTTGGAATGAGCTCATGTGGTTCAAGTAGCATGTTTTAAAAGTGTTTTCCGTTAGACCGATGTAGGTTTCTTTGTGTTTGGTTAGTGTGTTGGTGACTGTGGCTTGGTAGACTACCCCTTTGGTTTGGTATTCTCCTTTTAGTGGGCATTCCTCTTTCTTCTGGCATTTGCATTTTCTGTCTGTGGTGGCGTTTTTCATCGTTTCTTCTTTGGTTAAAACGGTCTTATTGCGTGCAGAAATTATTGTATCGATGTTTGGCATGCAACTGTAACTTAGCTTAAGTGTGTTTCTGTTAAAGATTTTGCTGAGTGGATGGTTTTTTGGAAAAGACCTGTTGATTGTGTTAAGGAACTTGTGTCCGATGTCTGTGTGGACATTGGAGTTGTATGGTGGGTTGTACCATGTGATGTTTCTACTTCTGTTTTGTGACTTTCGTGTGGCTTGTGGGTTGTATTGTAATTTGTAGTTAAAGCCGCTTTTTGTTAGTGCTTCTTGGTATTGGTGTATGCTTGAGTCGAATGATTGTTTGTTGGATGAGATTCTTGAGAGCCGCTGGTTGATGGTTTCCGGGATTCTGCGTAGGATAGATGGGGGGTGGTTGATGTGAATGTTTATGTATTGAGAAATGTTTCCAGGTTTGTTGTATGGCTTAAAGGAGTCGAATCGTAAATCAAAGGTGATGTCAAGGAAGTTCACGGATTTCTTATTTGCTTCAATGGTTAATTTCAGGTGGATTTCGTTGAATATTCGGCACAGTACTTTCTTGACCTTGACTTATTCAATCGTCTTGCGAGGAGCATTGAATGCACCGATACCATCGTCGCGGTATAAACCAATGTTGTTGCTGTAGTCGGAAGGAAGTGGTGAGAGTTGAAATGAGCCGAACAACTGGCATGTTTCCGCTCCGTCAAAGCTTCCCATTGTTACGTCGAAGTTTGAGCTGCTGCCTTTCTTGTGCCATGCTTTCTTTCGGCGCATATGTATATATATATATATATACATATACAAAGTGTATATACAATGTGCCCTCCCTGCTATCACCATAGTAAAATGGTGACTCCTGCACTTGGGACACAGGACGTACGGTTACACATTGTATGGATTGTATTGTGCAGTCAACTTAGTGCTCAAGCCTATAAAGGTGAGCTTTGCATATCGCAAACACGGTGAACGTCTCCATATGAGACTCTCTACACAATCCGACAGTGCTCAAACAACGCACGCGCAGTGAGCGTAATATACAAAGTGTATTTACAATGTGCCCTCCCGGCTATCACCAAAGTGCAATGCTGACTCCTGCACTTGGAACACAGGACGTACAGTTTATATATATGTATACATAAAACATGAAAGTTTCTCCGGATTGTGTTAAAAATTATTTATTGAGCTTTCGACTCGTTGCTTCGAGCCTTGATCAGAATGAGGAAATTATAATTTACATTTGCTTTTAGCTGGTAGACGCTTAGAACGTCTAATTGGATTAGCGGGTGAATTAATGTGATTAAATGGGGTGGGATGCGTTGCCATGGGTTTTTTGTGTACTTTTAATATGATCGGTGTTAATATTATTAGAGTGTAATGTTGTAGTTTTTGTGTTGTTTGCAGTTTTTTTGTCATTTTTCTTTAGTTGTGAGTATATGATGGGTATGTCAATAGGTAAGAAGTGTGAGAAATCACGAACCAGGCTGTTCAGAATGAAATTGTAGTTTTTGTGTATTTTCTTCTTCTTATCAATACATATATACATCATATACTTATCAAAATAATTAATTAAATAAAAAGAAGAAAAATATAAATGTATATTTGATATATAATATATTGGTAAATATATTATATATTATATATACATACTCAATTAATACAAAGTTTGCGGCGCATGGTCTGATACGATGAATTGAGGAGAGTTATCGTTCGTTTATACAATTTAGCTAGGTAAGTCATTTATTGGATCGCCTATGCTGTTATTTAGCTTTTACTTTTATCAGTCAAGTGATATTCATATTTATATTGAGTTGAAGAAGTAATTTTATTAAAATAGCTTGCTTCTTTAAAATTTCTTGAATTACGGGTAATATGTTTGTTTTATGATTTTTTGCCTAATATCATCGGTTTGGAGTTAACCATTTTTTCCACTGTTATCCAGTTAATCTCTTAATTTTTTTCTTGCCAGATCCATTTGGTTGTGTTCTTGATGAGTTGTTAATCACTGATGGACGAACTTCAACTTCTACATGTGGAAAATCGTTTGTAAATGGACGTCCACTTTTCTTCAACAACAACAAAGTTAATGTCAGTTTTCGTTCCTCTTATTCGACAAGCAGCAGATCTGGGTTTTTACTAACCTTCAGAGTCCTTAATTATACAGGTAGATGTTTGATTATTCGTTCATGCTACCTCAAGCTGTAACAACAACTTCATGTCTCACTGTTAATTCAAACAAACACCTAATTAATTTAACTACTCTTGCAAAGGTTTTAATTATTTTTCAGTCATGAAAAATGGGCAAAAGTTCAGTGTCTGTTTCAGTTTTAAACAAGCAAAATACAGAGTACAATGGTTTCACATTTTACGTTCCTTCATTTTACATTAGTTTTTCATTTGTTTTTTGCAAGCTGCGAGCTAAGAACGCAAAGTTGAAACTTTAACATAAACAAAATAAATATAAAACTTTCACTAAAAATTTTTAGGTCCACTGTTACAAATGTGTAAAGAAAGTTTACTTATTTTTTAAATATCCTTAGCTGAGACTGAGAGAAACTTGACATAACTCAACTGAAAACTCGTGCTCCTTTAAAAAGCCCCTTTTGGAACTTGTTTAACCTTATTTCCTTTAAATTAGCCTTTTGAATATTTCAAGTCTTTAGTTTTATCTCTTTCTACTTCTCTATACCGCAAGGGCCCGTACATTACCCTTGGAAAGCTTGCTACTATTTTCTCAACGACACTGGCAAACACTTTTATTGATCGTGGTTTAGTTCCATCTAGTAACGCTTTGCAAACATTCCTCAAAGCCGTGGCCCTTTTAGCAGTTAGCCTTATGGTCTTTGTGACCGAGTTAATAAGAAACACTAGGATAATGATTTCCTGTGATGGAATTAGACAGGATTTGGTAGTATTTGTGATAAATCCATGTTTTTCATATAATATGAACGTATCAGTGATGTTAAGGACACATTTCTCAAATGTTTGCCTTGAAGATAGCAGTCATCAATATGCACTAACGAAATGTGTCCACATGAAATCCCATTTGAAAAGAATGCAAAGTAAAAATTTCTTCATGCCATGACGATCGTAAAATTTTTTATTCGATTCCCTTATAGGTATAGATTAGAAGACATCTTTTAAGTCCTGTAATGCCATAAAACAATTTTATGTATTTTATGTTACTAGATTGGTGACAATGTGAATAGAGCTCATCTTAAAATGTTGATAGACCACTAACTCGTTAAAAGCACTCAATTTTAGGATAAGGCAATGTGACCCATTGGGGTATAATTTAGGTCATAAAAATATGGTAGAAAGGATTTGTCCACTTTCATAATGCACTTTTCTGTAATACACCCCTTTTAATTAACTTTAGTATCTCCTCGTCAAGCAAGAAGCATTCACGCGGGAGAAATTTTTATAGGCGTAGCTTATGCTGCGCTGGTTCCTCAGTGCATTTGATTTGATAATATTTGATTGTAACTCCTGTTATGTGAGATAATATTTCAGTACATGCGGGAATGCTGTGCAACTCTCCCCACTCTGAAATTTTTGGATGAATTCTGTAGATGATTTTAAATTTCAGGTACAAATTTTTCAAACTCATAGAATTTTTGACTACATTTAAAGTCTCTATGATTTTTTCTCTAGTCCTCTTTTCCATTGAGATTTTTTTCTTCGCTGCTTCCTCTGTTGGCTTTGCCACTAAAAAAATTGTTAGTTTAAAATTGCCTCTTCTTGTAAGAAGGAATTGGTTTTTTGCCAGTAGAGTGCGTTCTGTTATTTCCACTTCTCACGGAGGAGCTGATGTGACTTGTCTCTTTTAACTCTTAGACTTTTTGCCAAGTCATTTTCACAAAGTAATTTGCTATCTGTAAGGTCCTCCAATATTCCTCTTTGATTGAAAGTTTTATCTGATATTTTTGCACCAATAATAAATTATTTTGTGCATTTGCCATCAACGATCTGGCATCTACTAAGTTTGCAAATGCCTAACAGTTTTCGCTTCTACAGACTGTAACCACAAACGAGTTTGTTGTTTATAAAATTGCAAACATGCAATTTTACAATTGCATGTTTGCAATATCTCTGGTATTGTTTGTTGTGCGTTGAGAATTTGTATATTTGCCTTCTGTTTATTTGAACTTAACAGTTGCCATATCTCTGGGTTAATCTTCTTGCCCCACATTCCTGGGCAGTTTTCCAGACGTGCATATTTCTCAAGGATTTGCTTTAATCTTTCGGGTTCATTTGTTTGCCCTATCGTTTTAACACTATGTTTCCAAATTTTATGTTACTTAAGGGCCTGTGCTTTCCTCATCTGACAGACGTTTTTGTGAAGTCGTCTAAGAAATCATGTTCTTGCGCTTTGGGCTCATTTCCCAGCATTTTTGTTATCTCACCGTCGGTATTCTTGCCAGCAGTGCCCACAAGTTTTGCTAGCTTGTCCTCGCTATCGCTAGCAATGCTTATAGCATCAGGAGACTTAATGCAACGTTGTCGCTTGCCTCTATTCCTCCCAGAGGATGTTTCTGAGTCTAGCTTAGTGTTAGAGTCATTGTCATACTCTGTTGACTGTCGTTTCCGACTGACCGTTAGGTTTTCGCCTTTTAGCAGGCTTTTTAGCAAGTATATGTTTAATTATCTGGCCCATTTTGCACATCGTAACTTTAATGTTGGCTATAGACTTATGAATGTCTGGCGTCTTCTTAAGCACAGTCTCTAGGCTATCTATTTGGCGGTTCCGATGTCTCTCCGAGCTGAATGACCGCTTCGCCCGCCACATGTTCATATTCTATGTCGGTTGAAATTCGTTAAAATATTGTGAAATATGAACACAATTTTGGTCCTAGATAAAAAACTTTACAACTTATGATACTTACTTTTCTGTTTATGCTTTTATTTTCCTTCATAATCTCTATATAAAATGGATGTATTGGATTTAAAAGGGTTTTCTACTCGATAAACTCACACTTTGTAAATTTTCAGCACAGGTCAACAAATACGCATACGCATCTAATGAGACTCTTCATGACAGGGACTGACGACAAGATAGAATTGTAGATTTATAACGACGGTTCAAAATTGCATTTATTCGTAGTTGATTAAAATAGAATATATTTCACCTGTTTTATGCTTTATGAGCAGTGCCATTTTCTCATTTTGTCTTCGTGATGAGTAACTAAATGAACAATTTTCAAATCTCATTCCAAAATTTTAATATTCTGCATGAAAATTCAATATGAAAAGGCTGTAAACATAGGGAAAAAAGTAGATACATAATCAAGGGAATGGGAAAATTAGGCACGAATTGCTCAGCTTTTGCCTGTAGCAAACGAAAAGGAAAGCCAACATTTCTCGTAGTGATAGTGATGGCAGTTCGGATGATGAATTTGGACTTAAACCAAAACAATAAAGAATATTTCATTCGTCAATGATAGTTTTGGTTTCTCCTCTTTTGGTTTCTCATAAAACAAAAAATGCAAAATGGATCCAAAACATGCACAGGGAAGACTGTATGGAACCAGCCACTCAAGTATCTGCTCTGACCACTTTGAAGAGAAACATAAAACTAGCTAAAAGGTTATGCTAAAAGAAGATGCAATTCCAACAGAATTCAAAACTATGCCAAAGCATTTGAAAAAGGTTGACCTAAATTTAAAGTACTCATACATTGACTAATTAATAGTTGCAGTCGATGTTACCCAGAGGATTTGGTGGGATCTCTGATATTACCTGATAATTTTTCAAAAAATGTTACTATAATAGGTATTTTAATTATGACACACGTAATTTAATAATCCATAATTTATTACAATGAACTACCTATTTCAAACAGCACCCAAAACAAGTGAATTTTTTAAATATTTAAACAATTAGGAAACAAATTTTATCTAAAGTCAAAGAGCAAAAACCACCGACAAATCGCTTAGCAGATTTTGCACAGGCTTGTTTAAACATAATTTCATCATTATCAAATGATCACCATGACTAAAGTCGTGCAGTTCAGGAATCCCCAAGGAAGCTTCAACGAGAACTGCACAAGGCCAGAGCAAATGTGATATCATTGAAAAAGAAGCTGAAAATATTACAACAAAAAGAGCGCCGTTTAAAAATCAACTTGAGTTTTATTTTTCCAAGGCGTATGAGTATGTTAGTAAAACATGTAATTTGACACTTCCTCATCAGGTTCAAGTTCGTAAATGGTATGCGAAAAATCCAGCAGAACCTGGTTTCACAGAGCCTTTATTTCAATTTTTCAAGCACTTACTCTAGGGTGAAGAAGTAGTTAAAAGAACTCAAAATGTTCTTTGCTCTCTCATGTTGGATGAAATGGCTATCGGTAAACATGTTTCTTAGGATTGTAAGAAATTCAACGGATATGTTGATGTTGGCAATGTTATAAAAGACAATGATACTTTACCAGTTGCAAAAGCCGCTCTTGTCTTAAAAGCTGTTGCAGTTAATGGATCATGTAAACTTCCCTGTGACCACTTTTTATTGATGTTTCCAATGGTAAAGAACGAGCCGATCCTGTACAAGTCTGTATCAAGAAGCTTTGAGATGTTTGTATTGGGGTTGTCTATCTTACTTGTGATAGCCCCTCATGTCATTTCACAATGCTGCAGGAACTTGCTGCATGTCTTAACATTAAAAGTCCGAAATGCTACTTTACTCATCCAGTTCATAAAATTAAAAAGATTTAAATCTTCTTGATTGTATGCCGCATGTCAAAACTTCTTAGAAAGACTCTTGGATCATTTGGCATATTGAAGTAAATAAATGGTAATCAAATCTCCTGGAATTTCATTGTAGAGCGCCAAAAACTTCAAGCTGATTGGGGTTTACGTTTAGAAAACAAATTGAAGCTTACTCATATCAGATTACAACAATAAAAGATAAAAGTTAATTTAGCAGCAGAAGCACTGAGTACAAGCGTTGCCAATGTCATTAAACATTGCACTAACACTCTCAAGTTACCACAGTTCCAAGGATGAGAAGAAACAGTACAATTCATTCGTAACATAGATAAATTGTATCACATCCTGAACAGTCGTAAACCATTGGCAAGCAACACTTCGTGTAAAACTACTTGAAAAGTTTGAAATATGCAACTGGCGTTCCGAAATACTAGACAAAACGTAAAACAGGCTTTGTTAAATTTCTTGTAGTGATTGAAAATGTTAAATGCTTGTTCAAATACAGACAGGATTATTTGGAACTTTTTTTTAGTGCCATTCAAACTGCTAGAGACTTCAATAACAATCCCACAGCACTGCAGTTAACAGTAGCTTATAAGAGTCTCTTATTGAGGAGTGCAATTGAAGGTGATAAAGGCAATTGTTAAAAAAATAGACCCAACATCAATCCTTCATATCATGTATGAGACTGTAACATGAACAAAGAAGATGTCACCATCACAAATGCAGGACTCATTCGGAAATATGGCCTGGCAGAAAGAATATCATTTTGCGATCATAAATATGCAATTCCTAATGGTTGGAACCTGTCTAAATTCAAGAAGACATCAATTTAATATATAGCTGGTTAAAATGAAAAAAATGCAGAAAAGAAAACACTATGCATGCCTTGCTGTCAGGCACTTAGTTCAGCTGGACACCAAGCACCGTGAATTTTTCTAAAACATAAATACAGAGGCAGTTTGTTCAAGACAACACAGAGTGTTATATCTGTTTGTGAAGAAACAGAGAAATGCTTTCAGAGAACGAAAAATTTTACTATTCAAACCTTCCTCAATGCTATGGAATTTGTGATGTTATTGTTAAAGCTGTATTATTACAAATAAATACGTCAAAGATCTTTATAGACTTTAACAGTCACATGGTTGACACCTTTGTGACTGACAATCACATTTTTTGTTTAATAAAAACCTTTTCCAAGTGTAACTGTAAAATAAGGTTGTATCATCTGCGTAAAGAAGCAACAGCTAAAGCACATGATAAGACTTCTAGGGAAACAATGAAAAAACTTGTGCTTTTTACTCATTAGTAGATTCAATTTATAAGTTTTATTTGTAACAATGCAGCTTCATGGCTCTATATTGTTTTCATTTACTACTATTTTAAATACTTGTAAATATAAGATTGTAATTATAATTTTAATTACTTTTATTTGTCACAAGCACAAAAGCTTTTCTACTGTTGAGAATATGACATAGCTTTTTAGTTTTTAATGCAAAGTTCCCATCATCACTTTATTATAATTTCTACAGGTTTTGGTATCCCAATCAACATTTGTCGAACAAGAACTATAACGCAGTCTAAAGGTCATATTGTGTTACCAAATAACTACTTCTACAAACGTTGTTCGTTGACGATCAGGCAACCACTTAATAGAGTGTTCAACTTTACTTTTTCTCATATTTCTCTCGACTACTTTGTACAGGGTAAGTATATGAATAAGCTAAATATGATGTTTCTTTGTTACTTTAAAAAATAAAGCCTTGATAGAAAATATTTAATTATTCATGCTACAAACCACTGTATGGAAAGCCATTTGGCTATAAAAAACCCGTTTTGCGCTCTTTGGCTACAGGAGCATGCTAATACTTGTTTCCTTTACACAAATATGTTGAAGGCATATATATAAAAAAAACGCATTTTAATGTTACATGCTTGATTTTTAACTCAATATATGAAAAAAAAGGGCTAGAATTCACAGCGTGATATTTCAATTCTATTTCAAATTCAACCGACAATAATTTCAAAATATCATCACCGTAAAATTACTCTTGGCAAAATTCATTTCTAAACTAAGTTCCGATACTAATATATCGGCAATAGCCAGTTTTACAAGATTGAGAGTTAGGGAAGGGTCAATTTTTTGTTGCTTATTGCAGAACACGGATTTATTACTTAAAACTTCCCATTGCTGCCATGTCTTCTTTAACCAAGAATTCCTCTACCCTTCTTCTTTCCAGATGTGTTCAAATCATTTTTTGATGTTCGTCTTGAAATTTTTACTGACCCAAAAAATCATCATCATCATCATCTTGCGGCTCAGCCGAGATAAATAGGAAATCAAGTTCTCGCTAAATGAACTAAAAATAAATCTATAAAATTTTTGTTTACATACCATGCGCTTTAGTTTCTTACTGTTTAATTTTACACTTTTAGAATAGACATCAAAACAAATTTTGTTGGCATGATACTGTAATGTTTTTCACTGGAGTAACTATTTGTCTTTGTGCTTTTATAAGCTACTTTAAAAATGTAAAAAACAATTGCTACGTTCTTTATGAATAAAATATTATGGCGTCATCATTTTTCTTGACCAATTCCTTTTTCTAAGCTTTGATTTTAGAAAAACCTTTATTTTAGTATGTTGTAGTAAAAGTAGAATAGAAGGACACCACTGAAATGCGAGATTTAGTGAAATAATAAAATGTTTGTGTTATGAAATGAGCCTTTAAGTTTCTTTTAGTTGGATCATTATAAATGAAATAAATCTTGGGTTTCAGGCCATTTACCATGGCAATTACGCTTTTAGCAAAATAGTAATCGTTTAAAATTTTTTACAGATAATCAAACAAGATGCATCGATTCTCTCACTATATCTGGTGGAACTTCAAAGCAATTTTGTACCAGCACGAAATCCATGACATTTTCACCTTACACCAATATTGTGGTTTTGACTTTTAACGCTTATTTGAATCGCCTTTCTAAAGGCTTTAGTCTTAAATTTGAATCAACAAAAAGTAAGTTGATAGTTCTTACTATTTGTCACTAAAATTATATACTTTTTAAAAAAAGTTTGAATTTTAATATTGTAATTCCACATTCGTCATTTGTAGGTAATAATTTACCGCCTGCGTTCAGTGTTTGTTCTAACAATACAATTTCAAACAATGTCGGTCGTATTCATTCACCTGGCTTTCCTTTTGGATACAAAACTGAAACAAGATGTAGTGTTGCAGTTGCAATTCCCACTGGCAAGTGGTTGGAAATTGTGGTTAACTTTATTGACATAAGAGAAAGTAAGTTGTAGTAGAAGTACGTTTTTACTACTTTTATTGTACTTTTTTACTAAAATGTTTGTAAATTTGCCACTGTTATCATAGGCTGCCCAGAAAATCACTTAGCTAGCTAAATTGTATAAACAAACGATAACTCTCCCAATTCATCGTAACAATTCGTGCGCCACAAAATGTGTATTGATTGATTATATATACATAAATCAAAGGATCGTAAATCAAAGGTGATGTCAAGGAGGTTCACGGATTTCTTATTTGCTTCAATGGTTAATTTCAGGTAGTTTTCGTTGAATATTCGGCACAGTACTTTCTTGATTTTTTCAATCGTCTTGGGGGGAGCATTGAATGCACCAAGACCATCGTCGCGGTATAATCCAATGTTATTTCTGTAGTCGGTAGGAAGTTGTGAGAGTAGAAATGAGCCGACCAACTGGCATCTTCCCGCTCCGTCAAAGCTACCCATGTTACATCGAAGTTTGAGCTGCTGCCTTTCTTGCGCCATGCTTTCTTTCGGCGCATATGTATATATATATATATAAATATATAATATATAATAATTGAAAATAAAATAAACCACGAATTACTTCATAGGAATTTATTCCATACAGAACTGTTTCGTATTAATACCTAAATTCCTATGAAGTAATTCGTGGTTTATTTTATTTTCAATTATACCGCTCTGCCGTTGCATTGAGCACTCTATCCGTGCGATTTTGTTTGCGATAGCTTTTATCACAAAATCCTATTATAAATATATAAATATATATATACATAAAAGATAAAAAGTTTCTCCGGATTTTAAATGATTTTTATTGAGCTTTCGACTCGTTGCTTCGAGCCTTCATCAGAATGAGGATATTTATTTACACGTGCTTTTAGCTTGGAGACGTTTAGAGCGTCTAATAGGATAAGTGGATGGATTAATGTGATTGGATGGGGTGAAATGCGTTGCCATGGGTTTTGGTGTATTGTTAATATGATTGGTGTTAATAGTATTAGAGTGTAGTGTTTTAGTTTTGGTGTTGTTTGTAGTTTTTTGTCCTTTTTCTTTAGTTGTGAGTATATGATGGGTATGTCGATATGTCTGTTTATTGTGTCGTTGTCTTAACTGTACCAAGCTTCTTTAAATTCGCGTGCGTGTTTAGTCTGTGCGCGTCCGAGTACATTAGTTTCTGTCCAGTCGAATGTGTGGTTGTTTCCGTGGGTATGTTCTGCCGGTAGTGAGTTCGGATCTCGTCGTTTAATGGCGTTTTTGTGTTCTGTGAGTCTTGTTTCAATTTTCTTAGATGTTTGTCCTATGTATTGTTTTGAACAGTCTTTACATGGTATCATGTAGATCGCGTCAGTTGTATCATGAATTGTTGTTTTGTCTTTATGTTTGGTGAAACATGATTTGAGTTTTTGTGTAGGTTTGTGGGCGACGTTAATAGTAAATGGTCGAAGAAGTCTGGCAGTCATTTCTGATGTTCCGTTTATGTATGGTAATGTGACGATTTTACTGTTTCGTCCGGTTTTTGTTGTTTTGTCGGTTTGTGTTTTGCTTTGTATTTTGTATATAGTTTTGTTTATGAAGTTTCTAGGGTAATTGTTTTTAATAAATGTGGAGTATAAGTAGTTGCGTTCTGTTTTTTTGGCTTCTTCCGTATTACAATGAGTGTTTATCCTGTTGAAAAGTGTTCGAATGCAGCTTATTTTGTGTTGTGTTGGATGATTGCTGTTGAAATCGAGTATTTGGTCTGTGTGGGTGGTTTTGCGGTATACTTGTGTGTTTAGTGTACCGTCATCTATTCTCGTTGGTAGGATGTCGAGGAAGGTAAGTTGTTTGTCGTGTTCTTCGTCTTTAGTAAAGGTAATGTTCTTTGTGGTATCGTTTATGGTGTGTAGGATTTGTTCAGTTTTGTCTTTCTTGACTATGGCAAAGATGTCGTCGACATATCTTTTCCATAGTCTGATGTTTGTGTTGTTTGTGACTGATTGTGTTTCGAGGTGTTGCATGACAGCTTCTGCGAGGAAGGTGGATAGTGGTGATCCCATTGGTGTGCCTGAAATTTGTCTGTAGTATGTGTTTTGGAAGGTGAACTCAGTGGAGAGGCAAAGGTTGAGTAAGTCTAGGATGTCATTTTTGTCTAGTTGCGTTGTAGCTTGCCAAGTTTTGTCGTTTGTGAGTAGTTCGTTTGTAATTTGTTTGGCAATGTCTAGTGGTATGGATGTGAAGAGTGATGTCACGTCGTAGGATATCATGATTTCGTCTGGTCGTAGTTTAATGTTTTCAATACTGGCGAGGAAAATGGTGGCATTTCTGATGGTGTGAGGTGAATTTTTTTTTTGACAAATGGATACAGAATGTTATAAAGATATTTTGAAAGTTCATACGCAGGTGATCCTGGAAGCGATACGATAGGTCGAAGTGGGTTGTTTTCTTTGTGGATTTTTGGTAGTCCGTAGAATTTGACGGTGGATGCGTCATTGGGTCGGATTCTTCTGTAGTCGCTTTCGTTTAGTTTCTTTTTGTCTTTTAGTTGTTTCAGTTTCTGGTTGATGCGGTTGGTGGTCATTTTGCTGGGGTCTGTGTGGAGACGTTCGTAGGTGGTGGTGTCTTGTAGGAGGGTTTTGGCTTTGTCGATGTTTTCTGATGTGTCCATGATAACTGTTTTGCGTCCTTTGTCAGCTCGTAATATGATTATTTGGTCGTCGTTTTGTAGGTTTTTAATTGCTCGTAGTTCTTCGTAGCTTAGGGTGACAGGTGGTTTGTGGCAGAGGTTATTTGTGATTTTGTGACGAATGCCTTCTTTCGTTTGGTCTGTTAACGTAGTCAAGTTTGTTCGCGTCTTTAAAGTTGTAATTTAATCCTTTGTTTAAAATTTTTATTTGCTGTTCGGTTAGTGCTTTGTTCGAGATGTTTGTGACAAATTCGTTTGTGCTGGGATGGAGTTGTTTGTAAGATCTGGATTCTTGTAATTTTCGATGAAGTTCGTGGTGTCGTTTTGTTCTATATGCGGATGTTTCTTTTTTGATGGTTTCATTAATGGATTTGGCGTCTGATTGTGTCGTGTGTGTTGTTACGGTTTCTCGATGTTCTTGTAGTTTATGACGGTAGATTCGTAAGCGGTTGTGGGCCTCTGATTCGAGGACTTTTAACATACGGCGGCCGTTAGATTGTGCAATTTGTTGAGCGTGAGTTGTTTTCAATGGTGGTCAATAGTTGATGCTGTTCGGTAGGATTCGTTGTTGTTTGCATTTGTGTAGGAAGTGAAGCTGCTCCAATGTTGATGACTCTTTTACGCGCACGTTAATGAAGCCATCAAAAAAGCAACATCCGCAAAACAGAACAAAACGACACCACGAACTTCATCGAAAATTACAAGAATCCAGATCTTACAAACAACTCCATCCCAGCACAAACGAATTTGTCACAAACATCTCGAACAAACCACTAACCGAACAACAAACTAAAATTTTAAACAAAGGATTAAATTACAACTTTAAAGACACGAACAAACTTGACTACGTTGCCGTCCTGGAATCCGCTTTAAAGTACACCAACTTAACAGACCAAACGAAAGAAGACATTCGTCACAAAATCACAAATAACCTCTGCCACAAACCACCTGTCACCCTAAGCTACGAAGAACTACGAGCAATTAAAAACCTACAAAACGACGATCAAATAATCATATTACGAGCTGACAAAGGACGCAAAACAGTTATCATGGACACATCAGAAAACATCGACAAAGCCAAAACCCTCCTACAAGACACCACCACCTACGAACGTCTCCACACAGACCCCGGCAAAATGACCACCAAACGCATCAACCAGAAACTGAAACAACTAAAAGACAAAAAGAAACTAAACGAAATCGACTACAGAAGAATCCGACCCAATGACGCATCCACCGCCAAATTCTACGGACTACCAAAAATCCACAAAGAAAACAACCCACTTCGACCTATCGTATCGCTTCCAGGATCACCTGCGTATGAACTTTCAAAATATCTTTATAACATTCTGTATCCATTAGTCAAAAAAAAAAATTCACCTCACACCATCAGAAATGCCACCATTTTCCTCGCCAGTATTGAAAACATTAAACTACGACCAGACGAAATCATGATATCCTACGACGTGACATCACTCTTCACATCCATACCACTAGACATTGCCAAACAAATTACAAACGAACTACTCACAAACGACAAAACTTGGCAAGCTACCAGGGGCGGATCTAGGATTTTTCAAACGTCAGTCCTAAACCGGCAAACGCCGTATAGGGTCCGAGGGCATCCTCCCCTGGAAAATGTTGAAGCCTAGGGTCCCAGAAATGCGATTTCCAGCGTTTTGGAATAGCTTTACAACAAATGTTCAAAGTGAATTAAATCGCAGTTTTTCATTTTTTCGTACAAAATATTGAGGACAAACACGCTAAGACCGTTTCGCCCAATGTCAGGGCTCTTCAGCATGTCTAGGAAACACATAGTGAAAAGCAATAATGTGATTCCGGACATGGACAGTCTTTGTTTTAGCAGCAACGGCGCATTAAGCAGCCAGTTGTGCTGTAAGACATTTCTGCAGCAACGGCGCATTAAGCAGCCAGTTGTGCTGTAAGACATTTCTGCAGCAACGGCGCATTAAGCAGCCAGTTGTGCTGTAAGACATTTCTGCAGCAACGGCGCATTAAGCAGCCAGTTGTGCTGTCTTACATTTCTGCAGCAACGGCGCATTAAGCAGCCAGTTGTGCTGTAAGACATTTCTGCAGCAACGGCGCATTAAGCAGCCAGTTGTGCTGTCTTGCATTTCTGCAGCAACGGCGCATTAAGCAGCCAGTTGCAAAGTCAGTAATATTTCTACAGTAACGTAGCCATAACACATTAAGCAAATTTCAAACGTGTATTACCTTCAGCAAACTTATTGATCACTCTTTCTATGCCAGGAATAATTTCTGGGTGAATTCGCATTAAAGCCAGGCCATTTAAACGTTCCTCTACCATAGTGCTCCTTTGGTAGGTTTTTAGGTTCCTCAGTGCTGAAATTGATCTCTCACATTCTCATGAGGTGATTGGTAGTGTACCTAAAATGCGAAGAATAACTTTAATATTTTCAAATCCTGGAAATGTTACATGCTTCAGTGTTTTGACGATGTTTTCTGGCAAAGGCCCATTGTGCGTTTCTCAGTATAAACGCCATTGCCTTAATTCAGCATCTAAACCAAGGGGGTTGGGCAAGTCATCATAATAGAATTCTGCAACACTTTTAAACTGTTCTTTCCAATCACTTCCTTTGTCCGACAGAGTCATCATTTTGACGGGAACGATAGATAATCCGCGGTACACATTAACACTATCCAAGTTAAACCTAGTGCTCAAAGATGTTTGAAGATGGTCTAATAACGGAATAGTGATGGTTAGTTTATAATATTCTTTGAATGATTGACTGGGAGGATTAGATCGCATAGTTTGTCTTCCAGCAATTCGCTTTTTTGTTTCTTGAACGTTCACCTCTTCAGCAAGTTTTAAAGCCTCTTCATACCAAGTGTTATGATAAAAATTAACGCTTTTCCTCATGTTGGCTACATCATTCTTCAAAGTGGTTATCAAATGAAAACCATCCATGACATCAATAGTTTTTCCCTGCAACAATTGCGTGACTGGAAGAGTAGCATCAAGAATATTTCTAGTAATAACTAGCGCAACAATAAAATGAAATTGAGTAACTAATGAAAGTAACTGGGAAGCATCAGCAGCAAGAGAAGGCTTCACCTCGCCACTTACATTGTTTATCATGTCCTGAAGAGTGTCGATTAAAGGAATAAACAATTGTTGAAACGTGTCAAGACTGTCAACTCGCTCAACCCATCTGGTTTTACAAAGACTTACCAGTTTTGCCTTCTTGGTCTGAACATCTGACTTTTTAACGTGCTCAGCAAAGGGTATGTTGCGTGTCTGTGATATGTTGATAAAATTGGCAGCTTGAGAAACAACAGATAACATGTTATTAATTTCAACGTTAGAAAGAGTGTCACAGACAGACAAATTTAGTCGATGACTGTAACAGTGAGTGTAAAGAGCTTTAGGATTAGTTCTTAAAATGTGGGCTGCTAAACCATTTATATGCCCAGAAACTGCCCCTGCACCATCATAACCTTGTCCCCTGCAATCCATAATGGGTAAAGCAAATTTCTCTAGAGTTTCTAAAATAAGCTTTGCAAGTTGTTGACCACTCAACCCCCATTTGCAATGCAGGAAACACATGAACTCTTCTTTAACATTCATTGAAGAGTCAACAAACCGTAGAACAAGGGACAATTGCTCTTTGTGAGAAGAATCAGCAGCTTCATCTGCAATGATAGAATAATATCTATTTTTTTTTATCTCGTTTATAATATCTTCTGATATTACCTGACCAATACAATTGATGATTTTGTTTTGACTGGTCTTGGAAATATAACTTTTATTCTTGCCACATTTGAGCAAATGATTTTCCAAAGTTTGATCACCAGCTCTAACTCTAAAATTTAAAGATTCAACAAAATTACCAACATTGCCATTGACTGAATAGCAACCGACCTCTGGGTGAAATTGAGCATCATCACAATGACCTCGTAATCCAATGCCAAGCCTTCCACAAAAAAGAACTGTATCAACAATTTGTTTAAGAATTTTCCTATTTTGCTCAATTTCAAGTTTTATGTTAGTATCTAAGATATTTTCAATGGGTTGAGCTACACCTGACATTTGAGATCGTATATTATTCAAAATTGGAGAAGTAAATGCATGCAGTCCCATTTTTTCCCCCTTACAATTTCCAGCATGTCGCCTAAATGTACCTACAGCATCATTCCAATAACGAAAAGGTGAACGAAATAGCTTGCTTATTCTCGAGCATTTACTGGGGAATTGATGTCCAAAAAGAACACATGATAAGCAATAAGCACCATCTTCCTTTGGTGAATAACACAGCCAGGCAAAATCTTTGAGCCATTCATATTTAAAAGACCTTTTATTGTTCTCACTTAAAGGAGGAAAAGTGTAATTTTCATCTGGTTTAAAAATATTTTAATAAGCACAAATATCAGACATTTTCAAACCTTTAGCTCTTTCGTAGTAGGTAGCTACATCAAAATTGTGACTAAAGTTAGGCTTTACCTGTAAATCTTCAATGGTTTGTTCAGAAACCCTAGTACAAGAAACCTCACTTGTAATGATTTCTGGTTTTTCCATTTTTGAAAAAACTTACTGATATTCCCTGACTTTTTTTCTGCTTTTGCTTTTTTTGAAGGCACTGGGCATGTTGGACCAGAAATTGTCCTTTAGTTTTGCTAGGAAAAAAAACTAGAGGAACAAAATGATTAGGTTGGAAACATTGATCTGATTTAACTACCCCTTTATAACAAAACAAAAGATGAATTGCATCGGCTGATTCTTTAACCATTCTTCTCGGACAAATCCTCTCTCCACAATCTGGGTAATAGGTAAAAATTTTTGTCTCCAACACAGAAGAAAGAGCTAAAATGCATAGAAACGATGACCACTTTTGGTCATGACAATTCAAAAAGGCCTCCTTTTTGACAAGATCAACACCTACAAAACCAGAATCTAGACAGTCTTGAGATACTGCCAAAGGTAAAATATTCTTTGAGGTGTTGTTGAATTCTTTATGCTGTTCAACAATTGAGGAAAATAAAGGATGTTGGCAGTAAAAAGTAGCATTCAAAAACAGCTCAAGTGATGTTAACTGCCTCAAAATATGCAATAAACTGTTATCACCTGCCAAAAGCAATGAAACTGAACTGTAGAGACAGTTGCCAGATACTTCTGATCTAAATTGGATAAAAAAGTCGTGTTCCTATAAGTTATCCAACAAAAATTTAACTAACTGGCCAGGAAATATCTAACATAGCTACGTAGTTACATGTAGAAGATAATTCAAAGTTCAAATATAAATTCACTATTCGCTGAATTTATGCCAATATTTATAATAAAATTAAAAGCCCAAGCCGTAGATCTTCAGTATACACTGCACAAAATGAAATCTGCTTCATTAAAATTCATACAACAGTCAATAGACAAAAACCACATCTCATAGTCGCATAAATTGATATTAATGGTTGGATACCTTAAGGCCATGCATACATTTCCTTTGTCCTCGTGTTGCTTACGTACGATTTTGGGGATGTAAATTTCTGCTGAGAACTCTCTGCTCAATGATGTTTCGCCTTTCAAAAGCAATGATAAGAATTCCGCTCTCGGCATTTTAGTCGCCCCACAATATTCCTCATTCAAACGCAATTTCAATTCATTCAGAGATTTATCATTCTCTTGCGAAATTGCAGTCTGAACAGCAGCATACATATCAATATTTAACATTGTAGTTTGTAAACGATTTTCCAAATAAATAGTATGAAACAGATTTTACAAACCACGCTAAAGTGAATCACAATGTGATGATCTATCTCGCATTCCAGACACCACGCTTGACTATGTTAGTTCAGTTGGCTATCAGTCGAAATCCGTCAAACCAATCACAATAAAACAAAAATTCAAATGAACCAATTGTAAGATAGCAATTGGACTCCTTATACGTCCGGCCACCCTTATTATCAGTCGAGACCATTCCAGACTGTCCACTGATCTGGCCATTGACCAATAAAATAAGCGTTTTTGTCGTTGATAGACTCCTTTATCCGTCGAACCAGTCAAGCCACTCCGATTATCAGTCGGTTATTCCAGGTCAATTAAAATTCAACTGATCTGGTTACCAAGGAGATATTCATTGGATTAGTCATTAGTTTTCAATAATAAATAAAGCTGGATTTTTATCACGAAGTAAATGCGATAAGAAAGTAAGAATAATTAATGAATTTTAACTAATATGAATAGGTAATTTTTGAATTTCAAACATCAGTCGAGCGACGGATTTGACATACTCTAGATCCGCCCCTGCAAGCTACAACACAACTAGACAAAAATGACATCCTAGACTTACTCAACCTTTGCCTCTCCACTGAATTCACCTTCCAAAACACATACTACAGACAAATTTCAGGCACACCAATGGGATCACCACTATCCACCTTCCTCGCAGAAGCTGTCATGCAACACCTCGAAACACAATCAGTCACAAACAACACAAACATCAGACTATGGAAAAGATATGTCGACGACATCTTTGCCATAGTCAAGAAAGACAAAACTGAACAAATCCTACACACCATAAACAATACCACAAAGAACATTACCTTTACTAAAGACGAAGAACACGACAAACAACTTACCTTCCTCGACATCCTACTAACCAGAACTGATGACGGTACACTAAACACACAAGTATACCGCAAAACCACCCACACAGACCAAATACTCGATTTCAACAGCAATCATCCAACACAACACAAAATAAGCTGCATTCGAACACTTTTCAACAGGATAAACACTCATTGTAATACGGAAGAAGCCAAAAAAAACAGAACGCAACTACTTATACTCCACATTTATTAAAAACAACTACCCTAGAAACTTCATAAACAAAACTATATACAAAATACAAAACAAAACACAAACCGACAAAAGCAACAAAAAACCGGACGAAACAGTAAAAATCGTCACATTACCATACATAAACGGAACATCAGAAATGACTGCCAGACTTCTTCGACCATTTAATATTAACGTCGCCCACAAACCTACACAAAAACTCAAATCATGTTTCACCAAACATAAAGACAAAACAACAATTCATGATACAACTGACGCGATCTACATGATACCATGTAAAGACTGTTCAAAACAATACATAGGACAAACATCTAAGAAAATTGAAACAAGACTCACAGAACACAAAAACGCCATAAAACGACAAGATCCGAACTCACTACCGGCAGAACATACCCACGGAAACAACCACACATTCGACTGGACAGAAACTAAAGTACTCGGACGCACACAGACTAAACACGCACGCGAATTTAAAGAAGCTTGGTACAGTGAAGACAACGACACAATAAACAGACATATCGACATACCCATCATATACTCACAACTAAAGAAAAAGAACAAAAAAACTACAAACAACACCAAAACTAAAACACTACACTCTAATATTATTAACACCAACCATATTAACAACACACCAAAACCCATGGCAACGCATTTCACCCCATCCAATCACATTAATCCACCCACTAATCCAATTAGACGCTCTAAACGTCTCCAAGCTAAAACCACGTGTAAATAAATATCCTCATTCTGATGAAGGCTCGAAGCAACGAGTCGAAAGCTCAATAAAAATCATTTAAAAATCCGGAGAAACGTTTATCTTTTATATATTCAATGCTTGGATTACAAATTTTCAAACTTATATATATATATATATATATATATATATATATACACAAAGTGTATATACAATGTGCCCTCCCGGCTATCACCATAGTAATATGGTGACTCCTGCACTTGGGTCACAGAACGCATAATTACACATTGTATGGATTGTATTGTAGAGTCACCACAGTGCTCAAACCTTTAAAGGTGAGCTTTGCTTAATACGAAAACGATGAACGTCTGTTTATGAGACTCTCTACACAATCCGAGAGTGCTCAAACTACGCACGCTAAAGTGCAATGGTGACTCCTGCACTTGGGACACAGGACGTACAGTTTATAAATATGTATACATAAGACAAGTTTCTCCGGATTGTGTTAAAAATTATTTATTAAGCTTTCGACTCGTTGCTTCAAGCCTACATCAGAATGAGGAAATTATAAATTACATGTGCTTTTAGCTGGTAGACGTTTAGAGCGTCTAATTGGATTAGCGGGTGGATTACTGTGATTGGATGGGAGGGGGGGGGATGCGTTGTCATGGGTTTTGGTGTACTTTTAATATGATCGGTGTTAATATTATTAGAGTGTGATGTTGTAGTTTTTGTGTTGTTTTTAGTTTTTTTGTCCTTTTTCTTTAGTTGTGAGTATATGGTGGGTATGTCAATAAGTAAAAAGTGTGAGAAATCACGAAACAGGCTGTTCGGAATGAAACTGTAGTTTTTGTGTATTTTCTTCTTCTTATCAATACATATATACATCATATTTTTATCAAAATAATTAAATAAATAAAATGAAGAAAAATATAAATGTATATATGATATATAATATATTGGTATATATATTATATATTATATATATTATAATTGGGGAGAGTTATTGTTCGATTATACAATTTAGCTAGCTAAGTCATTTATTTCGATCGCCTATGCTGTTATTTAGCTTTTACTTTATCATTCAAGTGATATTCGTCTTTATATTGAGTTGAAGAAGTAGTTCTTTTAAAATAGCTTGCTTCTTTAAAATTTCTTGAATTACGGGTAATATGTTTGTTTTGTGATTTTTTGCCTAATATCATCGGTTTGGAGTTAATCATTTTTTCCATTGTTATCCAGTTGATCTCTTAATTTTTTTCTTCCTAGATTCATTTGGTTGTGTTCTTGATGAGTTGTTAATCACTGATGGAAGAACTTCAAACTCTACATGTGGAAAATCGATTGTAAATGGAAGTCCACTTTTCTTCAACAACAACAAAGTTAATGTCAGCTTTCGTTCCTCTTATTTGCCAAGCAGCAGTTCTGGGTTTTTACTGACCTTCAGAGTCTTTAATTATACAGGTAGTTGTTTGATTATTCGTTCATGCTAGCTCTAGCTGTAACAACAACTTCATGTCTCACTGTTAATTCAAACAAACACCTAATTATTTTAACTACTCTTGCAAAGGTTTTAATTATTTTTCAGTCATGAAAAATTGGCAAAAGTCCAGTGTCTGCTTCAGTTTTAAACAAGCAAAATACAGAGTACAATGGTTTCACATTTTACGTTCCTACTAGTTTTTCATCTGTTTTTTGCAAGCTGCGAGCTAAGAATACAAAGTTGAAACTTTAACATAAACAAAATAAAAATAAATACAAAACTTTCACTAAAAACTTTTAGGTCCACTGTTACAAATGTGTAAAGAAAGTTTACTTATTTTTGAAATATCCTTCTTAGCTGCGGCTGAGAGAAACTTGATATAACTCAACTGAAAACTCGTGCTCCTTTGAAAAAGCCACTTTTGGATCTTGTTTAACCTTATTTCCTTTAAATTAGCCTTTCTCCCTTTGTTTTCTTGCTATAATAAAGATTGTTTGAGACTGCTGGTATAAACCAACCGAAGACGGTGCTAAAAATTTTGTGTTTTGCAGACCTAAGTACAATCTTAAAAATCGGTGATTGTCATTAAAACAATTAACTGAAATAAGTTAGCTGTGTTTGCTCTTACAAGACTACTGTCAAATTTTTGTCAAACACATTTGGCAGTTTTACATGTCAGTGTCTTGTCGGATTCACTGGCGTCAACTGCACAAGTAATTTCTTAGAACACTTTTACTGTAGACTTTTGTCGTTTGCATACATTTCTTTCTTTCTTTAGAAATCCCCAATGCATATATTTTGATCACTGTAACACTGAGCAAGACGTATACTGAGTCCCTTAATGATTTAACATCAAAAGATAGTCAAGCCCTCATCAATGAACTTAAAGCTTATGTAAGCTAGTTTTTTTGCATGTCTATTTTTTTGTCAATGTTATTACAAATTTTAATGCGTTTGTCTTGTCTTTAGCTTCGTGAAAACTATTCTAACGTTCCTCAATATCGTGGCTTTAACGTCATAGAATTCAAGTTAGTTTCATACTTTCTTTATCTTTTATCAATTTGCTTGATCAATTTTACGTACATTTTTCGACGTAGGCGTGGAAGTGTTATTGTTGATGGTGAACTCGTATTTGTGAAAGATTCAGAAAACACTATTATGCCTGTTTTGAGAGATATTAACAAGTCTGGCAATCTTGCAAATTATTCTTTTCAACCTGGATCGTTATTGCATCGTAATCTACCACGTATGTTAGAGCTTCATATTAATCATTAATTTGCTGTTATTTCGTGCGACTCTCTCATAAAACCTTTGTTTTCTGTTATAAGCATTTTCAAACATTACAATGAACAAGATCACCGGTGGTTATGCACGATATGAGCTTGAACTGAGTTGTGAAGTTATTGGCCCATCACTACCAATATTTGAATGGCGAAACGGGAGTAAAACACTGTCGCTATCAAGCCGAGTTCGAGTTGAAACTAAAAATAAAGTATCAAGACTGTTTGTTCGAAAAAGTGAAAAATCTGATTCTGGAGTGTACAGATGTATAGTAAGGTGTGTGGACTATTGAAAAGTATTTTATTTTAAGCATATTTCTATCACGTTGTATATCTTTGTAAATTTAGGAAAGGTGAAGACCGTATTAGTCATTCAATGTACATCAAAATTCGAGCTCCTCCAGTCGTCACTGTTTCTCCACTTTCATTAACTGTCACTAAAGGTATGTACTTATTACTGATAGCAGAGAGATGAAGTTGGGATTTCAATACCATGCTAATACCTTGATGTAACGTTCGTTTTGGTTTTTCTAACGGGAATTTTTAAAGTTTTGTAGAGACGAATAGTTGTATAGACTTAACACAAAAACCAGCAAGACAAATATAGCGAATGCACTTGATATTACGTAAGAAGAACTATTACAGACAATTGTTGATGACAATTTTGTCAAAGAGGACGCTGTCATTAAATAATCACGCTACAAGATCAAATAAAACCCATGACTTGATTTTACCTTCACAATATATTCATATAGCAATATTCAAAAACGAACAGACTTTGGTTGTGGCGTCTTCTTTGCAAGAAAAACTTATGTAACTCACACCTTTTGGCATTGGTATCGGATTTCACTCTAAAAATTTCTACCAACTTTCAATTGTTTTTAACGTTCAGTAATCATTTTTTAATTGCTCGTGATGGAGTACATAACCAGCAAAGATTTGCCAATTTTATTATTACATCTTACCATTTCTTTTTGTTGCATGTTGAGTTAACTCGAATGTATTATGCCATATTAATGCATTTTGTTAAACAGTTGGGTAAAATAGGGCAAGAGCAGATCTAGGAGATTATGAAAGAGGGGGCCAAACTCTGAATTTGTTTGAAAACTGAAACTGGCGTGTCATTTTTTACTATTGTTCAATTGATTGGGGTTTTTTCTAGCAAAACGGGGGGGAGCTGACACTTCGTCACCCCGTCCTAAATCTGCCCCTGTAGAACGAGTGTTAATGTCATGTTTGTTTTCCTTTCACGAAGGCAACTCCGTAACACTGTTTTGTAATGTGCTATCTGGTTATGAAGAAGATATAAGCATCCTGTGGTTTAATAGTTCTTCTCCTTACAAACACATGCAAAGCGGACGGCAGCTGGATCTTACAAATCTTATTCACCTGGGGAACAAGCAGAGAGTCACTTTTCAGTATTGGTGTAACGCTACTAACTCAGATGGTACAACTCGTAGTAAGATTGTGACAGTTGTTGTAGTGTCAAAAGGTATATAGTTTTGTTTATTTCCTTGTCCTAACTTTCATTTGTGCCAAGGTGGGTTAATTAGGAAGCTTTTAAAAATATGATTAGCTGTTTTTTTGACAGTGGCTTTCTTTGATACGATAATACCCTCATTGTCAAAATTATAAAATCTAATGGTGTTATTCATTACACTTATTGATTGGTTCGTGTAATTTGATGTGCACAAAACCTCAAAGTCCATTTAATTCCTGGAAATTGTAGGTTTCAATCAATTCTGTTCAGCTGAATCATCTGGTGGTTACGCTTGGAACAGAACTGCAGTGGATATAAACGTCGTTCAAAATTGTCTTTCAGGAAAACAAGGTTTCTTTTTCTTTTCTTCAGCAAGCAATTTTCTTTGACATAGTAAATAATATACTTTCAAAAATTTTGCTCTACCTCTCTGTGTAGGATATGTCTATCGGTTATGCTCAAAGAATGCTGATGGCAAAGCGAACTGGGGATTCGTCAATAATTCAGGCTGTCGCTCTGTAGATGTTATTGAGCTTGTTGACCAGGTATTTTTTCTTGCGATCCTGCTCTTAGATCACGCCAGATTATTAAGAAAATTTTATATCTGGTCAATCTACTTTGAAGGTAAAGAGGTTAGACAGCGGATTTGCTTCAAATAATGTGAGCGAAATTATACAGAAAACTGAGAAAATTACAAAGGATGAAGAACTCTTTGAACAAGATGTTGAGGATATTGTATTTGTTTTGGAGAAGACACAAACAAAAACGGCAACGCAAAGCGACCGTCAGAATTTTATCCGATCTTCAAGTAACATCGTCAAGAATGAGAAAAAGGATGTTTGGATCAATATACCAGTTAGTAACTCTTTATAAAAGATAGCCAGTTATAGCTATTCCTAGTTGATAAAATAGTTTTCTAGCTTTCTTGTAAAATACAACACTTCAATATTTTTTGCCTTGAATTCATGCCTTGTCAGACATTTAAAGTTCGAACTTTTTTAACAGAATAGAAACAAGCTTGTCAGAAAAATTATTAGTGGTGCAGATTTGAATGCAAGGAAATTTGTCGCTATGAGTAACGAAAATGGGATCGTAACTTTCTCCACTCAAAATATCCAAGTGCTTGGAATAAAACTACCAGAAAACCCACCCTCTGAAACCATTCGTTTGCTAGACATCGCAGGTGGTGGAGGCGTTGTTATTCCTGGAACAGTGGCCATTGACATCAGTCAAGCAACTGTTATTAAATACTCAACAATCAAAAATATTTTGTCTCCTAAAGAGCTCCAAAAGTCTGTGGATAACAAGACGATAAAAGCAAGCATAAATTTAACTATTCAGAGCACAATAGTTTCCTTTAGCACCACACCGGAACTTAAAAATATAAGTCAACCAATCAAGATAGTCTTACAAAATAATCAGGTAAGCGTTGATGATTACTTTGATCTTGTTTCGTTCATACTATGGAATTTGGAACTTTTACCTTTATACAGAGTGGCTTCGTTGACCCTAATAGGACATGTGTGTTCACTGAGCCCCAAGTAACCAATAGTGAATGGAGTGGAGAAGGATGTGTATTAAATGAAATTGAATCATCGAAAGAAAATGTCACATGTGCTTGTGATCATAATACTGCCTTTGCTATCATGATGGATGTCTCTGGAGTAAAGGTAAGATGATATTTGAATGTTGAGCCTGCAGTCTTTTATACCTTTATTGAAAGTCAACATTCACTAGACTTAGGAAGAGTAAACAGAGTTTATGCTCTTTTTAAAGAATCCATGTACTTTAAGAATACGTGCTGAAATAAGAAGTGGTAAAATCAAAATATTTTTAAACTAAACGTTTGCCATATTTATCTTTTTTTTCATAAAGTTGACGGAAACAGATAGTAATGTTCTTGAACTTATCTCAACAATCGGTTGTTCCATATCGTTGATGGGTGTTATTTTAACGATACTAATGCATATTTGTTTCTGGAAGAAAATGAAGTTTCTTCAAGCTATTGTGCTCATTAATTTGTGTGTGGCTATTAGTTTCACAGACATCTTTGCTATTCTTGAAGGAGTTGCAAGAGATAATTCGGTAAGCTCTGTAGTTCCTTACTGCATGATTTATAGCAAGTGTTTACTTTTCAAAAACCGATTAATCAATTTAATCTATTCATTTCTATTAAAATATCCTGTAATAGAGAAGGGGTTTGCTTCTGTGTATCAAAAAGATGGCAGTGGCTAATAAGGAAGTATTTTTTATGATATTTTCAAATTTGATAAAATAATTCAATTTTTAATTCCTTTCGCCTTAAAAAACACAAGAACGTTTTGTTGTTTACTGGTCAGATTCCCATTTTTTTCAAAAAACTTCAATTACTTTTTTCAGTGTTCGTCAATGCAGAGCAGCATCGCCTGACTTGTTACTTTTTGCTTGGTTCATGCATTTGCAAACAGCCAGAACTCAATCACTCATTAATTGTTCATATTTGCATTAATATACATTGATGCCCAAGCGATAAGGATTATTAAAAAATGGTATTAAAGAAACAAAAATCTAGTGTAATACGCTATTTGAAATTTTTTTTATTTTAATGAAGAAACAGTAAATTTATTTAATGATAAAAATGGTACAACTTTTATAACTACAGCATACAAATACAAAAATGTTACATAAAATCAATGTTTGAAATATCCATGATAAATTTCAAATTACTAGCTTGAAAAAGAAAAAGAAAGAAAAAAAAGGAACAGTCAGATGTAAAGACAACTTTCCCAATTACCTAGGTCAATATTTGAAGTGTGTTTGAAAGATAAGTGTTTGCAATGGCTGTAAATTTGCTAAAAATATTTTAGCTTAAACAAAATGCGCCAGTATGTACCCTATTTGTTTCAATTGATTTTTAATTGTGTTGTTTTTGCATTCAAGCTATCTCAAATGTTGTTCTTGGTAATACAATTACCTTAAAAATAATTCCATTTGTAATGGAGTAATAGATTTAAACGATACGATTGCAATGTTACATCATGCCTTGAATCTTTGAGTTTTGTCCTACGCAGGTGAAACAAATGTAATTAAATGAAGGACTAGTTAAGAATAGTTAGGTAAAGTCACCTATTGATAGTTTTCAGTAACGGTTTCATTCTTAGCTTAATCAGTTTACTATCTTTGATGCTCGCATTTAAAATTGACTCTACAACATCTTTATATGCCTGATAAAAATATTTTCCCTTGTTTTCTCAACGACATAGCTCTCCCCTTTCAAATTCTTTGCTTACTGTCTGTCAAAGAAGATGCAATTAAATAAATGCTATTTTTGCTAGATTTTACTCATCACGATTTCCACAGGATTGCTCTCAACAAATTCTAAACTCCACTTTTTTTAGATGAAATCAATCTCCTAGAAATAGTAGGCACTTTTGCTTGATTTTTAAAGCTAAAATGTTCTAATAGATTAACAAATGTTTTAAAAAACATTCAAAAAAAATGTTAAAAAAAAACTGCATGAGAAAAATGTTAAATAGAAATGATATTTAAAATGAGACTGACAATCCTTGAAATCTAGAAACAATAATCAAAGTATATGAAAGTATTTTCCATGTTTTTTGTCTTTCCATTGAAAAATATATTATTTTTGTACTGTCCATACAATATATTTGCATTGTTTAACATAACACTTATTCTCATATTCTAAAAGCTCAGTCATACAGTCTCACTCAGTAGTGGATTTAGAGTACGTCAATATAAATTGCTGCAAAACATTTTGGCGTATATTTTCATCTCTGAAAACCTTAAACAAAAATCCATTGGTAAATTTATATTCTTCAGAAACTAAAAACCAATAGAGTTTTGAATCTGAGTGTAATTTGATTTTAAAATCGAAGAGCTATAATTTATTTTAACGTACACTGTATCCGTCACTTGTCACATTCACGGTGTGGGGCGTCATGTTTACATCATTCTTTCAGAAGGCATGATTTTCATTCCACTGACTGCTTGATTTAAAACAGTTTAACTAAAATTTGACATTAATGAAGAAACGACTTTCCTATTTTTAAAGGGAATGCGATTTTTCTGTCACACTATGTGAGTGCATGTGAGTGTGATAGTGAATATTCTTTTTGTATACGTGGACGTTAATCTTCTTTGGCTTGATATTTTTTGGTCAGTTGAGTTCCATGTACGTTCGTGATCGTTTCACAATGAAAACACAGGCACTAAGAGATGAATCACTTGATAGTACTTTAACAATACAAATTTATTTATATTTTCACGATACCAACTAACCTGCTTTTTAAACAGTGCACCATATTCTATGAATTTCTATTTTGAAGATGGTAGAGGTAAAAGATCTAATTAATTTCAAAACATAGAAATTAATATATGTCTATGTTGCAGGATTTCTGTAAAGCGGTTGCAGCTAGTCTTCACTTCTTTGTACTGTCTGTGTTTGGGTGGATGTTGTGCGAAGGAATACTTCTTAACATCTTGCTTATTAACCCAAAACGTTATGACGCTCATGGAAAATATTGCAAGATTTTCTGTTTCATTGGCTGGGGTAAGTATGAAATTTTTCCTGTTTCTATTTGAAAATTTACGAAATTTACTATACGGCTTGTCTAATTTAGGAATTCCATCACTTGTTGTTTCCATATCATTTGGTGTTACTGAAGGAGTTGGTTACGGTGGTAAATCATTCTGCTGGCTAGAAGATAAATTGATTTGGGCGTTTTTTGTGCCTGCAATTCTTATTTTCATGGTAGGTTTCTATATCTTAAACTGCTGTTATGAAAACGTACTACTATAATAATTGGTAATTTAACAATAATTGTATTTTCAGGTTAACCCTGATTGATAATTTAATAATAATTGTAATTTCAGGTTAACACGGTCGTTTTCATCATGGTAATGCCCAAATTGATCAACTCACAAAATGATCAACAACAAGATAACATGCACAAAGTAAAAATTGGAGTTAAAAAGGCAATGGTTTTGCTTCCTGTTCTTGGGTTGACATGGGTCTTCGGTTTGATGACGTTCAATCACGAGACAATGATTTTCCGTTATCTTTTCGCTATTCTTAATTCCACTCAAGGATTGCTGATCTTTCTTTTCCACTGCGTTCAAGATGAACAGGTTAAACTTGAATTATCATAACACCAGTGCTGTAGAATTGAATTTATCAGATGGGGGGCTCTCTTGACGTTCTTGTCAATAGTGCCCTTTTAACCTTTTAAAATTATCCATTTCAAAGGTAGAAGAGGGCCTCTTCCACCACCGCCCCCACCCCCCTTCCACACACTGCATAACACTGGTTTTTAACTTTGTAATAAGCATGTCTGAGGATTCCAATAAATTTTCTAGATGAGGAAACTCGTTAAAAATAGAACTAAGAGCACTTTCTCTTCAAGTGCAGGAAATAAAGGTATAGTTTTAAAAATTGTTCATTTCCTTTTGACTATTGTCTGTTGTACGTCATTTGTAAGTTTCTTGACGTAATGTTTTTCACTTCTTTCCCAGGCTCGTCTGCTTCTCAGGGAATGTTTTCAAATTCAACGACTAATCTAAAATCGGCAAGAAAGAATAGCAACTTGAATGGAGAGGAAAATGAGTGGCAGTCACAAAGTATACATTCTACAACTTCCTTGCAAGGTATGGAAAACTAAATGTCAAAACACGAGAAGAATTTCAATGAGGACTCCACCATTTATTGACTTGATTGTTACTCAACCTTTTAATGTATGATTTTTTTCAATTGAGTTCCAGTATATTTTTTGATTGTGATTATGTGGAAACCGTCGACAGAGTGCTATTTCGCTTGTAGCTGTCTCTGTACTGAATTGCAACCCTCGCGAGGAACACCTGTCTTAATACTCTTTCTTGCCCAGCATTAGGATTACGAAACTCAAAATGTCCCGACACAGTTGGTTGACATTTTCAGCATGCATAAGACTACGCTTTTTTGTATTAACCATTAATAAATGACTTTTTTAAACGAGTCTCATTTTCGTTATTGTTTCCATATGACAATCATAGGAAACAAAGGGTTGATGCGTAAATTATTGGAAAGAAAGTAAAATCCTTATTTTTTGTATAGGAAAAACACATAATACTTTCAAGTCATCTCAGCCTCGAGACAGTCCGGAATTTGAAATGCTATCCAAGAATACCGTTTAACAAAATGGATCATCGTGTGACCATGCAAAATCTCCAAAAAGTTTCGTCGTTTTACCTCAATATTATAATTATATCATTCTTAACAGCACATACACAAGGAACAGTAAATATTTTAAATGGCACCCTTGTAAGTCATGACAAGTATACGATATATGTAACGTCGTATAGTTTATTTGTTGACATTTATAAGTAAGTATCTACGTATAAGAATTTAGCATTGCACATTACTTTGTCTGAATTACATTACTGTCTTTATAAGTTATTTAGTTAAATACACCTATTCATGTTTTGAACAAAAAATGATTCTTATTTATTTTTTAGCTAAACTGGAATTTTTGAAATCCTTTTGAGATTTCCGTTAAAAAATTGCTTGTATTCACATTATATAACTATTGCGCGTGATTATATATGTTTACTTATTGTTAACAAACAGAAATCTCTCATAACCAGTAGTATATCATATAAACGGGGTTTTCCATTTAGTAAGCATACAATAGCTATGAAGACTATTCTACGCTTAGATTTATCATTGGTTCTGCCTATTGTACTTCATTGTGCTTGCAACTAATCTTATCGATACATACCAACCCATAAAAGAGAATGTTCTTACCAATCAAGTGAACGAACCTAAAAGATACGAAAAATATAAAACGAGTTTTTAATTATTACTGTGGTAATTCGTTTTCTGATAACTGTGGGTATTAATGGTAGTACATCATCTTCGATAATGTAGAGATCGGTGGATGTTTCTGCGTTCTTGTTTGATAGCTTTAATTCTTTTCTTTTTGTTATTACGTCGAGCTCTTCACCCTTTCTCGTTATCTTTTTTTTTAATGAATTCGGCTCATGTAGAATGCGACTTTTGAAACAGGTCTAAACATGTTAGATCAGTTTGACATCGGTTACATTACAGTGTATAATTGTTATTTATGCATTTCTCTACGAAGACCGTTGAGGAAACAAGAAATTTTGTCATGCTGTTAAAGGGCTAGCAGATTGAATTAAGATTTAGAGGGCTAAAAGAGGAATAGAAAATAATGAAATTTCTAACAGATTGACCATAGACGGGATTGACAGGTTTCTTGATAAATTTGCCGTTCAAACTAATTTTTTTCTGAAAGTTGCATTTTTTCAAATCATTTTGTGAGTTAACTTCTGAAAAAGTATCTTATCAAAAGCAACTTTACATCACATAATTTTCAAATTTTATTGCTTTACTTCAGCAATCAAACATTAACTGTATAATTACTTAGTGCGTGGGCGATGAGAGTTTGATTGAGTAAGGAAATATCGCTGTTTCGTTGATATTTTGGTGTTTTTTTTTACATTGCAGAAAATCCATTAAAAGGGACTTGTTAACTATGGGTGTTGTGATGTAGTGAAGAGTTTGAGGCGTCTTGGATTTCTACTGGACTTAAAAAACATTTAATAATTACAACAGAAATGAGTTAAGTTCCTTATTGAAAGAATGTTATTTTTAGATTTGGTACTTTGACCATTTCAATTACTCAAAATAATTTCACGCCTCACTGAATCCCGTTTCGCCGAGATCGTGTCAACAGGCACCACAACCCTTTCTACCATTAACCATATTCCATGGTCAATAGTAAGTCCCTTCAATAGGCTTTGCGTCCATAGGAAGCTTAACTCAGTGTAAGAAACCTTTGTGTTGTTCAATTCAACCTACAAAAATCCCGACTGGGATTTTGCAGTTTGTTCACTTGTCTTTGTTTACTATTTCTTTTGTCAAAAAAATGTGCATAAATAGATGAATAAAAATTCCAAACCTTTTGACGCTGATTGTGATTTCCTTATCAAGATCAATTGGTATTCAAATGAAGATGCTTTTCATGTACACATTTATTACAATCCACTCGTGACATAATTAAATTAGATCCCGTTCGCAAAATTAATTAAAGACTATCGCAAAAATGGCGTTATACATACACCAAAATATCTCGTTTTCCAGTAAATTTGACTCTTAAAACCTCGCTCATACTAATGATTCTGTAAAATCTGTATCGATTTCAGTCACCGAACACGTCTGGCCCACATGCGTGACAGTTGATATCATGACCTAGTTAACATAATTAAAGCTAAATCATTACCATAATGTGCGCACACGCTTTTTCTTAATTATGGGATCTATCTGTTGCATTCTGCTTTCATGTAGGTAATTTAAACGGTATTTTCTCTTTATTTTTTTTCCCGGTGGAATGCGTACGGGAATGAACCACTGCTGCTGTTGTTGTTTTGTTTTGTGACGGATCACGCTTAAATGTACAAGGGAAACTATAAAGAAAATGTACTCGCGCACATATCAGCATAAATACGAGGTACTAGAGTTCGTGTATCATAAAGCAAAAGTGTTATGATCATAACCCTTCTCCCCATGGCTAAAAATTTAAGCAGGTCGATAAAGGTGGTGAACGAAATTTGTGAAATGCTATAGTCTTCTAAAATACGCATTAATAAAGCAAAAGCATTATGCACCAATCTCCCCCCTCCCATCGACCGGAGGTAAAAGCAGATCAAGACAGGTGGTCAATTTTGTTTTTATATAATACATACAACATGTCATTAATTAATTATAAGGTATTCTTTCTCGAATGTGTCAGATCAACTGTCTGGACTTATGAATAATGGAGGATATATATGATCGGGGCTTGGAAAGACCTTGAATTCGCTTTAGAAGGCCGTTCACACCATAGACCTTCAGAATAAAATAATATCAAACGATTAAGTGATCTGTCAATTATCACAATAATATCTAACGATTAAGTGTGCACAATATCACAGTCAATTTAATTGACATAAGTCTTAGGATTTGCACCCCCCTGTTTATCATTGTTCTTACGACACCCTTCATGTCGGTAACGGGGGGTAGTCATACATTTATTGTAATTTTATTGTCATTGAAATTAAGAAAGGCGCATGTGTGCTGCGCGAGAAATGTCAAAAATACATTAATTTGATCTTATCTTTCGTTATCATCATTGCTGTGTTTTTCCATCGCGTTTGCTTTCATACCCTCGTTATCTTCATGAAAAATAACTTTGTCGCCTAGCTGACGCTCTCATGATCTCTTACACTTAAGTCATCTGAAGTTTATTTTTGTACGTTAATGGAGCAACCGCCGTTATGCAAACAATTTAATTGAATGAATTGGATCCGCTTTTGGGGTCGAACTTTTCATGTGCCAGTTATTTTAACTGGACGTTTTATGTAGGTCCGAAAGTAAGTTTATCCGTTGTCGCACTATCAGATTCAAAATATTTCAACACTGGTGTATACGCATATAAAAAGCATGTAACTTATACGAATTTGAACTCGTATCTTTGTGATACCACTCCATATATTGGAAGTAGACGAAACTTATTGTTCAAGTAAACATATTTTGATTAGTTTGACGATTCGACAGAAAACATTCAGGCATAAGCAAATGTGAACTGCAGTTTTGGGATAGCAGTTTGCCCCTCTACTTCTTCAGCTTCGGAGATTGGAAACGAGTGAAGCCTTCCATATTACGAAGTGGACAAAACTTAGTTGCCAAACAAAAATAATTACATAATTCGACTAAAAATCGTTTAGCTCGAATGTTTATTTAAACACTGCCATTGAGTATTGTGTTTGATAATTCAACTCGATTTAATTTCATTAAATGTGTTCATGACTTTTACAGCTGATAACGACCCGCAAATTATGTTAATGAGCTCAATGTTTTGTAAAGATGATAATTCAACGAGGGATAAGACTCAAAATATATACGTTGTGGTAAAATTAAACGTCATTTCTTATTCCTAAAGTACCTGTATTAGGGATGGGAGAAGAACTTCTTCAGGCAGTTAATGCGATTTTAAAAACAATTGTAACATATTTGACAGGTCGAAACAGTTATCTTTAAAGAATTTTTGGGCCTAGTAGATGACTTGCCAGCAGATGTGATGTAAAACGAGAAACGAAGTTTTACTTTTTAAACGTTTTCTTTGATTCTTTGTTGAAACGAAGTCGTCAAACTATGCACCTATTTGGGATGTTAAATTTTTAGTGCAGAGTTGCGAAGCTTTGCTTTAGCAGTGTATTTCTGTACAATAAATGCAATATCATTGTCAATGCATGTGTTCTCCTATTTACGTCACATCCGGTGTAGAGTCACACACTTCTTGGGCTAAAAGGTCCATAAAGATAAAATTTTCGTCTCTTACAAAATACTGCAAATGCTCTTACATAAATTTAACTATCTAAATAAGTTATTTTCCTGACTCTGATATGGGCACTTTAAGATCTATTCATTGAGTTTATTGAAAAATCAACCAGAAACAAAAATAGCATATAGCGTCTAATTGATTCTAGCATGTATGGGGTTTTTTCAAGATTCAATGTTAAACTCACTATATTTAACGTAAAATACTTTATTACCAAAACTATTGATGCATGTTATGTATACTGCGTCACAATCTTATCATTGTTCTCGTAACTTTTATTATCTGTTCGTGGCTTCCGACACGTGAACGAATAGTATGTAAATATTGCATTACGTAATCATTACTTTACTACGACATTAGAGTTGCACCACGTCTGCCTCTGGAATAATCGTGTTGAAAATTTGAATAGTTTTATTATTTGAGAAGATTGAGCCGTCAAGATATGCGTTGACTCTTGCATTGATATACTATTTGCAGGTCAAAGAGTGTTTGCAGATTAAAGAGTATTGGCAGATTGAAGAGGAGGGAAGAAAAAATGCTCTTCAACCTGCAAATACCCTTCAACATAAAAATCAATAAGCAAGAATATACATCTCTGACGGCTCAACAAATATTGCTCAAGTAAAATTTTTATCATTCCGTCCTACATTTTTTCTTTTGATCGAAATTCTCATATCACAGCGACTGATATTGAGAGGTTTTCCACGGCTTCTTGTACGTTCGATTGCTTTTGAATAATTGTACGAAACATCTCCAGCGAATGAGCGATTTTAACCATCATAGAAGTGGCCGCCATATTGACAATAAGACTTCATTGTCACATTTTTGCGACAATTTCTATTCCTGGATCGCAATCGTTCTCTCTGTCATGATCTAAACGCGTTCTCAAACTATCCACAGTCTTGTTTGATTTCTTTTTCTCACTGTGACGTCTTTTGCCTCGTTTTGGAACCGTCCATGGCACTGGAATGATCCGCGTTGGTTTGGCGAGAATGCTCGCTATGCTGTGTTTAATGTTTGCTTGTGGCATTTCGTTATTTTCTTGGTTTTGTTTCGCAGTTTTAAGTTCTGAAGGCTTCTCCATTTGCGAAAGACTTCTCCTTCCTGGTTGTGCAACCGTGTTTTCTTTACGACGCCATCTTGCTCGTCGGTTTTGGAACCAAACCTAAGCAGTAGAAACAAATGATAAATGACAGGAAGTGTGTACAATAAAATGAATTGTTTGAATCAGGGAGTAACGTTACATGTTTGTAGATGTGGATCGTCTAGGATAGAGTAGTGCTTAGAAGGACTGCTGTTGTTGGTGTTAACGTCTGACGTTGCAATAAACTTAGAGGCGCTCATTTTTGAGTCAAATGATGAGCTAAAGACAGATTACATTCGCCCCGCCGTACTTGTTGCCGAAACGTTAATCCACATTAACATGGACAGTTTTTAACAGAACTCTCCTAAACTGGACGATCTACATCTACAAACATGTAATGTTAAAGACTAGCTTGTCTTGGTAGAGCCATGATATCACTTTTAAAAAGTAAATCCTTTTCATAGTCACTTTGGTCATATGTCATGTGGTCAATGGTCATTTGTCAGATGGTAATTGATCATTGGTCATTTGTCACATGGTCATTGATCATTTTTCATATGGTCATTTGTCATTGGTAAATGCCATTTAGTTTTTAAGGTAATTCATTCACTTCTTTTGGTTTGTACAAGCGAGTAGTTGTTTGTATACATGGCAAAGTTGTATATGTTGAGAGGAAAGTAAATCGTAGGGGGGGTTGGGGACGAGTTAGCAAATTAAGTATAGCCAACTTCCTAACTAGTTAGGCAGAAGTGTTTGCAAGAAAATTGAAATTTTCGGAAATTTAAATGTGAAACCTTACAACTTTTTCTGACAAAATTATTAAAAAAAGTAACTTTATCAATCAACAATGTACTATCATGTTTTAATTGCAGAGTTATTACAAATTGAAAATGTTTAATGATGAAAATGTTGAAAATGTTTTATGTGTTTAATTAAGGTTGGAGCTAAAATGATTTGGAACAGCATTTCATTGCATTTGTCCTCGGAAATGAAACAAAACTCACAATGGCATTCAGGCAAAGAGGATTGTTGAGAGAACGACAATTTTTCGCCAACAATAAAATCCACTTTTTAAACTTATGAACGCGTTAGCTACAAAGAAATGTTATCAAGGAGCTTCAACTCGACATCTTTTACCTACAGGCATACAGCGTACTAAAAAGTAGTAGATACGTTTCCGTTGAACTTAATTTCGACAAAAAATCCTACAAAGCTTATTGAAGTAATTGACAGAGTGCGCTGTCTTTCGAGTTCTGTATCTAACTCTTGGTCTTGTTACTGTGGACTTTGTTTTGGAGATTTACTTTTCAAATATTTTGCATTGGGACACGTCTCTACATGCAGAGACGAATCTTGAATACAACGAATTGTCTCTTCATCAGTGGCTGTGTATAAATATATTATGAAATGAGCACAACAGCAATCCAGCGGAGTATGAGAAAGTACACTTGAGAAAAGCAACTGGGTTTTTCTTTCTTTGAAAAATTTCCGAGCTTCATCTTAAAAAATGTCTGTGCAACCTAGATGCGATCAACACTTGTTATCCCTTTTAGTCTTCTTTGACGAAATTTGGTCTTTGATTGCCGCCAAATATCCCTGTTTAATTGATAGTAAACATAGAGCCACACATAGTATAGTGAACATACAGTAGAGCCACTCCATTCATTTTTTTCGTGCCACGAATATCTTATTACGCATGTGATTACCATAGTGGCAATTGCACACGAAGTGTACCTACTGTATATTCCCTATACTGTGCTTAGAACAAATAAATTCTTTTTATGATATTCAATTTGCTTATTTTTGTTGTAAAACTGAGAGTCGAGGCTGGCCTTCATATTCACAACAATATTCGCTCGATGCGTGCGAATTAAAATTAACTAGCATCGCATATAACTGCTTGGAGCCCTTGTAATTAGGCGAGTGTAGTCAAAGTTCTTTGTGTCATGCCCACAATCAGGAAATTATTGCTTGAGTTGCCGGCAGAGTGACTGCTACGGCCAGGTTGCGTTTGCATTTGCACAGCTTTAATTAAACGACAAAATGTCCTTGAAAGGAACTTAAATTAATTGAAATACGTCGACTTTGCAATTTTCCCCCCAAAATGGATTCTTTAGGATGATAACACAGCGCGTGGAAAGATGTTTTCTTAGGGTGCACTGAATGACAGCGCGGCGCTAACTATACAGATAGCTTTATTGTAGGCAATCTTATTTGAGCAAGGTACCATTTCCAAAATCTAGCCAAAATTGTAAGCAAAAAACAGCAAACCTGTGCCATTTATCATTACTGATGTTTTCATAAGATTTTATGACGATTTAACGGAGCTCTTGACATATGGTTTGCCAGCGATGTTTATTATAGAGTGCCAAACTGTCCGACGCTATTTTACACATTTCCAGACACGTTTCTTTCACGCTATCTATCGCCGAAGCATTAACGTATGTCATACAAATATCTGCAAAACGCTTAAGTCATTAAAATCAAATCTCGTGCTGAAAAGCAACAGAATATTGAGTCCTTTTTATTTGCTATAGCAGTAATAAAAATAGAACAGTTCAGTTTTCATGTAGTTGCTTAAATAATATGTAGCAGAAACGATTAAGACTTGTTATAAGTTGAGTGTGAAACGTCAATATTAGGATTGGTTTGTTTATCAAGTTCAACACATTCCATGTAATTGCGACGATTTCCTCCATTAAAACGAATTATCCTCTTCCTAGGTATTCAACTTTAGTGTTCACGTGTGAATGATTTAGAAATTGCTATTAAACTATCACTGTAAAAAGTTCTTCTAAACGTTGTATCACTCAATTACGTACAATGACCCAAAGTTGCCTGCTTGAAATAAGTAAATACTTCGTTGAGCGCACTTTATGCAAATTATGTCACAAAAGATAAAAATCCAAATTTAAAGATCACTTGGCGATAGAATTATAGCAGTTACGACAATGCAAAAATTTTACAGAAGAGGAAATGTTCGTGGATTTAAGCTGTATTGAAATTTTGCACAAAAATTATACAGGATTCACGTCAAACAAGATACTCTTAGTTTCTGGAAGAAAGCAACTTTAGCTCAGAATATACACAAGATCCTTGAGGCGAACCAGCATACACTAAGGAAATCTTATGAGTTTAGGAAACATCATATACATAGCCTCCGACTTAACACTTTGTCTTTAAAACTTTAACTTTGGTAAGCGATGATTCATGTGCATAAGTATTTCAGCGAAATTAAATAAAATGTTGTCTGTATGATTAACGATTATCCGCTTTGGCGAACGAAAATGGATCGAGGAATGTAGAGATGTTTATTTACGACCTTCGTAAGGTGCTCGACAATTTTTATAAAAGCCGTGTTTTGAATCGCAACACACAACGGTTTGTGAAGATTCTTTCACGACTGGAGCAACTTATTAAAGCATCCAAGAAAGTCAAAGTTATTACAAGAGACGTTTATCCTACCTGAATACGCGGTTCAGCCAGATCAAGTCTAAGAGCCAAGGCTTCTCTTACAAAAACATCAGGATAATGCGTCTTCTGAAAGACATTCTCCATCTCTTCAACTTGCCATGGGCTATACTGCATTCGACTGCGTCTGGTTCGTGTGACGCGGATCTTAGACAAGTCAACCGCTATTTCAACATCGTCTTTAAAAAGAGAAAGAGGAAATGAATGAAGGATGTAGTATATGACACTTTCACATAACAGGTAATCGTATGGATATTGAAACCTCTCAATTGTTTTGCGAAGCAAATTGTCACGAGAGAGCTCAAGCAGGAATACAAAAAGCACCCTTGTTTTTTAAGCAGTTCAAGTATAAAGCTCAGAACCATATTTCAAAAGCTTTCATCCTGTTAATGATGACATTTATCAAAATTATAATGACCGTTCAACAACGGACTACGAAAAAAACTCGTACATGTCGACATTTTCTTATGTAAATTGCAGTTGCCCAAAAATTTTATATGACATACGTGCGCTAACTTTCAATGAAGCATTGCTCAACAGATCATTGTAAACCAAAAGGAAACTTTAGCTTGTATACTTACCGGGAAAAGAAATTGAGCCAAAATTACTAACTGTGGAATGATTAATAGCCCGGCTGCAGCCAAATACGCCATTTTGATAAATGGCTTGTATGCTTGGCGGACAGTTTACGCTATCGATGTAATGATGGCCAAACTCATTTGATTTGTAGTTAGTGAAATTGTGGTAATGCATCGCACTCAAACGATGATAATAATCCTGAAGCTCCATATTTGTAGAGGTCGTTGGCTTTCTTGTTGGTTGTTGACTCGTGTGGTTTTATGTTAGCCATTTCTTCTGACATGGGCGTTTATACATCGATCGGCCATCAAAATTTGTGATCACACTTAACTCGTCACCGACCAATCAGATCGCGGTGTCGATTTATCAGATTTTCAATGTCAAAACTCGCTCTGACGCATTGCTCGTTCCACGACCCTTTTTTCTAATCTCCCGCTGGGATATGTCCTATCGTAATTTAATCAATTTGAATTGATTCTAATAAGGTTTATTGGCGCCTCGTTATCACAGCTCTTTCTGTCCATGCGTTGAGGCCCGTCACGCTCATTTGCATAATACGCGAAGAAATAGAAAAAGAGGAAAATCATAGATAATGCTGCATTGATTTTGGGTATGGGACTGATTTAATTTAGATTAACGCTCAAAAACTTCAAGCTACGCAGATGTTTGACATCGTTAAGTTTTCAATAACTTTCCGCCCGCGTGTTTGCAATATACGTCACTATAACAGTTTATTTTAATCGTTAATTTGAAGCGGGGGCTGTATTCAACGCAATGAGATAGGACGTTTTCAAGAAGCATAAAGTATGTCCAAGTAGTCATAGTGTGGAGCGGACTTATTAGGTTTGCGATTTAAGCTGAAAATCATGATGTGTTTTTTGGAAAAAGATCATTGAACTATATTTTTGCTTCCGTAAGAATCTCCTCTTTATGAACATTTTCCCATTTGACCATGTGGCCTTTATAATAAGAAATTTACTGTCAATATTCCTCAGTCGTTGAGGATCTTATAGTTAGGTAGAATCACGAGCCGAAACACTGCACTTCGAATCTTTCTACACTTGTTTAAAGGCCAATTTAGGTTTTTGGAAATTTGTTATCGTTGTCGAAATACCGAAATCACAATCACTTGTTGGCGGAAGCTCTTCATCTGCAAGAGTTTTTTTGGCGGAAGCTTTTCATCTGCAAGACCTTTGTAAATTCACCTTACTTTGTAAATTTACTTACCTTGGTAAATTCACAATCACCTACCCACCATAAAGGGAAGAAAAAGAACCAGACACAGGACTGTACCTAGCTACTAAACAGGGCGATAAATTTTTGTCGATACGAATTATATTAAAATCGCATGTAGTTGACTATCGTCAACTTTGTGCGGTCATTAAACGGGCATATCTATGCGAAAAATTACTTTAGCTTATCTGATAATTTCCCTGCGCTTGTGAGGCATTTTTAACGCACATTAGCTACATATATTGGCAAAATGTTTCTTTAAGTCGTGTTTAATGCATTTGGCATAATAGCAGGAATACGTTATGTTTACAAATGCAATTCGACACACGAGTAATCCTTTTATAAAAATTAATATGTTTGGCATGTATATCAACAATGCGCTAAATGCTATGAAAAGCTGTTGTTCTAATTATAAAAATGAATAATGCAGTGAAATTATCACTTAAGGTATTTTTAAAGAGAATTGCTTTCTCTTGCTTTCTAGCTGTTACTAAATACATCAGTTGCTGACCCTCGCAGCTCCCAGTTAAACAAAAACATGCGAGTTCACAGTTAACTTGTTCTTTATCTTCGATGAACATGCCTACTAGCCTGTCAAGTCAGAGTGGCCCGTCCGCCAAAGTTGATATGCTTTAAATTTATAAGAGATACAGTATATAGATGTAAAATCATATATGGAAAGATAAAATCTGAACATAAGCAGGCGGCTTTATGGAATGCCAATTGTTTTTTCAGCTTTTACCCTACGCATCGTATCAGTTTATGATTTCGATTAATTTTAAAAACTTTTAAGTCGTTGCGAAGATGATATCAAAGTAATCTTTGAGTATTTTCGTCGATTACGGAGAAGTCGACTCTTTTGCAAAGACCTCAAAAGGATGTTTAATGTCAATTTCTTTCCGCTTTCAAAGGCAGCGCGTCTAGTCGGAGAAGACTGAACGACGACTCCGGTAAACTTGTTGACAGCAACCCCTAGAAAAGCATCGCTGTGTACACGAAAAATTGAACTATCTATTTAATTAGTATAGACACGTGTTTGTTGCTGTAAAAACGCATACCGACAGGTGAGCAGATTTTCGATGCCACATTTCTTTGAAACCGTTGTTTCTCTCTTGCCTTGACTAGGTACGTTTGCAAGTAGCAAATGATAAAAATCAGTGCAATTCAAGCCTTGTTGTGTGGCCGTTAGCGTCACCTGTAGTGCTTGCTGAAACAGTGTTGTCGACGGCCGCCATGTTTGTAGAAAATTGAGATACTAAATAATTGAAAGAATGTTCTAACGAATGTTCGGCGTCTGTTCAGCTGAAAAACAGAATCACAGAACCACAATGTTGAAGTCGTGTCAATTTCGACAATCCACGCTGCAGTGCTTCAATTTTCTAAACTTAAACAGCTCATTCATAAAAAATAACATAAAAAATGAAGTAGTTTAGCGGCCGGTGCTATTTTTTAGGGGAAAAAAAAGGTTAAGAGTTTGGTAAAGTCTAACTTCCTTCTTAGAGCAAACTAAAAATTACAACGGAGAGAATATTTTTAAATTGTACGTATGGTAGCTTGTTATTTTTCATCCCGCCCTCACTCAATTTATCGAAGGAACGAGAGAGTACCAGTTTTACTTATCCGTTTTGTAGGTGTATATTAATAAAACGAAGTTCATGCGAGACAAGAAACATTGCATAACTATTTGTTCTGTCATATAGGGCTTTTTAATGAAATAATTCTCCCGCTATTAATGGAGCCTTGTTCACAATAGCGCAAATAAAGATACTACGTCAGACTGCGTAAAGAAGTTGCGCGGTGGTTTGAATTCTCTAGTCATTTGCAAGCTGAAACCCTTTGATGATGATAGAACAATGTGTTTCAACAAGTCTAATATTTCAGAAAATAACTTTAATGAACTTTGCATAAAGACAGGCTATGAACGTGAAAAGAATAATGTAGAAATGTACACGAAAGAGCTGAAGAAAATAGATACAATACTTTCAAGTTTAACTATTATTAGTAAATATAATTATTTTTAAAAGTAGAGTTTTCGGTCACCGAGACTGAAGCGAGCGATCCATAGCGCGCCATTTTACGGTTTCTTCCACAAAAGAGCGAAACTGTCGTGACTGTGAAATTTCTTGATTGCACGACAAAATAATGTGTTAATGAAAACTATTAGTAAGAAATAGCTTTAGGTGCACTTATGCAAGGAATTCTCTTTTCAATAATACAAAAATCACTTGCGCCTTTACGTGAAAATACGATCTTTGGCCGACTTTGGCCAGAACTTGACCTTGACCTAAAAAGGGCGCGAATTTTTCCATAGTATTTTTTCACAACAGAGAAACGATCGTCAGTATATCTGTCAACACAATATGGGCGAGTGCAACGTTTTTAAAAATTAAATTTTTAACAAATGGTGAGGTTTATAGCGAATATAAGCTATATGAATAAATAGTTAAGCACATACTGTAGTCCAAGGTGAATTAGCTATAGAATAAAAACTACGTCATTTATACGTATACTTTGAGGATATTTAAAAAACATTAAGTGTCGCGCGCGCCTCAAATTTGTCGCGTGTGATCAATCACTTGCGTTCAAGTCATGTACATGACGAGGGTTGGCTTCATGTTCGCTTCAACTTACGTTTTCAGTAAACTGAAATCCTTTGCACAATTGACGATAACAATAAAAAAGCATTTAGACACGAAAAAACACAAAATAATCCGTGATTTGGAAGTTATGCGTTTGCTTGGACAATATCGTCAAATTCTCTAATACCTTTTTACTAAGAGCGACATGTGTTTCAATCGTCTTTTTTGAAATAGCTAACTCGGTAAAAAAATCCGCACTCAAAAAAGTCATTATTTACGACAATTTTACAGTCATACAAACCAATGGAAGTTTAACTACACGATTCCAATAAACGTTTCTGCAACTCTCACACTAAGGGTCGACTAAGCGACGTTTTCTCAACAATCTACTTTCGTATTATACACCCTGTACATTAACTGGTTTTTCTCTTTAAATATTTAAACCATGCGCACCTTCTTTTAGCAATACAGTCTTAAGGTACTAATAAAGAATTCTTTAAACTTTGATAGTGATTACCTTTCTTAATTTCATTTTGCAAATTTCTATCTGGGAGATGATTTGAACTTTCATTTTCAGGGTAGGATGCAAGTCTCTCATGATGCTTTGCTATACTTTGTGCAGTTTATAACTCACTGCACACTCCATGAATTGTATCACAGAATAAAGGCAGACTTGACTGAGAACCAAGGGCTTCAGTGAAGTGAAGTTCAATTGTGAATGAAAAGTTTATGACCAAGCCAGTTGCAATACATAAATACAATAAATACAGGCACAGTGGTTGGTATCAGCAAGCCAAAATAGCATGGGGTACCATATTCCACACAGCAATTTGGGAAATCCTAAAATTACAAGATTTATGATTCGAGCATTTTTATGAAATATCTAATAATACAGCTCTGGCACTTAAAAATCGGTCAGTCAAACCAGGAGGCAATGTCCAGCAGCTTACAGGTATCCCTCATTAATAATTACAAGAGGTGCAGGAGAAAACTCAGAGAGGGTGAAATATTTTCCAATGCCTCAACCCCCTAAATAAAATCCTACATCTGCCTCTGGGGTGATCCAGACTCCAGAATGATACCAAAGATCCCAATTGCATTTTGCTTGGTTGGTATATATTAATATTTCTCAAACATTTAGCAACCCCCTCCTACCTACTGAAGGCTAGAAGGGCTACAGCTCCCAACAAATTGATTCCTGATTGGTTGTTGACATTGTGAGTGACAGAAAAATATGAGAGACGAGAGGTGTAGTGGGTGAAAGGGTAGAAAGACTTTCACTGCATGCAAAACATCATATAAATTATATCATACAAGCAACAAATTAAACTCAATACTCACATCAGAGACAAGCCTAGAAACTGTCACTCCTGTTAAACAAATGACTGAAATAATCAAACAAAATGAAATCATAAACAAACTTGGTGAGTCCATTGATGCGCATTTATACTTTATAGTTGTTGATGAGGATTGGAAAGAGGAAGTATTTTTGTTTTTTCTAGCAAACACGTGGTCTGCACATGCCACATTCACATGCCACAATGCCACATGGTCTTCTACATATCTAGGTCTAGGACCAAGACTCCCATCATTTGATATCCTACAATTCCATGATAAGACCTACTGGTTAATCCAGATTTCGAAAGTTTTGTTCTTGCGATATCAAGCCACTTAACCAAACCTATTAAATCTTCAATAAAATTCCTCTTACAATGGAAGATTCGTCAGAGCTTGATCGCTATAGAAGTCCTTTGACGAGCCGTTATTCCAGCAAGGAAATGTCATTTAATTTTTCAGACAATAAAAAGTTTACGACCTGGAGAAAATTGTGGTTGTATTTGGCCAAAGCTGAAAAGGTTTGTTTGTCTTTTGTTTGCTAGTGCAAGCTAAACAACATGGCTGCTCTTAGACTGGCAAGTGGAAATCCCATGCTGTTGTGCTGTTAAAGTGCTGTATAAAGATCCTGCAAAATGATGAGTGATTCTGTTTATGTATGTGCTTAATCAGTGTCTGCCCACATAATTCATCTGAATCTGACAGGGGGCACGGAGCAAGGGAGGGGGAAGTATCCCTCCTAGTTCATGGTTCCCCATGTCTTGGTGGTCCCTGGTATACGTATCACCCCCAATTATTGCCTCCATTTTGAATTTTTGTCTCCCTAGCCTCAACTTGACACTAAAATGTGCTGCTTTGGCAGTCGATATTCTCCAATTGGTTGTTGTTGTTATACACAAACTCTGGGGTTTTACAGAAAGTGAGCTTGTGTGTAATTGCGTCTGCACTTATATTTAGCAGGTGGGGAGGGGTGGCCCAAATTCCTCTTTCTCATAGGTACAACCCCCATAAATATACATGAAAACTCTCATTGCTCTGATGTTGCAGTTTGAGTCGTTATGTGCTTATGTCTAGTGTCTTCATCAGTAGTGATCTGATGTTGAAACTTGGCTATATTTCACAATTTAAATGAATTTTACCACATTGTTTTTGGCAAATTCTCACTCTCAAATTTGATATCTTATTGTACATTATAATATTATTGTTACATGTTTGTAAATGTAGATGGTCCAGATTGGTATAGTCCTGAGAAGGACTGTTTTTATGGTTGTTGACTGACGTTTCGACAACCTTAGCTGTTGTCATCTTTGACTCTGAAGATGACTACCGCTAGGGTTTTTGAAACATCAGTCAAAAGCAACAAAAACTGTCCTTCTCAGAACTATACCAACCTGGACAATCTACATTTTACAAACATGTAACAATACTCCCGGGTTCAAACCATTTACAATATTATTGTTATTTCAAAGCTATATTTTGTCAAGTCTCTTTAATCTTTAGGAACTTGGCTTAAACATTGAAGATGAACAGATTTCAGAAATGCAAGAAAACCTAACAAACATTGATTACAAAATGGCAGCAGAGGAAGAGAAGAAACGTCGTCATGATGTCATGGCCCATGTTCACACATTTGCAGCATGTTGTCCACAGGCTGCTCCCATAATACACCTGGGTGCTACATCTTGTTTTGTTGGAGATAATACAGTTAGTAAAATACCATCATATTTAAATGCACTTCAGTAAGGGCCTCTGCAGATGAGGTATTTTGTTGTTGACAACTAAATGTAGTCGACAAACAACACTTTTGTTGTGATTGCGGTTTTCCTTTTTCCCTTGCAAAAAAGAAACAATTTTACACATATGGTTGTGACAACTTATTCCACACTCTTATTCCACTATTTTTGATAGTCGACTGCCTTTAGTTATCGACTACAAAAAGTTGTCGACAACAAAATACCTTGTGTGTGGAGGCCCTAAGTGTCCTTTATACTTGACAAATTCCTGATACATTCTGTATTTGCTTTATCTTTTTATTTGATTAATTAAGATTTATCAACCTTATAATTTTTTCCAATGTATTTCAAAGGACCTTATTGTATTGAAAGATGGTTTGAGCATTCTTCTACCTAAAGTAAGTCATAAATTATATTTAGTTTTATGTATCCAGTTTCTGATTCAGCTTTATGAGGGAGATGCCCTTCATGTTAATTTTTGGGGATGCAGAAATAAATATGATGGACAGATTAGAAAAACACATTTGAAATAATACAGTTGGTTACATTTTATACATGTTTGTATAGAATCTGTAGCCTCGACTTGTCTTTGGCAAAAGCCTTAGACTGTATGTTTACTAGTTTAGTGTATGTTCCAGAATCCATATGGTAGACTTCCTTTGCGTACACGGCCTCATAAAGTGTATGTCTTTGTTTAGTTATCTCATGTATTTTTATTTAGCTTGGTCGATGCATTGAAAGACTGTCAAGATTTGCTAATGATTATAAATCACTTCCGACTCTTGGTTTCACTCATTTCCAGTAGGTGCTACGTTGTTACATTTGTTTCAATAAGACACCAATCTTCATTCTGATTTTTAATGTACGATTCACAGACCAGCACAACTTACCACAGTCGGGAAGAGGGCATGTTTATGGCTATCTGATCTTGTTCAGGATCTTGTCAACTTAACAAATGTCCAGCAATCTCTGAGATTTCGAGGTGTAAAAGGAACAACTGGAACACAAGCTAGTTTCCTTGCCTTGTTTGATGGGGATCATGCAAAGGTCAGTTGCATTCCTGAACTATTTAGGTAACAGTCAATCTACGGCTATGTAGCGATATGTATCTTAAATACAGTATTTTCAAGGATGAAAATTGTAAGCAAACACAAGCAAAGTTCCAATAGGCTTAAAACATTTTTCGGCCTTGTTTTTTCATGTTAATGACGACTAGAAACTTATGAGTAGATAAGTTTTTCATCTCTTAAATACTGCTTAGGTAAGTGGTTGATAATATGTTATAGAAAATAGTGGAAAGCATATTCTTTTTGTTGGTTCCTGTACTAATTTAGTGACGTAAATTTAGTGCATGACGTCACAAATCACAACGACAAGTTGCCCGCAAAAACATGCGACTCTGTCCCGAAATATGCTATCACCTCCACTGAAGTGTTCTGGACAAAAATTGTTTCATCCTGATTAAAACTTTGTCTTAAGTACAGTATTATCAGGATTGGTGAATCCAACGCTTATCTCTTGATTTCGATCAAAGTGATCTGTAATGTGTGTTGTACACATGTGGTGCTAAGGAGTAACCTGTTAAAATTATTTAAATAATATGACATTCGGTAGGGTTGGAGATACAGTTGGTTGTCTTGTTTAAAACTTAAATTTGAGTTTACATGATGTCCTTTTTTCGGATTATGCTTTATTTTATGTCTTATCAAATTGTCGTCCGGTCAAAGACTGTTGAGACAGTAGCATTGGGAGCTAAGATTTTTATTTTGCGAGATTATTGAGATTGTTTAGCGGAGAAGCTAGGCATAGCTAGCCATAGACAAACGTGGATCAGATAAATTTCAACTCCAGTTATGATTCAAACAAATATGTTGAATCCTTTTGCGATAGGCATTTCACAAATAAATATGATCTATCTCTACGTTTCAATAAAAAGCTTTTGTTAACTATTGGTCTTGTTCTTGAAATGCAATGTAAATAAATTGAAAGACCATTGAATTTTAGCGATCTCAAAAGTAAACATAGTAACTGCTAGTTATACAATGGTGCTTGCAGGTTATAAGATAACTGAGTTTTTTTCGAAAATAGTGGTTTTTCAAGGATTATATGCTGTGCAAGTTTTTTGCATTATAACACGCCCGAAAAACTACCTTTAAGCATAGCAAATCACCAGTTGGCAGCTATTCGATGTTGTTACTACATGTAAAATGGAACTTTTATTTGTAAAGCAGATTTTTTACTGTATATATGAAGCCTATACAGGAAATTATCTGCTTTGCGATTCATGTCCCTAAGGTAGAATTAAAAGAAACTTTTTATCTATCGAAAGATCATTGGCCATATATTTATAGTTCTACACTCCAGGTGGAGAGGCTAGATGAGCTGGTCACAAATATGGCAGGCTTCGATAAGGCGTACATTGTGACTGGGCAAACGTACAGTCGTAAACTTGATTTGGATATTTTGAATACTTTGGGAAGTTTGGGTGCTTCCATACATAAGGTTTGTGTGATCTGCAAGAAAGATGTTTAATTTCAATTGATTGCTTTCATTGTAGTTTAAGAGATGTTGGTGCAGAGGCCGCGGAACCGGGGGGGCATTGGGGGCAAGTGCCCCCCCACTTTTTACAAGAGGGAAAAATTTGCCCTTTTTCTGGAATGAAAGTGCCGTTTTTCATGGTGTAGAAATCCCCTTGTTTTAGGTAAAATTGGACTGAAGAAGTTTTTCTTAGATACAAGTAACCCCGAGAGTAGAACAAGTCTGTCAGCATCATGCGAAATCAGCTATAGCTTAGTTTTTGATCTTGATTACCCAGATGGATCAAAAATCGCGTTTGTCGATTGGGGTTGTCTTCGCAGACGTCCGCCCAGTAACTTAATTAACCAATGAGAAGTCGCAATTTATGATCCACATGAGACTATAAAGTCTGCGGCAACGCATTGCTCCCGTCGTATTGTCTTTTAGGCCATTGGTCTTACAAAACTGTTGACAATTCATAATTATAATAATTGAAAATTTTGCGGTTTAAATTTCACTTCTAATCAAAATCATCATGCCTAGAGCTGCTAGGCGAAAACGAGAAAAGGAAAAAGAGCTTGTAGAAACAGCTAAAAGGATGCGAAAACTGACGAGTTTTTTAGTAGTGCTCCAGCAGAGAACGTTGTTGACCAAAACATCGACTCTAGGTCTAATTTGACACTGCCGTCAGCTACAGAAACTCCATCAACGTATTTATCTCCTCATTCTCATTCCAAACCAAAATTCGGCGATTCTGACTTTACATCGTCTTTAGAGATACTTGTCGCGCCGCCGACCGAGCCAGTTCACACACCTTCTTAAAACCTAACGTATGCGTCTTTGCCAAGTTGCACGACTACCGCCCTATTGGTAGGACCTATGCAAATTGAGTCAACGGAATGTTTGCTAGGACTCGATTGTAAGCATTTGTGCTGTAGAGGCCGACAGCCTTACCATCCTACACTAGAAGAAATAAAGCACACGTCTTACCTTGATTTAGCTTGTTGCTCCAATGAGCGCAGCCTCTGGAGAACGATCTTTTTCATGCCAGCGGCTTGTCAAGACACATCTCAGGAGCACAATGACGGCAGCACGCTACAATAATCTTATTGTTATGCATGTAAACAAGGCCAGAACTGACGAACTGAACTTACGTTTAATAGCTAAGGACTTTGTTCTGAAAAAAGAACGTAGGGTTAGATTTTTTGGGAAATTTTAATGAGATCGCTTTACTTAATAAAATTGTTCATGTAGTCATCTTAGTTCAATTTGTTAGCACGAACGCCGAACAGTAGAGAATACGCATAGCATTCTAAGAATGTCTACCAATATTTTGCAGACTTTGAAACTTGATCATGATTCATGAAACAATTCATATCTGTAATATACTAAAACAGTAAGCTGCAAACTCACATGCCCTTTTCAGTCAGTGCCCCCCCACTTTTGAGATACTTCCGCGGCCCCTGTGTTGGTGCCATTTTATGGATCACTAAACGGATTTTTATGTCAGTATTATTCTTCATTTGAGAAAGGTATACGTCAATTTTTTCTATTTTTAAGATATGCACAGACATCCGTCTGCTGGCTAGCATGAAGGAACTGGAGGAACCATTTGAAAAAAGTCAAATAGGTAAATTAGTGATTTGTTTGTTTGTTTAATTATACATGTACGTGCAGATGAACACAAAGTTAGTGATCTAAGTAAAGCATGACCCTCCCCAAGTATTTTATTACCCTTGTTGAGAGTGTTCGGAAGTGAGACATTCCTTCATCCTGTTTTGCGTTTTCTTCTACCATATATGATCTAATAAACGCCTGGGGCGTTTAGTGAATTCCAGTGGCTCTGTTGGGAGGGAACCGCTTGATAAAGGTGTTTATATAATTTCTATCACTTATGTGTGATCAAATGGAAACAAAAAATAAAACTAAATAAGGTTTCTATGATGAGCCCAGTACAACTTACTAGAATTAGCTCATATTATTTCATTTTTATGAAAGGTTCTAGCGCGATGCCATATAAACGCAATCCAATGCGATGCGAGAGATGCTGTAGTCTATCTCGTCATTTAATGACTTTGGTTGGTAATGCTCAGCAAACGGCATCAGTACAATGGCTGGAGAGGACGCTTGATGATAGTGCAGTCAGAAGGATTACATTACCCGAAGCTTTTCTTACGGCTGATGTTGTTTTGAACACCTTGCAGAACGTCTTTGAAGGTCTTGTTGTATATCCAAAGGTTAGTGAAGTACATCGATGTGGAATGAATTTAATTGTACACGTATACATAAACTCTTAGTGTCTTCATCGCAAGTAACCTAATGTTGAAACTTGAGTTCTTATATACTCCAGTTTAGTGTCTTCATCAGGAATGATCCGATGTTGAAACTTGAGTTCTTATATACTCCAGTTTAGAATCTTCATCAGGAATGATCTGATGTTGAAACTTTAGTTCTTATATACTCCAGTTTAGTGTCTTCATCAGGAGTGATCTGATGTTGAAACTTGAGTTCTTATATACTCCAGTCTAGTGTCTTCATCAGGAGTGATCTGATGTTGAAACTTGAGTTCTTATATACTCCAGTCTAGTGTCTTCATCAGGAGTGATGTGATGTTAAAACTTTAGTCCTTATATACTCCAGTGTAGTGTCTTCATCAGGAGTGATCTAATGTTAGGTGCGATGTTGAAAGTTGCTTCCTTTTATACTCCGATCTACAGTGAAGTAGAAGACATCATTTGTAAAATCTTATATGGATACATATGTTTATAGTCTTTGTTTTTGCTCTGTTTAAGGTAATCGAACGTCACATTAAACAAGAACTTCCTTTTATGGCTTCGGAAACAATCATAATGGAGATTGTGAAAAGGGGAGGAGACAGACAGGTGATTTTGGCTATTTCTGTGTATTGCTGTTTTTTAGAAATTATAAATTTTACCTCGGCCATATATTGCTCTTAACTTCTGCTCTGGCTTGCCCGTACCATGCGTATATAAAAGAAACGTAGCCAAAACACAAGCATAGACATCGCACCTTGGATGAAATGAAAGTGGACTATAGCTTGGGATAAATTTTTTTAAAAATATTATTGTTTAAAATGAAGTCTATGGACCTTGTGATATATGAATGAAAATTAAATTGGAGTTGATGAAGAATTTTGATAAATACATCAAACATTTTATTGTTGATTCAAATTATTAGTGAAAAACTCTGCACTATCCTTTGATCCATAGTTGCTTTTGATTTAACTGTTTGCCGTTCATTACAGGAATGCCATGAAAAGATACGTGTTTTATCACAGGAAGCAGCTTCTGTCGTTAAAATGGAAGGAAATGACAATGATTTAGTGGAAAGAATCAAACGCGATGAATACTTCAAGGATGTCCATGAAAAACTTGATCAAATTTTAGATCCAAAAGCTTTCATTGGTCGTGCCCCTGAGCAGGTAGGCTGTTACGGTTTATCGATACATCAAAAAGAATCGTTTTTTGCGTCTGCGTTGCGTAGCAACCTAAAAGTGACGTCGTCGACTTTACCGGCTAAGCATCGGAAACATTTCGGCAACTTTCTCATCGACTTTCGATCAATGTAAAGTTAAACGTTCAGCATTCAAGTGCATTTGATCTACCATGCACATGGCACACTGATGATTTCGTTTGAGTTTAATAATAACATTCGTCGATGGGTAAGAAAAACACAGGCGTTATTTTTTATCAATATCCTATTGAACCTCATTCAAAATATTTCTGCGAAATTTAATAATAGTTTGAAAAATTCCACATCACGTAGACGCATGTACGCAAATGCGTACCTCTTATTTGTAAATGATTCTTTTTCGATATTGAAATTTTCGATGTATTGGAAATCGATATTTTTCGGTATTATCGATTTTATGTTTACGTTTGTATGTTTAAATGTCGGGCCAGCTTCTCCTAGCACGCAATGAAATATCAACCAATTACATAAGAAAAAATATCGCGAAAATTTTTTACGCGCTGGAAAAGAAATATTTAAATATTTTTTCCTCTTGTGAACCAGTCCTTAAAGTGCACGTGGCAGTTAAATTTTATTATTGAAATGTTATTGTCATTCAACCGAACTTTTTTGAAATGACAGTTCTTTTTCTAAAACAGATTATGCGCATCTCTTTTCATTTAGATATTGAAGTGTTTGTGATGGTCCGATTCATACAACTTATTACGTCTTCTGCACGAGTCCGTGGCACGGTTTCAAAAAGTGAGCATCCTTTAGTTTCATGGCAACCTTTGGTTGAAATGATTAGGCAGTGTTTTATGCCATGAACTTTTCACAATGATAGGAACTCTGCTCATTTGAAGTAACATACGGGCTAACATCGTACCCTCTATTTCAAATTCTCTTTAAGCAATGTGACGTCACAAGTTGCTTAAAGCGCGCATTACATGAACAACAGTATCCTTAGAATGAAAGGTGATATGAATAAACTGTTTTAAAAGATACACTGTCATTTTGAAAGTTATGTTCAAAGAAAAATGTAATCTAAACAGCTTAATTCTCGCGTCGTATACAATTTAAGTGATTGCTTATCACAAATACTTGTAGAAAACAAGCAAATTGAATTTTCTTTGCCAATGAAATATATTGTTTATTGTTTTTTAAAATTTTTGCTGAGTCACTTCGAGAATTATCGTTAATTACCATTTTCAACGGCTGACCTTATGGCCTTTCAATTTATTATATATAGTCTTTAAGTCAACAAGAAATCATCCATTTGTTTACCATCCATTTTTTACAGGTAACCAAATTTTTAAAAGAGGAGGTTTATCCGAAACTAAAACAATTTGAGGGGAAGCTCGATGTTAAATCATCCATCAATGTTTAGGAAGAAGAGTGACGCCATATTGTAGCATTTCTTTATTAAAACGTTTGCCTCTCCGTAATGGTTTAAAACTACGTGCTAAATAATTAGTGAATCTGTTAAATCAAAAATCGAATCAGAAATTCAATTCTGAAACGGGGGGTTAGATCATATATTCAGTTGATCCCGACCGATTTCTTTGGAAAGCAATTCACTTTTTACTTAGTATTTAAATTATTATTATTATCATACACCGGATTTTGCAATTAGGGGCTACAAAATCGGGACGGCTCTGCTACCAAAGCAACAAATGAATTTGAGTTAAGTCAAATCTCTTATAATCTCTATGCCCCCCCCCCCCTTCCCTGTTTCGACTTTATTGCAAAGCTATTATCATAGAATACCGTGAATTTCAGAACTACGGTCAACCCGGCCCACTCACCAATTCGACATTAACTTTACCTCGTACATAACCTTAAACCCTTAACCCTAAACTTAGTCCTAAACACCGCACTGAAGATTATTCAGTCGTACTGTGTCGGGAGCTTTGCAGCCAATGCATGCGTCTTGAAAAGGGCCGAGTTGATCGCACAATGAATTACATGTGTGTTTAGAATCGCGTCACAATTGAATTTCTGATTCGGTACTGAATAAAAATAATAAACGTTTATCAATAAATAAATATCTGTGATCAACGTGCAATCGTGCAGTCGAGGCTCTTAAATTCCGCATCAAAATATTGCCAAGATGTCGCCATCTTTTTTGCGTTATATTGTCTTAAATAGAAGGAAGAAGCATCTACGTAAATATATATTCAGTCGTGTAATTTTCGAGTTTCTCCAAGTCTTTTTGACATAAGGTTTCTTTGTTGAAACGATGCTTGAAAAAAGCTTTGCATTTGAGCCAATGTCGACGACATTCCACCGAGGATTTTCTCCTAAAAACAAATTGTTATGTATTCAATGGGAACGGTTTAAGTGAAGACAATATTTAACAAGAAATAAAATATAGTCTTCTATCTATGTAAAATATTTTACTCGGTATTTATACCAAAGGCAAATTGGCTTATAAGGTCACCGAGAAATTTCCAGGTTCGCTTCTCACTTATAAACTTTTCAGGCCTTGCGTTAAGGGGCGAGCGATCCATAGCGCGCCATTTTACGATTTCTTCCACAAAAGAGCGAAACTGTCGTGACTGTGAAATTTCTTGATTGCACGACAAAATAATGCGTTAATGAAAACTGTTAGTAAGAAATAGCTTTAGGTGCACTTATGCAAGGAACTCTCTTTTCAATAATACAAAAATCACTTGCGCCTTTACGTGAAAATACGATCTTTGGCCGACTTTGGCCAGCACTTGACCTTGACCTAAAAAGGGCGCGAATTTTTCCATAGTATTTTTTTCACAACAGAGAAACGATCGTCAGTATATCTGTCAACACAATATGGGCGCGTGCAACGTTTTTAAAAATTAAATTTTTTAACAAATGGCGAGGTTTATAGCGAATATAAGCTATATGAATAAATAGTTAAGCACATACTGTAGTCCAAGGTGAATTAACTATCAAGTAAAAACTACGTCATTTATACGTATACTTTGAGGATATTTAAAAAACTTTAAGCGTTGCACGCGCCACAAATTTTGCGCGCGTGATCAATCAGTCGCGCTCAATTCTCTTACAGCAAGACCTGCTTTTGCGCTACACTTTTCGAGCAAATTACAAAGAAAACAATGGTAAATTTAATGAAGTAAAACAGGGAAAACATACTATTGCTGAAATGACAAAATTCAAAAGAAATTTGCGCTGCTATCTTTGTTGTTGAGAAGTCTACGTTATTTAAAATTGTTTACAATTTTTTAGCTAATAGGCTTTCTTGCTACTTCTAGCATAGTGTTTTAAGCCAGGACATTTTGCATAGGCATACGGAGCTATCATTTCTTGGGTGGCAATAAATATTTTCCCCAACTCAAATTGAAGGTTTCGCCACAATTTTGCCCGACTAACGTTTAAAATTTCCCCAACTTCAATCTTCAAACTTTCTTGGGGGCAGATCCCCCCCCTGGAAATGTGCAAAATCTTATTTGTTGTTTTTTAATCATCAAATGAATTTTCTCATTCTAACTATGAAGTCCTCAATAAATTATGCTCGATATAGCACCATATATACTTTCAACCACCCCCCTCCCCCATCTAAATAACCTCTTGCTACAAACAACTCCCCTTTCCGAGTTTTGCCTGTAAGTTGTGAAGAGGCCAATGGGCCACCGATTTACTATCATGAACAGTTACATAATAAAATAGGCATGTTTAAAAATTTAATGCATCACTGCATCAAGGCGAAAGATGCTTGAAAAATTATTGCATCACTACAACAGGGGGGAGGTGACTTTTCCTGCATTCACCTCTGCCCTACAGATTTCTTATGCAAGCAATTTAATTTCAAAAGAAATTAGTAGAATTTTCAGGGGTTTTCTTGTGATGCAATACCTTTTTAGACATCTCTCCTACATGTGCACTTATACATAGCGTGCAATACATTCCAAATTTTATCAGGTTCTAGCAACGTTTAACAGAAACCTTAACCAAAGTTGTAACAGTTTTGTGAAACTACTGCTGTGCTGCTACTACTATACAAATACTACTACTGTACTACTACTGTTCATACCAATGTGCTGTCTTCCCAAGTGAAGGTGCAGTTCCACGTCAAATTGTCCACATAAGTTGTTACATTAGTAAGGATGTCTGAAAGTTGTGAAATCGCATCTACCAAATACCTGGAAAATTTTAGTTCGTTAGTGAAGGCGAATTTCTATGAGCAGCAAGAGCACAGATGGATTTTTTTTTACAGAGAGTGGAGCAAGAAATTTTAGTGGGGGGTGAGCTGGTAACAAAGTGACATAAGACAAAGTAAGGGTCAAGATTTTAGGGGTGGTCTGGTATTGTAAGGTAATGTAGAAAGTTGAAACATTGCCCAGAATAACTCAGTTCAACTGTACTAACTGTTGGTTTGCTTTTTAAAAAAATTTTTCAGGGGGGTTAGAATGATTCTTAGAGGGATGAACTATTTATTTAGGGGGATGAAATCTGATATTTGGGGGTGGCATCGACTTGCACCCCCCTAAATGCATCCAAGAGTAAGAGCAAAGCATCATTGACTTTATGAATTAGAAGTGGAGAGAATTATAGTGTTTCCTACATTTATAGTGTGAGATATTTCTTTGAGTGGCATATTTAGGTACAACTTATTTTCTATAATCCTTCAACTTTCAACACCTTTCTATGTGGTAACAATTTCCATGCTCTACAAATACAAGAAATTGATCCCAAACCGTAATCATTAATCTTATTTATACTGATAAGTTATGGTGGAGATGTTGGTTAGAGATTGAATCATGGATCAAATTTTGCAATGCAAATTTTACAAATATTATTGGTAGAACATGGAATACTACAGCTATATATCTTGTTGACTATCAGGAAAAGAACTTCTTTGCCAGTGTGCTGGACTCACAAAGGCCCCTTCCTTGTCACTTTGCCTAGACATTTTTACATCCTTAACTTTTGAGACAACAAAATCGTATTTCTTACTTTTGGTATTCAGCATCAATGTTAATATAGTCTCCGACAAATGGTTGTTGCAGCCTGTTGACAAGCTCTTCCTTCTTGTCAACATTGGCAGAAAAATGGCGTGCCAGATCCTCTAACTTTTTAATCTTTTCATCTGAAATGGATTGATCTGTCAGCTCAATCTTTAGGCTTCAAGCTTTAAATTTTTGCTCTTACCTAAGCTGTTTGGATCTGTCAAGTCTTTGGTTTCCTGTTCCAAATGATGCTCGCAAATTTTTTCTTTTACCTTGGAAAGCAGAAAGTGTGCTAATACGTATCTTGCAGTCAACAGGTGATCTAATATGTGAAGGATGTCATGTGTTTGATATGTTACTGAAAAATAAGTGAATGTTGGAGGAAAGAGGATGCATATTATCAACACAAATGTGTTTTTTTTAGCTCACAACACAGATATATATTTAAGTTTGAAATAATGGTGACTCTACAATACACTCCATACAATGTGTAACTGTATGTCCTGTGTCCCAAGTGCAGGAGTCATCATTTTACTATGGTGATAGCCGGTAGGGCACATTGTAATACACTTTGTTTATACATATATATACATAAAAGATAAAAGTTTCTCCAGATTTTTAAATGATTTTTATTGAGCTTTCGACTTGTTGCTTCGAGCCTTCACCAGAATGAGGATATTTATTTACTCGTGCAACGAGTCGAAAGCTCAATAAAAATCATTTAAAAATCCGGAGAAACTTTGATCTTTTATGTATTCAATGCCTGGATTACAAATTTTCAAACATATATATATATATATATATATATATATATATATATATATATATATATATACATGTTTGTAAATGTCGATCACCGAGGTTGGTGCGGCAATTCCATGTTTAAATGCACTTGATGTCAGTGGAATCGCCAGCTTGATAAATAAGGTGGAGAATAATCATCTGTGCATGTTTTAATCCCTACGAAACGATTGATTTCAAAGGAACTTAATACGCAAAAAGAAGGGATAAAGTTGAAAAAAAAGTCAATTGCGATTCATACTTTACTCAACGAAGTTTGGAGACTGCTCAGATTCTCCAGTTGTTCAATCAACTGTACTGACTTGGATGTTTCCCTCACTCTTTTCTTTATTTCATTGTAACGATCTTCTCCCAGCTCCTGTACGACATAAAGGTTCAAATAAATGATGCCATACTATAAAAAACATTCGATGTCAGCTTATTTTCTGTACTAAACCTGTGGCAACTGCCCCTTCTTTCGTGCCAAAGTAAGCACTTTTTCCAAAGATCCAACATCGATATAGGGAGAAAACGTGGACCATGGGTTCTTTGAGTCTTTTAAAGATTCCGAATAGTTTACAGGAGCGATAGTTCCGCTGATATTTCGGATCATTTTTGATTTTACTTATAACAAATTCAAATTACCCTCCTCGCGGAGCTCAGCTGTTACGTAATTGTCTTGTAATGTTGTTCATTGGTATGTTCGGAAACCTCACGGAGAAGTCCGGTCGGGAACGGATTCAACATCACCGATTCACATGGAACACCCACATGGCCACTTACTTGTGTGTAGTAATTGTGTTTCAGTATTTGTATATTTTTCAACAATGGAATCTTTTTTGATGTACTTCTGTTTATAAAAACTCAACCTGTTATAAATCAGCCCACGTTTTCACCTTCACTCTCACTATGAAAGACCTGTTTGTTCCAAGTTTAAAACATTTTAAACTAATGTTTCATCCCAGTTAACAATGATACTCATACTGCGCGGTCAGAAGATGTATCATGAATGGTTACTTGCGAATCAGTTCCTTTTCTTTTCCCGTTTTGTTGTTTGTGTTAATTTGGTTTCATTATTGTTCTTTAGGTGCGTGTCAATGAATGGTACAATATTACTTAGAACACGTACTTTCTTGCGTTTTATTTCCTGGTCTTTTGTATTAAACAACAGACTCAAGTGCACGAAACGTGAGTGCGCATGATCATTTCCCCACCCACTAGGGGTGCGTATTAAAATATTCTGGCGTCGCCATATTTCTTCCCAAATAACATCAAATAGCTGAATGAAAGTTCTTTGCCTTAATTTGTCAAAGTTGACTGGGGATTTACTATCAACAAGGCAGCGTACGGAGTAGCGAGACTTAACATATAGTATAATCAACAATGCCGATCACTCGTCAAGTAAAAAACGTTGTTAAGAATTACTCTAATGTTGAAGTTAAGGTTCGAGAAGCTACTTCAAATGATCCTTGGGGCCCGTCGAGTTCATTGATGGCTGATGTAGCTGACCAAACCTATAATGTTGTTGCTTTTTCCGAAATTATGATAATGATATGGAAGCGGCTAAACGACCACGGCAAGAACTGGCGTCATGTCTACAAAAGTTTAGTTTTGTTGGATTATATTTTGAAAACTGGCTCGGAACGAGTTGCTCAACATTGTCGCGAGAATATATTTGCGATTCAGACCCTGAAAGACTTCCAATTCATTGACCGTGATGGGAAAGACCAAGGAATGAATGTTCGCGAAAAGTCGAAGCAACTTGTGGCTCTGCTAAAAGATGACGAACGCTTGAAGCACGAAAGAACTCGGGCATTGAAGGCGAAGGAAAGACTTGCACAGACAAGTGGTGGAGCTGTCGGCTCAAGCAAATTGAAATCGGGCTCATCAGGGAGTACAAGTGATGTACGTGTTGAAAAAGAGAGCGAATCACCTCCTGTAAGTCGCTCCTGGGAACCCGAGAGGCGAGCAAATAATTCAGAGATTGAGAAAAGTCGTCCGTCTAACGAAAGTGAAGAACAACTGCAGTTGCAATTGGCTTTAGCATTGAGCCAACAGGAAGCCAATGAAACGAAGGAGAAGGTCGCAAAAGATGAACAGCGCTTTCAAATAGCTTTGAATGAAAGTCGACAAAGTGTAAAAAGACCTGGCGAAGTTACATTATCAAGTATTGCAACTTCTAATCCCCCCACTACACAAGCATCTGATCCTTGGGATACGCAACCTGCTCAACCTGCGCAGTCCAATGTTGATCCATGGGGAGCACCACAAGCCAATACTTGGGGAGCACCTGCCCCTCAAACTGATGCGTGGGGGGCATCTGCTCCTCAAACTGATACTTGGGGCACACCCACCCCTCAAGCTCAACCATGGGGTAGTGTATCCACAGTTCCACCATCTGTTCCCATCCAACCAGTTTCACAACCTGTTCCCACTGCACAAGGCACTGGGGCCACTCTAGATCCATGGGGTTCGAACAATCCAGCCAAAACAGAACCATCATTAGATCCTTGGGCTCAACCTGACCCATTCAATAATGCCCCCCCTGCTGGTGGATCTTGGAATGCAGATCCATTTTCTAGTACAAATGACACTTTAAGTTCAACATCAGATATGTTTAGTACATCTACTATGTCTGACCCTTGGACTGGGTCCAACCCACCTTCTACAAATGTAAGTCAAAATAATATTGAACCCATTGATATTAGCTCTTTGGGTCAATCGCTTCCTCAAGAAAATAAGAAAAAGGATTTACTCTCAGATCACTCCACCCTTGTTAACTTAGACTCGTTAGTTAGCATAAAGCAGGAATCCAATCCATTTTTCACTCCTGTACCACAACAACCAAAAACTGGCAATCCTTTTGCTCAGGAAAAGCAAGCAGCTCCATCATTGAATCAACTTCGTACTGGTCAACCACAACTCATTCCTCAGACTAATCCAACACCTTTTGGAGATGCACTTTTACCTGCTCCATTGATTCCTACAGCTTCGGGACAACCTACATCGGCTACTGGCAATCCATTTTTATGAGGAGTTTTGTGTTCAATGAAAAACTCATTTGCTGAAGAGGTTTGAAAGTAACAATTGCACAGTTATGTGATATCCATATTATTTTGAGGCAAATGCTTTTTTTGAAACAATGAAACAGACTTGACTTTTATTGCAATGAATATATAAGCAATTATGTAAACATTTCTAAGGGCTTACTTCATCCTACATTTGTGTTAATGTTGCTCAGCTGAAGTCATATTCTGCAACCTACATTGTCTATCAAAAAGACAACCATGGCTTTTAATTTGAGCAGTCTTTATATTTAAATAAATTGTGAAGCTACGTACATAGAACTACCTTGACAAAGGTACATTAATAGTAATGCGCATCAATAAAACTAAGGAAAGTTTTCATCATGGTTTTCAATTTGAGCAATTTTATACATAAGAAAAGTGTGTAGCCAGACAGTACATTGAAATGACATGTACTACAGCTATATGATTAAGAAATTTTTCATTAAACTCTGAAAACCAACTCTTTATGAAGTAAATGTTGTGAGATTGCTTTGATATTTTTATTTTCTCTGATTTTTTTCATTTAGTCATCCATTTCCAGTTCAAATTTTTGTTTATTTCATTGTGTGACATGGTATTTGATTATAATAACTCATTTTTGATAAGTAACTAAAGAATATTATTTTTCCAAGGTTTAATACTGTTCCTGAATGCACTCAAACATCATTGGTCACAACCATACATAAGACCATATTTTGTAGAAGGTAGTGACTAAACCAAACTCTCAAATACATATATGTAATACCCAAATTAAGCAAAAAATCACGCAGATAAAAATGCCCATATACCCCTTTTCAACAAAATGTACTCAAATGGAATTTTGCACCTGGTGGTCTCTTTTTTCAGCTGGCTGGTTTACTGTACTGGACACAGTCTTCTTTACTGGTTCCACCACTGACTGCTCGACGCGTACATCAAGACTGCAGAGCCTGTTCTTTAGTGGAGGGAGGGAGAAACAAGCCTTGATATCCATCGTTCACATGCCAATCATAGATAAAAATAATGATGTTGATTAAATGCGAGATTTTAATTGTGTTTTACATTGTTTATTTCCGGAATCCGGTCATTAGGATTTTAGATTACTGATGTCACGGAGTATTTTAGTTCAATGGATTAGATTCTATGTTTAGATTTTGCATCCTTGTTGGTGAGATTTTCATCATGTTTATACATGTAGGACGAAGACGATGATGTATTATGGCAAAAAATGTAAGGGAAAAAAACACAACTGCGTTTTTATCCACTCGAGAAAAGCAAGAAACCTCGCAGTACTTAAAAGGAATCAAAGCTTTAATATATGAAAGCGGTTTGGGAAAAACTCGCGCAAGTATTTTGGCCAAACAACTACAAAGACACGGAGGAACACAGACAAAGGCTATTAGTTACGATACAACTCATGTTTTAGTTGGAAATACTGTTACTTTTGAAAAATTGTGGAAAGCGTTAAACTTTGGTGAAGTTGTGCAGAAGAATATACAGATATTGCGTGCAGATTGGTTAAGCTCGTGTTTGAAAGAAGGCCGACTCCTTGAGACTGACGGATTTTCTCTTCAAGGTCAAAATGATGTATGTGAGAAGCCTATCAAAGAGTGTGAATTGGACTTTCCTGATGAGCAAGCTTGTAGCAGTAGAACTCCTGCGAGTTTCAATTTATTGACAAATGAGGAGGTAACAGGTGCTTTCAGTTTGAACAGCAAAAGGCCAAGAAAAAATGTGAGATCGAAAGAAGAGGTTGTGGATGACAGTGATTATGAAGAGAGTGACGAAGGAGAGATTTGGAACAAGGAGGATATTGGGGAATGTTTGGAGATTTCACCTAATATTTCACCCCACAAGAAGGTACAGTAGCATCCACAAAAATCCTCTATGCATGTTTCTTAGAGATAACTAGACATTTACCTGACAATAAAGACACTACATCGCATTGTCACCCTCCCCCTCCCCCCCCCCTTAGCCTTTGCTAGACTCAAATAAAAACACTTAATAAAAATAATCCACTGGATTCAAATTCAAACTAGACTGGCTGAATGACATCCTATAAAAACTAAAGCACGCCCAATATAAAACTATCCTAAATCCATCCTTGAAATATTATGGGATAACATTAGTCAGGTCTGCAAAACTGAAACATCCCTAGAAATAAGCTGTTTATGTGAAACCTGTAACAAATCAAAATTATGATTCGGTTTCAGGTTGTGCTGTCTGACCTCAAACTCAAAGTGCATTCATTTTTGTTTCAGGGAGACCAATGGATTTGCACAAGACCATCTACATCATCTCCTAAAAACATGAATGAAACTATTACTGAGAAATTAGAGGTATTGAAGTCGGCAAGTCTGAGGAAAATTGCTAAATAAATTTTGGAACCATATTACTTTTGTGCAAAAAAATTTTTTCTTAGGTTTTAGAAAAGTTATACAAAAATACTGATGACAAGTGGAGAGCTCTTGGTTATAGAAAAGCAATTGTGTCTGTGAAGAAGTTTCCAAAGAGAATTGAAACTCTTGAGGTATTAGGGAGGTTAGGGTAATAGTAGGGGGTTAGAGTTAAGGGGGAGAAGCAATACTACTCTTTTAGAAATTTAATAAGTTTTTATCTAGTGCATTAATGGTGTGTACAAATACACAGAAACCCAATTGATAGTTTTGATGAAAAATTGAAATTTTTATTTTGTGGCACATAAATCAGTTCTAGTGTTACTAGGGACATTTGCCGCTAAATGGTGTAAGTGTGAACCAGGCTGTCCGTGGTTCTATAAGGTTGGAACCCCCTCCTTATGTACACAAAATTGGACAACTTAAGAATTTTCTTAAAAATCGTTAATAGAACACAATATCAACTGGTTTTTATGTTATACACAGAAAAATACCAATTAGAACTTTCAATTTACTATCAGAAACATATATTGACGAATAATCTTCTATGAGAAATATCCAATGCTTCCATGTGCTCAAATGCAAACCTATCTTTTTGTCTTTAATATCATAAATAACACTGTTCAGGTTGTCCCTTTTCAAGCTGAATGCTTGTTTGCCCGTATCACCACCCGCACAGAGCTTATAGCAGTTATACCATGGCCCCTGGATTATGCAAAATTGAGGGAGCTCATAATCATACATATAAACATGTTATAATTTATGCAAAGCAATATATTTCAATGTAACTTGCCATGCATAACAATATGAATATGGGTTCCCTATATATCAATCTTGCTTTGTCCACGAGAGGCAACTTATCTCAATTTCGTCTTGATGGCATCAAGTGATATATACGCTGTCATTATCAGGTGATGAATTAAAATTGCACCACCACCATTAATGATTCACCTATCTAGTGAAAATTTTATCTTCAGGAATGTCGGAGCCTGCCCTTTGTTGGCGAACGACTTGCCAAAAAAATTTGGGAAATCGTTGAGACGGGTCATCTACAGCGTTTGGATTATTTAGGTACGAAAAATGATGCCTTGGAGTTGTTTTGTAATGTTTGGGGAGCTGGGCCAAAGACTGCGGAAACATGGATTAACAAGGTTTGCTATCTTTGCTATTTTCTGTAGTTGTTTGAGTCTTTCATAGATGATGTAATACGTACTTTTTCCCCCTCTATTATGACATCATGATTGCATTGTAAATGATGTTATACGGACCTCTACCCCACTCAAATATGACATCATGATTACGTCGTAGATGATGTAAATCGTTCCGCTATTTTGGTCGTGCAATGTAAATTTGAAATCTTTAAAATTATTTTTTTCTTTAGAAATCTATTTTCTTGACAGTCAATGAAAACACAAAAATTTACATTTCATGACCAAACGTTCTGGCTACGTCACCATGAACAATAATAGATAATGGCAAGTCATGACAGTCAATGAACACCTAAAATTTACATTTCATGACCAAACGGGCTGGTTACGTCACTGGAAACAACATTAGATAATGGCAAGTCATGACAGTCAATGAACACCCAAAAATTTACATTTCAAGACCAAACGTTCTGGCTACGTCACTGGGAACAATAATAGATAATGTTAAGTCTTGACAGTCAATAAACACCTAAAATTTACATTTCATGACCAAACAGGCTGGCTACGTCACTGGGAACAACATTAGATAATGGCAAGTCATGACAGTCAATGAACACCCAAAAATTTACATTTCAAGACCAAACGTTCTGGCTACGTCACTGGGAACAATAATAGATAATGTTAAGTCTTGACAGTCAATAAACACCTAAAATTTACATTTCATGACCAAACAGGCTGGCTACGTCACTGGGAACAACAATAGATAATGGCAAGTCATGACAGTCAATGAACACACAAAAATTTACATTTCATGACCAAACGGGCTGGCTACGTCACTGGGAACAACAATACATAATGTCAAGTCTTGACAGTCAATGAACACCTAAAATTTACATTTCATGACCAAACAGGCTGCCTCACTGGGAACAAAAATAGATAATGTTAAGTCATGACAGTCAATAAACACCTAAAATTTACATTTCATGACCAAACAGGCTGCCTCACTGGGAACAAAAATAGATAATGTTAAGTGCATTTAATACGTGATTGTTACAGGGATTTAGAACACTTGATGATTTAAAGGAGCATGGTAATCTTAATCGTCAACAACAGATTGGTTTACAACACTACGATGACTTTTTGGAAAGGATGCCTAGAAGTGAAGCGGAGGAAATCGGGAATGTCGTCATAGCAACAGCGCGGTCTATAAATCCACAACTTACGTGTGAAATTTGCGGTTCGTTTCGCCGCGGTAGGGCTACCTGTGGTGATGTGGATGTCCTCATATCTCATCCTGATGGTCGCTCGCATGTTGGAATCATGGGAAGGCTGCTGGAAAAACTCAAGGAACAAGGTAAGAGAAACTATGTACAACGTATGGGTTTGGATTAGATTGGAATCGTTCGGATCAAGGTCAGGATTTGAGATTTAGAATTAAAAAGGTTTCTCTGCATTTCTTTTCACTTAACTGCATGTTTTTTCAACTTACCTGTCATATCCTAAATGTTAAGTCATAAATATGGATAGGGCGACCAAGTGTGTTCGAGGCTGTCGGCAATTTTGTACATGATAGTTAATATACTTTTACTGAAAGTCTGGTCTAGAAAATAATGGCTTCACTATCCATTGGATGACAATATTTTTGATTAATTCAAAATTCTTCCCAATGATAAAAAGTCTACAATACACGAAGCATTTATATAACACGCTCAAACTTGACTAAACTATGTACGAACTACCGTAAAATTGTACTCTTGCACTCCAAATTGTTTTATTTGCTTAAGAAAATGCGAAGTTTGTCTTTAGAGTGATGTGGAGTTTTCACGAGATTTTGTGTTTCCATTTGTTTTTAAATAGGTTTCCTTACTGATGACTTGACGCTGATGGATGATAAGGAACAACGAAAATATCTTGGTGTTTGTTTGTTACCAGGCGATGGGCAAAAGGCAAGTGAAATCTTGTGATCACGTGATTTATATTTCCAAGATGTGCACACAATTGGAGTATTGTTATCACATGGTTTGTAGATTGAAATGCAGGAATTCGCTAAAGGAACATTTTTTGTCTGTTTCATTTCATAGCATCGTCGGTTGGACATTATCGTCGTTCCATTTTGCGAATGGATTTGTGCTCTTCTCTATTTCACAGGATCTGATTACTTGAATCGATCAATGCGTTTGTTAGCGAGAAAAAAGGTTCGTAATTATATAACTATGTCGATTCATTGTGGTCAGCGGCCATAAATATAATAAAACCTATATTGCTAACGCACGTCGCGCGGCCGAAGCAAATTGAACATTCCAAGATGGCGGCTCAAGCGAGCAAATTATTACGAAAATGATGTTTTTTGCAGTTTTCTTCGTCCTACCCCTTCTATCCTAGTTCTAGCCCATTATTTTGGAAATAGGATGACATTGCAGAGTTTCTAGATGTAAACTTGGATGCATCAAATGAATATCACGACAAAAATCGCTTCGTCAAATTTTTGCCAAGTGGTCACTTGAATCAAATCGAGAATTACAACGTAAGAAATACCGAGTTTGGTTTAATGTGAGCTTCTGAAAGTGAATAATGATGAAGGAAAAAACCATAAGAGCAAATATACAAAGTTTCATAGATCCTGTGACTACTTTAAGTATGTCTTATTGTATTGTATTGAACGACTGAAGCAAAATTGACAGTTTTATGTTTCTTATAAAATATGAATATTTTACTCAAATTGAAGTATTTTACAGTTATGTAGTTTACTCTTTAATATCATGGCAACATTAGGGTCCTGTGAGAAAAACTATTACACCCCCACACCCCCACAGGCCACCGTAATGAGTGTGGTTTGTCATTATGAATAATGAAACGTTATGAAATCCATTTGTCTCAGTATGTCATGGCTGCAACATTTCTTGCAACAGCATTTACTTATGCTTCTAAACCATATTTTGATTATTATATGAATTGAACAATTTGTATCATAAGTTTGCTACGTCTGACTACGTATAAGTTGTACATACGTCAGCAATCTATGTTTATTATATCTATGTCAGCGGCTATAATACTTTGTCCATACCAGTGAACTGTAATATCAACTGGAACGCTAACAACGCAGCCATGTTTGAAGCCGAAAATGAAGCTCATAATAATATTTTAGAAAATCAACAACAATATACATAAAATGCAGTAGCACAAATTGTTATGAAAAGTTTATCCACACAAGATTTGGTAACAAACCTAAACCTAAAAACACAATTATAAATACATCATAAGCACTTGTTTTAAAATGGCGTATAGAACTATTAGTGTTAGCGTTCCAGTTTATACTCCAGTTCACTGGAACTGAAACTATACCAGTGATCCATACACTAACAGCTATATAAGCTATGCCGGTTTATCATAGTCAGCGGTTATAATATTTTGTCCATACCTCATGGTCAGCGGCTATTAGCTATGTCGATATATTGTCGGAAAAACTATGTCCGTTATTTAATTACTTGTGTAATTATGTGTAATAATATTTTTGTCGATAAATGTCATAAATTACTTCGGTTGACTTCATCTTGAAAATTGTCTTGAGTAAACATCGATTTCCTCTTATGGAAGAATCTAGTGTAAAGTACGTAAAGCGCAAGTAGATTACTTCATGGTTGATGAATCCTCCACCATTGGCGATAAAGTCAATATGCACTTTTTCACTTGTCAAAAATATCGTATGTGCAATCAGAATGCAGATACGAAGTTGTGATTTTTATTTCACCGTTTTTTACGCATAAATTTCAACACTCTTATAAGATAAATCTACGTACACATGAATCTCTTTATTGGTAGCTTATAAACATTTATTTTGACTTCTAGGGAATGTCGTTATCGGAGCATTCGCTCAACGCAGGTGTTGTGAGACAGGTAAGGACTGGTTTTCTGTATGTGGCTCGTAAATTTAGTGTCATTCATTTACTACTGGATTCATGGAAACTCTGCCTACGTACTTCCGGGCAGAGTAATTCGTTCTTAGACCCTCTCATCTTGTGCTCGCTCTTTCCAACTAGGAAAGGTGCTTTTGTCTGTTTGTTTTTTAATTTTGTGTACCCACGGTAACTTCATCGACTTAGCTATATAGTTGTTTTCCCTGAGGGCATTGCTTTCTCCATCTATCCTCATCTTGAAAACTTCCTTCGGGAGGTAACCGGAGCACCCTGGGAAACTCAACCCACATTAAGCTACACCCGACTGCAGTCCAATTTTACAGGGATCGAACCCGCAACTCTGTGGTGAAGGCATTGAGTTTAACCTTTTGCGCCCCTGAAGCTTCCCCGTTTACGAAATCGACAATGTCTCCGTACTAAAATGGCCTTCTGTTAGTACTATTATTTTGCAATCTGCTTTCATCGCTTTATACGAAACAAGAATCACATTATAGCTAACTTTCGCCGTTATTCGCTGCTGTTTCTGAAAGCAAGCTAAAAACTAAAACTAAATTGACAAAGACTTAAGCTCTAGATGATGGGAAAAATTCAACAGTTGCTCCATGTTCAAAACTCGTTAATGATGATTCTCCAGCGGAAGTTGAACTTATACCTTTTTAACGCCCAAGTGATGCCTAAGTAATTCCCGTATAATACCGATACAATACTTTTTCTACCACGTAGGGCTCCAAAACATGAGTTTTGGGACGTTCATCGCTTAAGTTTCTTTAAGAAATATTTTGCTTTATTTATGAAGGGTCAAGAAAGATTAAGTGAAGGAAAGCCATTACCGTTGACAGAAGAGAAAGACGTTTTTAAATATCTTGGTCTGGACTATCTTAAACCTCACGAAAGAGATTGGTAAAGATAATGGATGACACACCTCCTGGTATCCAGGCCCTTGCCACTGAAATGAACGCGGACATGCGATTTTTGGAGAATATATTTGTTTCAAGTATAGAATAGTACTTAGCTATGAAGTAATATTGTCAATGCCACTTAACGATTTTATCCGAATTTTGAAGATTTTTTTATTTGAAGAAGTCGATTTTATTCTATGTATATTTATTACTTTTATTACGTATTGTTTTTATTTGAGTTTGTCATCTCATTAACGTTAATGTAATTAAGAAGAATTTTGCCAAAGTTTTTGTACCAGGGTGTATTGAAATCAAACATTGCGTTTTCGAAAGTTACTTACTACCCAAGAATATGGCGACGCGCTTTTCCGGCGATTATCGGCGTGACAAAAAACGTCAAAGGAGTGACCCTTCTGGTTATTTACATATTCTGTGACATGTGGAAGCTAACACAACATAATTCATCATATATACATATATACATATGTAAAAACATATATATTTTCTATTGCGATCTAGCGGAAGTATCTTGCTGGAAGGCGTGTCTTCTTTAGAATTTGCTTCGGAAAAGTAGGGGACACGAACATCAAAGGTTCCGACACGAGTGGACCTTCTGCCAAGATATCTATTCTGTTCTGCATTGCAACATCAAGTCTTTTGTCCGTATTCTAAAAGCTCACTCACGCTCATTGAGTGCGACATAAATATTACACTTTGTCTAAGCATTGAAAAAATCGTTTCTCCATCTATGACAAGATTTCCTTGTAAATAATTCAAATCAAGCAATCAGTTGAGTGAAATTGTGTTCTTCAATTAATTCTGAAGTGATTTTGAAGCTCCGCTCATTGAGTGTGAGTGTGAGTGTGAGTGAGCTTTTAGAATAGGGGCGTTTGTGTCGTGTTTCAGTTCGTTGCGTCCACTGTTAAGCATAAAACTGGATAACACAATTTAGTTCTTGACTTGAAGCCTGGTGGGAGCCGAGAGAATAAATGTACATACTTTTGATATAATGAAATAATGTTTACGTGCACAAGACTTGTTAACTGTTGAAATAGAAATAATTTATGTTTCCAATTTGATTTGCAATTTTGATTGGAAAAAAATTCAGGAAGTATCTACCTGGCTAATATGAGTGTGCTTTCAAAATGCGTTAAAAAGTCAATAGAAATGAACAACACCTCGATCTCGCTCTTTAGATTTGTTATAACTGAAACGTATTGTCTTTTATTGTACTTTGAAGCAATCATAAACTTTCATCATTTAGGATAGCGAAAGCTTACTTGCTCACTTGCTGATCGATATTTTTTGAATGCCGATATCTAGCAGATGTAAGCATGAGTAAGTTCTTGGTAATAATGTTAAAGCAAATTATACAGACTCAGCGTATATATTGATACAGACTAGTAAATTATTCCATTTCATTGGGAGATGATCATGAAGAGAAGTTGAGTCAAGCCTGAAATAAGGTGTAGATAGTATAGTGATGATTGATGAACCGTTCTTAATATCTTGAAATGAAATCTTTGATACTTGGCAGTAATACCTAAATTACAATTTTAAAGATGTCACAGTAAGTTGTTTAATGAGAGAAATAAAATCGATTTGATAAAAGCAGGTATTTCTAGAGTAATTGTCGTATGGTTTTTTAGTTATTGAGTCATCACTTTAAGTAATATCTTCCTTTTGCATGATTACCGATATAAGGTTGTGCATGAAACGTTTATTAAAAATGATTGCTTAACAAAAACAATGAGCTTAGAAGTATTACGTTTTCTGGGGCGTATGGGCTGGGGGGCACACCCCCCCCCCCAATGCTTAGCCATTTGGGCATTTGGGCTTAACATCATGTGTCGTTTGGGCAATTAATAAAACACTAAATGACCTAAAATGAATCATTTGAGTTATATGGAAGAGGTTAACAAGAAAGGAATTAATTGACATTTAAAATTCCTTGCGTTATGTGAAGTTCGTTCGGGCTCGTATGAAAATATAATTTTAATGCGGCGTTAAACTTCCAAAATTGATATTTATCTTGCTTTTTCATGATTATGCAGCATAATGACGAAATATTATTAAAGCGAGGTTATTAAAAGGTTTATTATAAGGCATTATTTGACCCTAAACGAAGCTTGCTTTCTTTCTTGTCCTTGCTGTTTTTTACTGGTTGGCTTACACTTTTCTAGTTTTCGTCGATAAAAAATAAATGGTTTCAAATTGTATCATCTGGATAGTTAAACTGTTTTCCAAGTGTTTTTCCTTCGAATCACATTAATTTGTAAATTTGACTTTAGAATCACGTCTTTTGGACATAGGTTGATTACGGGAAAATAATGGACAGGCAGGAATTTTTCTAAGCCAATCAAACCGTACCATTTAGCCGGAAGGACGCTTGCCATATAATAATTACTGAATCAACGTCTATTGTTTAAGGTGTATATCGAATTATTCAGTGTTGTGTAAAGGAATGTACTGGAAGATCGAAGGAAACTCCCGCCCTGAATACCCCCTTTGGTGCGGTCCTGTCCTATGTCTTTTGCGAATTCAGATGTATCCGATTCTGGTGTTTATAAAAGCCTCATTAATTTAACAGCAACATGGCGGAAGCTAGCAACATAGCGCATGATACACAGCTGGAAATTTATTGCGACGTGATCGATTTTAAAATCATTTCAATCAATAAATCAACATCATAAGTCCATACATTCAGGAAGGTAAGTACGGTTAGGCTGAGCTTGTTAAATAAGCTTTAACATAGCATTAAATAAACAAGTTGGAGACCAGCTCTATTGCGCCATGACCACTGAATTGTTCACTGCGAAATACGCGTCTTTCAATTTGCAAAATAAGTATCGAGTAACCTAAATTTAATGTTTAAATACTCGGACTACAGAAAGTAAGATGGAGTTTAAAAAGTTCGGATTACTTTATGTGCGAGTGCTGATGCGTCGCATCGCAAGTGTACTGTATGAAAATGAAGTCCTCGCCACAATCATCACCGCGTTCAACTAAATGCTATCGCTCAAAATGACAATTAGGGGTATTTTGTTTCTATTTATTAAAGCCTGTAGTAAACTCATTGAAACCAACTGCTGACAATTGTACAATAAAGTCTAATATTTTTTAGCACTGCGTATAAAATTTGCTGTAGCATCAGCAAATACAAAAATTTAAGCAGTTTATACTTCCCTCACCAATTTGTTCACAAATTTTCAACTATTCTTTAAATTATTTCAAACTTTACTATTGTCTTCTATATATATGCTCTACAATATATCAAATAAGACCAAGGTGGCGCAATTATATGAATTACAAAAAAATGACTTTAAAGACCTGTGACACTAGCTATATGTACATCATACAGGGTGTATAAAAAAACTGAACAGTTTCGAAAACGTCGCTAAAGCCATCAACGCGCAATATTTGCTAAAACCTTTTGCGGGAAATAGGTTGTTAGACTTCCAATGCTTTATGTGACGGTGAAATCGTGGCAAAAAATCCCAATTTTTAGAATGAGAATTGTGTTAGCAAGAAGCACTTTTGAAATAGCTTGCGCATTTAAATGATGCAGGTAAAAAGAAATTTGGAAGACATAGGGTTAAAATATGACACATGCTTTTTAAGGTAACAAAGTTTTAGGAACTTTCACTGATGCGTAAGCGAACGCATGGCTTTAAATGGCGAATTATTTTAAATTTGTCGTTATTAAGGGGCCGATTACATGAGGCGAGTTGTCTCGCTTAAACGGGTCAACTCGCTTAGCCGAGACGAGTTAAAAATTGCAATTACATGAAAGGCTTTGACCCGCACGGGAGAGCAATTTTTGGCATGAATAAATTAGTTGCGTAGTCTTTTTGTTTATGAATTTTAAAGATGCATGGATTCATGTCGGTTTCGTCGACTTTTCTGTACCAAATGTATTATTTTGATACTTGTGAGCTCACAGTCGATATAATGCTTCACAGCAATTGTTTATCCTTAAACTTAGTTATTAAACTCGATAAAAGTTTTATATTTTAATAACGCGCCCAGTAAATCTTTTATTATTTTGCTATCTCAATCAAACTTCTGGGTGACAATTTTGCCTGTGAATATTGGGAGCTTGTGGCTGCTATTTGAATAAACAAACAAGTACACATCGCTCTAACGTCTATTTCAATTTAAACTAACCAATAAACGCACGCGCGAGTCAAATTTCTTGGCCCGCTTTGCCGAGCCAAATCGGCACATTGCGATTACATTGGAATTTTCATCCTTCCTAAGCGAGTATCTCGGCAAGCAGCAACTGGGATCCCGGCAAGGCGGGACAACTCGCTTGCCATGTAATCACACTGTCAAAATAATATATAACAATTATACAAAGCGAATCGACTCGGCCATGTAATCGGCCCCTAAATGCCGTTTTGTTATAATCTTCGATTCTTCATCAAATATGCGTAAAATTGAGCTTAAATTAATCCAAATATGAATGACTGGCGAGGCTTTACGAAAATGCCATTTTGAAAGAAAAAACGCAAATCAATTCGTAATTTGGATGCCTAGCACGGCTTAGCTACATTTTCCAGAAGTTGGTAAGTTTGAACAACATGTGCCATACTTTAACCATGTGTGCTCCAATTGCTTTTTAGCTTTGCCATTTTCGTGCGCAAGTTTTTCAAAAGTGCTTCTCGGTAACACAATTCTCGCTCAGAATATGGCTACTACTTACAAAAATTTTACTTTCTCGTGATCCATTATAAGTCCAACATCCTATTCCATCAAAGGTTTTTGCAGATGTAGTTCGCTGATAACTTTAGCGACGTTTTGCTGTTTGTTCAGTTTTTTTATACCCTCTCTATAAATAAATAGCTCAAGAGGAAACAATAAATGTGGAAAATCTGTCATAACTCTTAAACTATTCTATCGGATTTTTAAATTTCGCTATTTGCAGTCATTTGAAGATGTTGACAATTATTGTTTTCAGTTGGCAAAATGTTTGTACGAGTATAATGTTTTAGTTTTCGGTCAAAATACTGATTTTTTGGCAACATGTTGTGCGCGTTAACGAAATATTATAATTTGAATGAGATTTCCCGACCAGGTAATGAGTAAACAGGTCAGACAAGTCTGGTGAATTTATGAACTATAAATTTAACTGGAAGGCTACGTCTTCGCTCGGAAATTTGAAGCTGAAGTCGGCAGTATTGATTGTTCGCAGTCTTTCCACGCTTGTGATAAACACAGCCAAAACAAAATATTTTAGTGTTTTTTAAGAAACCGTGAAAAAAAGAGAACTAAATCGTAAAAAATAGTTTCAGAAAGATGTAAATTTTTCCAGCTCGTTTATAGCAATATTTTACGCTAAGACGTCATGAAAACAATCGTTTTTATGGAAAAAAACGAACTTAACAAACTACGACAAATGCGGACGTTTTTGACATTTTGCAAAGCTGCACCATTAATAAGTCTTGATGTAAAAACACTATCGAAGAGCACCTGAACGTAAACAAATGTATGTTTTAAAGTATTATTTACGAAAAAAATCGTAGTTTCTTGTCACTCGGGCAAAAACGAATCTGAGCACAAACCTTTGCCATTTGTAAGATTCCTGTGTAAAAAAACATTTTTTCTGCAGGAAACTTAAATCTCCTTTATGAATAACACAAAAAAAAGGCTATGAAACAAAAAAATCTAATGATTTTCCTTTCAGTAGCTTTACGAAATTTCCGTTATGAACATTTTGTTTATTAACTTCATTACTTTGTTAACAATCACACGTCTCGAAGCTAAACTCGTGTATTTTGACTCTGGAAGTGAGATCACGCAAAATTTGGCTTCATTTTGTGTGTTACCGAATTATCAGAAGGTAGCCTTCCAGTTATATTTCGTTCAATGCAGAGTGAATTTGATACGTCATGATTGCATGATATTTTTTGCGTCATCGCCCCAGTCCACTTAGCCGCTCCTGTTATTTTAGAACTCGATGATTGGCACCTAGGCTTCACGCGTCCAATTTAATATGGCGAGTAATTAGTATCATAGAAGTAAAATACATGGAACGCTTTCTATGAAACAAATAATTTAAGCTAAATCTTACACCCAGACAGGCGAGATTTTACCCATCAGTTTTCTCTCCGCGAGAGAATCTCGAAACACTACACACGCGTGTTTGGGGGTAAAATCCCGCGTGTCTGGGTGTAAGATTGCCTCAATTATTTGTTTCAAACATAGCGTTCGATGTATTTTAGTTTAATAATTAGTATACATTGGATGCAAGTCTGGATTTAGCTGCTTCAAAATGCAATTCTAGAGAAGGCTAAAGTAGCCACTAAATACAAAGTTAAGGTACTTAACGGTGAAGAGAAGGCTAAAGTAGCCACTAAATACAAAGTTAAGGTACTTAACGGTGAAGAGAAAGCTAAAGTAGCCACTAAATACAAAGTTAAGGTACTTAACGGTGAAGAGAAGGCTAAAGTAGCCACTAAATACAAAGTTTAGGTACTTAATGGCGAAGAGAAGGCTAAAGTAGCCACTAAATGCAAAGTTAAGGTACTTAACGGTGAAGAGAAGGCTAAAGTAGCCACTAAATACAAAGTTAAGGTACTTAACGGTGAAGAGAAGGCTAAAGTAGCCGCTAAATACAAAGTTAAGGTACTTAACGTTGAAGAGAAGGCTAAAGTAGCCACTAAATACAAAGTTAAGGTACTTAACGGTGAAATAAAAAAAATTCAATTAAAATAACGAAACATGCATTGAGCAAGACTCGTTCGCTCTTTAGAATAAATATATATCAACAACAACAACAAACGCATAAAACAACAAATTAAGAAAAAATCGCCCTCGATTTCTATTCGGGCTTCGCTGTCATCTACTTTCGAGCTCGCAAACTTATTGTTAAATATTATTTGATTGTATATAGAGTGATATTGACGTCTGCCCTCGGCAGACTTCATATGAAAAAATTTTCATCTTGTTTTAGAATTGTATTCATTTCAGTTTCTCGTAGCTGATGCAAAGATAGTTATTGAGTGTCTGTTTTCTTGTATTGTTTGTTCAGTTTGTGATATTATTATGGTGTCGAGGAGGCGTTTACTTCTGTTTCTTCTTTTTGTATCAAGTTTTCTAAAAAGTAAGTCAATAGACAATCTACATAAATTGTTATAAATGAAATTTGATTTCTTACTGATCGTTCTTATATCTCAGTTGAGAGAGAGTCTCGGGGGATTGACGCTCTTTGCGGGGAAAATATACCTGAAAAACGAAAAAATTGACCCAAAATATTGAAATGTGGATTCTCGACAAATTTTTTAGGGGGTCTAGACCCTCGGCTTGTAGCTACGTCTATGTCAATCTCATGATGTCTTTTTTAAACATTTTTCTCCGATTCATAGGTTTTGGCATTAACATTTGTCCAACAAGAGATACAACTCTATCCAGTGGCTACATTACATCACCTAACTTTCCCAGTAAATATGATGATAACACAAATTGTACCTTGACGATACGAGCACCATCTGGTTTTACCATTCACTTCACATTTACCAAACTTGCTCTTGAAGGTGAATATACATTCCATGCACGTCTGTCATGTTAATGTCTTTGTCAAATTAAGGTATTTTTCATTTAAAAATTTTAAAAACATTCACAAATAATGACGCACAAAAATGAAAATAATCTTTTAATTTATAAAGAAAATCAAGCGTGATCATTAGTTGTAGGATTTTCTCGATTGTTCCAGCACTTTTCGTAGCATAATTTGGGAAAACGAACATAATCTTCACAGTTTCCTATAAAAAATTTCTGCGAGTATAATCTGCATGTATCTCTAATTTTTGTAACAAATTATTGAACCACTTTAAATCCTGTTCTACTACTTGTGCTTTAAAACTTAATCCAAACATTGGCTCGGTTTTATAACACTACGTTGTCATGGTGATTCCATGTACATCCCTCACTCCACGAGTTACCTAATGACAATCTTATTCAAAATTCCAAATGGCTGCAGCCTTTCAGGAAATGTAACCTGAAAAGTGGAAAAGTGAAGTATCACGTAGAATGCTGTTGCGAATGTCCTTCTGCTTCAAGACCGACATCGTTGCTGTTGAGAAAGTTTTCCTATACTGAAAACCTCGTTTAATGATCAATAGCATCATACACTTTCAAATTATTTACAATGCAATGTAATGCTTCGATGTAACAAACGTTCGTTTCTTAAACAAACAGGAGAAATTTAGGAACAGACAGACAGAGCCATAAAAATATATGTTACGTTAAATTAGAAGAATTTAGGTGAAAAGACATGTTTGTTCGAATATTAAAAAATTTCTTTTGACCAAAGACGTTGATATTTTACTTTTCAGCGCATTTTCCTCTAGCATTATTTTCAAAAAAAAAATAGCATAAACTCTGAAAACAGACGTAATTCAAGCATAATTTATTCAAAAAGCGAGTGGTAGCTATAAATAGCATACTGTGCTAATTTTATTTAGCGCAATCGAGAAAAGTCTACACACGAAAACCAGTTCTAATTTATCTATGCTTACTTAGAAAACTGCCTTGATTATGTGAATATATCTGGAATTTCATCAAAACGTTTCTGTAATGAAAATACACCTCTCGTATTCAACCCGGGTGGCAATGTTGTTACAGTTCAAATGCATTCGGATTCCAGTATTACACGTGATGGCTTTCGTCTCCAATTTGTGAGGAAGAGAAATCTTGCAGGTACTACACACATAACTACACTCACATATAAAGGTATATGATTGCATTATTCACTTCTAAGAACAAACAAACTTTAAAATTATATTTGATAATATAATTTTAAAGGAAAATGTACAGGGAGAGATTAATTTTGACTTTTTTTACAATATTCTTGCTCACCCGAAGGTTTTATGTTCCGTATGGCTCATGTGCAGTCAGATCACCGTTATAAACTTTCTTATGAAATTAAAATATAAATTAACGAGCATCAAAGTCAATGGACAATGTATATAGATTGTTATGAATGAAGTTTGATTTCTTATTGATCATTTTTATGTTAAAATTTGTGTTGTCTTTTTTAAACATTTTTCTCCAATTCATAGATTTTGGCATTAACATTTGTCCAACAAGAGAAATAACTCTATCCAGTGGTTACATTACTTCACCTAATTATCCCAATGATTATGATAATAACATAAATTGTACCTTAACGATACGAGCACCATCTGGTATTTCCTTTCGTTTCACGTTTACCAAACTTGATCTGGAAAGAGGAATTTATGGAATCGGTAAGGATTGAACGATACAGAAACTTTCATATGTTTTTAAACTTGAGAGATTATGTTGAAAATTACTTGAATTCGAAAACAACCTCAGATATAATTCTATTTTTGTTTTGAAGGATAGATTCTAATTCCTTCATATATTAACTAATGTCTTCGTCAAAGGTATTTTTCGTTTGAAAATTTTGAACATTTTACAAGTGAAAGTTTATCGAAGCTTTATATAGTAAATTATTTAAAACTCGTGATGACAGACAAAAATGAAAATAATCTTTTTTTCAATTTATGAAGTAACTCAAGCGTGATTTTAAGACAAGAAAACCAGATATTATTTATCTATTCTTATTTAGATGAATGCCACGATTATGTAAAAATATCAGGAATTTCATCAAAGCGTTTTTGTTATGAAAATACACCTTCTGTCTTCAACCCTGGGGGCAATGTCGTTACTGTTCAAATGTATTCGAATTCCTTTTTATCACGTAATGGATTTCGTCTCCAATTAATGGGAAATTTTTCAGGTACAACATCCACATCTGTACACTTTAGTAGAACAAACAATGAGTTGTCCAACACTAAATATTGTTTGATAAAATAATTTGATAGAAAAATGTACAGGGAGATTAATTTTGATTTTTTTACGATTTTGAAGCATATGCGTGAAGGATTTAAGTTCCATATAGCTCATGAGCATTCTGATCACCGTAATTTACTTATAAACTTTCACATAAAATTATAATAATAGATTTACGAGCATCAAAACACAACAACAAAACAAGACCATTGTCATTGTATCAGATGTTACAACTTCCACCTGATGTAAGCTTACTGCGTGGACAGTTTTTTTTGTAAACTTTTGGGGAATGTATTTATAAAATAGAAAGTATTTTGTATGTTTCTAACGAGTTATAGAAATACTGGCTTTTTGGACATTCAGCCAATCAAAAGCGGAGTAAAAAGCGGGATTCTGCTCAGAGTTTCTTGATTCATGTAGGATTGTTTTGTTTCAAATTTTAGATGCACAAGGATGCAGCTTTGAAGATGGACTGGGGACAAAAAAGTGTCCTTGGAGGAATATCAATTATGGTGGCCACGCTTATGATGATTTTGACTGGACTGTGGGGTTCGGTTCGACTAATTCTTACCAGGGTTCGTAACTTGACATTTTACAACCAAAATACTCGATTTTCGCGTATACTTTTTTGTTTGGCTTTGAGCATGTGAAAAACTCTAACAACCCAGTTCCTAACTACACAGGACCAGCGTTTTGATAAATATTACTCTGCAATCATCGTTTCCATATAACTCTATTTTACATTATGCCACTTCTGATTTCATCTCTTTCGTCTCACCTTAAGAGATATGAGTACTATTTTAAATGGTTGATTAGTTTAATAATGACTTGGTGTTTTTAATACTTGGGCTTTGCGGTGAATTCTGACAACGTAAAAGACAAAGTTTACCAAATTATAGTTACTATACAGAAAAAACTTAACAGTATAGAAAACTCATTTGACTCTGAAGATGACTACCGCTAAGGTTGTCGAAACGTCAGTCAACAACAACAAAAACAGTCCTTCTCAGGACTATACCAACCCGGACGATCTACATTTACAAACAAGTATAGAAAACGTCGCTTAAGTGATCAGTGCGCAAGATTTGCAAAAACTTTTGATGGACTTCCAATGTGTTATGAGACAGTAAAATTGTCGCAAATGATAAACATTTTCAATGTAGAAATTGTGTTTCAGAGAATCACTTTTGAAATAGCTTGCGCACGTTAATGACACCGCTGAAAAGCAACTGGAATACACAGAGTTAATATATGGCACGCTTAGTTTACGCTAAATATAAAATTGTAGAAAATTTGCATTATGCGTACGAGAACGCTCAGAAATTGCAGTTAAATAGGAAAAACAATACGCGATTTGGATACGTAGTGTTCGTGCACGGTTTTACCAAATTTCCTAAAACTTTGTCAGATGAACCATTGGAAGTCTAACTATCTTACTTTACCACAAAGACGTTTACAGATCTTGCGTACTGATGACATTAGCAACGGTTTCCTAACTGTTCAGTTTTTTTATTACATATTGTATAACAAAACATACCTTTGTTAAACCTCCTTATTAGTTTTAAAATCAAACTGCTAAAACAATATTTTAGTTGTGAAATATTTTTTTCCTTTATTTCTTAATTTTGGATCTTATTTCATTTGTACTCTCTTTCTTTAGGGAAATACGCTTACTTGGAGACATCCTCACTAAGAAGAGGGGAAAGGGCCTGGCTAGTCAGTGATTATTTCAAGAATTCGTTTACTTGTTTTCGATTTTCATACTATGTAGACGACACATCAGGAGGTTTGTTGAAAGTTTATCAGCAGACTTATGGAAGTGAAAAAAGATTAAAATGGACAGCGCTCCCAAAAAGTAGAGTGTTTAAATGGTTTGAAGTTAGTATAACCCTTCCACCTACTGGAGGTAATTCAGGATACAGGGTAAGCTTTGTAACGATTATTGTTGTAGCCATAGGCCAACTAGCCAATTATTTTTGGAGGGAGACATGGACAAATGTACGTCCAAAGGTTACCGGTGGGTGCAAGTCTGCAGTGGGGTTCGGGCTTTTACCATGCTCTCCCGGAAATATTTTGAAATTTAGACTTCTTCCATTTTGTGCACTTCCAACAAATGTTTTTTGTGTAGAGCGAAGGAAAAACAAACAATAATTAGTAGAAATATTCTTTAAGTGACAACACTAATTCAAGGCTTTCATGATAAGTTGAACTTCTTTGATAAAATAATCTGACCTTTCGGCTCATGCCATTCACTATAGTCAATCTATTCCATAATGATTTTTTTTAATAAATCGGAAATTACCTGTAAATCAAAGTCTTCCGAAGGTGACGTCACCGAGCTGTCACGAAAATTTTCAATACTAAACAACAATAACCAGCACTGTTAATTGTAGGAACTTAAATGAATGGATGAGTACATGCAAATCTACTATGTTTTTCGATTAAAATTGATTTTAGTTGGTACCAGTTGTTCTTGGTACCATTAATCAGTTAGCTATACTACTTTCAAAAGTGCGATTATCAGACGTTACTGTGGATAAGTCGATATTAAAAAAAATTAGATGCACTGTGACTTATTGCCCCAAAAATGTGTAAAATAATGTATGTAGTGCGTTTTTAGGTTTTATGTGTTTTTATGTAAATTCTATGTAAAACAGCTTCAGGGGCACAAAGATCAAACTTTTTGGTCGAGTAAAACTCGTCTGCTATTGGGTGCAGGCCTGAAGCTCGCACTCTCTGGGTCCTCCGGTTTCCTCCTCAGGGAGAAAAGCTATCAGTTGTTAAGGTTACCCTGCGCAAACAAAAATAAAGAAAACATAGTTTTATTGTGGTTTTTAGAACAATTTACCCGACTTCACAGAATTCCAAATCTTGTAGTTATTAGCTTACTACCCTTAAATTATACCAAATGACCATAATTTTATTACAGATAATTGTTGAAGGTATCAAAGGATCGGGTTATAATATTGCTGTTGATGAATTTACATTCGTGTGTTCCTCAACAGGTAAATATATTTGGTAATTGTGGCAATGTACATTAAACATGCATTTGTTGTACCGTTGGTGAAAACAAGGAAATTTAGCTAAGCGGAAGTTAGGCTCATGCAGCTAAGTTGGCCGCCATGTTGGCAGTAAGGAAAGAGGAGTGAGATTGCTAAGATTTGTATTACAGAAATGTGGTTTTTACAATTAAATGGAGATATTTTTGCGTTTTTGTCCACCGATTGGCTTTAGCTGAATAAAATAGCTGCTTTGAGGATATATATTGCTTTGTTCTATTCTTAGTTCTTCATTTTTTTCCAAGCATTTATGAAACTACGCATTATAATCCTCAAAGCGGTTCTTGTACAAAGATAAAGCCGATCGATGCGTGAAAATCGAGAAATATTGCCAATTAGTTGGTAAACTTTACGTTTCCGTAATACAATTCTTAATATTCTCACTCCTCTTTCCTTACTGACAACATGGCGGCCAACATGCGCGAGCTCACATGCGCGATGATAAGTTCTTGCGAGAGTGAGCATACTGTATAATACCTATACTGTGCTTTTGACACAGCTTGTGTTTAATGTTTACATTAAAGCGCGATTGGTTTTGTTCCAGTTTGCCGTTCCGGCTCGTTAATGACGTCATGGCCATGCATGCGTAATGAAGAAACGAGAGATGATTTTGACTGGTCAATTGGCAGTGGCATTTCACGAAACTTGAGTAGTGGTCTAAGCACAGACTCAAAAGGATCAATTTACGGTAAATTTTGATTAATTATTAGTCATTATTTTAAGCGAAAATTTGGTTAATTTAAACATCTATAGTAACTTTTGTCAATGAATAAATTAGCCATAAAGCCATTTATTATCTGTTACAATAAGAACAAAGTTCCGAGAGAGTTAATTAAAGTCTGTATATGAGATATAAAAAGCTTCCGTTGACTTATAGTGGGTAATGGGATCATAATTGTGTACTGCCAACCAAGTCGTTTTGATATGAGGTGCCAAATGCGTCAATGTTTCATATCGCACGAAATATCATTATGAAAATGAAAACTTTGTCATAAGAACAAAAGTTACCATAATTGAGGAGATTATTTAAATCTTGATGAAATTTTCACTTGAGAACTTGATGAAGTTTTTTTTTCATCCAATTTGATGAAATTATTACTATTAAACTTAATGAAATTTTTAACAACAAACTTGATGAAATTTTTTGAACTTGATGAAGTTTGTTCCTTTCTCATTATCAACTTTTGTCTTCCCACTTCCCCACTGACAACCGTCGGAATGAGACTTAATTGTTTTTGCCATGGTTTTTTATTTTTGGGCTGGGTTCTTATATATTTCAAAAAATAAGTCGTATCTTGTTTTCGATAAAAAGAATCAGATCTGGTGTCAAATCATCTGGGGCTGGAATGATAGATAGTAGTCAAAGCGTTTGGTTTATAGAATGCTTTACATACAGTGTATATCAGGCACCTATTATTTTGCTATGACTATTATAACTATTGAAAACAACAAAAAAAATTAGCTGAATGCGTTTGTCATGTTTATTTAATGTTAAATTTACAACATTAGTTTATGTAAATTCGACTTTATGTTAAGTATACATGGAGGACAACTTTTACAAAATAGTAAGTTATAAACAATGGGTTGTTAAGCCGTGGGTGTCTGGGTGGCCAAACACCCATAATAATAGTGTGGGAGTATCTTATGGGAAGGACACTCATGAATTTAGCTTCTTTCTTGAATGTTTTTGATAGGTGTAAAAATTTTCAAATTATTTTACGAGCACCGAGAACCTGGAAATTTTAATGATTTGAACATTGACGAAATGTAAATGTCATTTGTATGTAATGAAACACAACATTTTTGTAATTTTTGCTCGAAAGAGAAGAAAAGCCAATTGAAAATAATTAACTCATATGAAACAATTTCCTTATTATTCTTGCGTTATGAGTTAGCGAGTATGTAGCATCCACATTTCTTCAAAGCTTCTAAAGCCTCTGATTATAAAACTACTCAATTAGAAATAATTGCCTAAATCTAAACCTAACCTTATCCCTTACCTTAACCCTAACATAAACCTAAACCTAAACTCTAACCTAAACCTAAACTTAAACCTAACCCTAACCCTAAAACAACAGCGTTAAATTTGTAAATTTAGGGATGTCCAAGTGCAGACAGGTTAGATTTCCATCATTACCTATGGTTGTCCTTTCTATATCAGGAAACTATTTTTTCATTGAAACATCCCCTCTCCGAAAGCAAGGAGACAAAGCATGGTTGGTCAGTCGAAGTTTTTTCAACTCAAGAAAATGTCTCACATTTCATTATTATATGTATGGCAACAATATTGGATCCTTGAATGTGTACAGACAAACTGATGGACTTTTTCGAAAGTCAGTTTGGAGCAAAAGTGGTAATCATGGCAATTCGTGGTTTAAAACACAAGTATATGTGGACGGCTTCTATGATAACACTAGGGTACGTGATTTTATAGCAAAATAAAGATATTTCATTATGAAGTATACTAGATTAACAAACGACTAGTTTTGACAGAACTTTACCGAAGTTTTTAATTATTCAATGTTGATCTTTTTTCATAAAGACACAGGTTAGGATTAACCACTCAGGAGGCTTGGGCCCAGCTCATGTTGGGTTGCCTTTTTTACATAAATTTCTATTGTGATCATTTCACGTATGATAAAATTGGTTATTTGGAAGCGCGCCTAACTGCAAGTGCATCAAACAGTATTAGAAACAAAAGATACCACCTTTGTCATTCAATTAGCAAAACCAGTCCCTAAACACCAAATTTCCACAATGTTTGGATAGAAAAGAGCTGTGGGGCATTTTAGTTGGGCTGTCCTATATGACTCCTGTCATTTCTAGGTAGTTGAGCCAAGTGTTCTGACAACATTTTTTTACCTTATGGTTACACATCCTTTGCTCCTTTCAAAAGCCATTAGTATTATATTTTACTTTGAGTTATGGCTGACTACAGTACAATGCCATTGAGATCTGGAACTGGTTGTTTTTTTACACCATTACTCCATTATTGTTTTTGGCCTTGGTTCTGTAGATGTTGCATGTATCATCAATTTAGCAATTAGACGGATCTGGTGGTGGGTAGAGCGGGGCCCTAGCCTCTTGGGCCCATCCCATAATCTGGCTTTGTGCAGACACCAAACAAGGACTAAAGATCAGAGTCTTGCTTATAAAGAAGGCTATACTTAACATAATATATAGTCAGGATAACGCATCTCCTGATAAGAATACTGGAGGATACATGGAAACATACGTTTATTTGATTGTTATTATGAATCGGAGCACATTCATTTTATATAGATTATTATTGAAGGAGTCGGAGGATCTGGTTTAACAGGAGTTATAGCTGTGGATAATATTGAACTTAATGATGGATTTTGTAATGTCCAGTTGATAACTCGCTTGGACAGTCCTACAACAGTACCAACCCGGCAACGAACAAGTAAGTATCAAACATTTTTATTTTAGTTTTTCTTGATGGCTGACGTTTTTGTTGCAAAAGTCATGTCAACAGAAAATTGTTAAAAACTTACAGTAACTGACAAATAATTACAACCAAAGAATTTCTTTATTTCTGGGTATTGTTTTGTGTCAATTTTAGATGCACGAGGATGTATTTTTCAAATATAGAGTAGGCTCAACAATTGCACATTTGTTTGAATGGATTATTTTTATATAGATAATATATTAGCGTTGCTATTTTTCCGAAGTGGCGATACATCATAATAATCGATCCAAAATCTTATTAAACCTGGTTATTTAGTCTTTAGACATAAAGTTTTATCTTCAATACATCTGCTTACTTTAACTTTAAATAATTAAGACAAAATAGGCCATGAATAAAATCGAGAATTTTTAATTGTTTAATTTTAGTGTGTTTAAATAAAATTTCAATTTTAAAAAAAAATTCCATTTTCATTTAGCTTCAAACAAATCACATTCGACAGGAAACACTGCAATTATATTGGGAGTAGTTGGTGCTGTTGTTTTTCTGCTTGTTATTAGTATGCTTATCATTCATTACACACGACAGAAGAACAGACAAAGAAACTCATCCAATACAACCTCTCAACCCAGGAGAATTCGGAATCCTTTATATTCAACCACTCAACGCGAGAGTGTTCAAATTACGACTTATTCAACCACTCAACCCAGTCGTATTCGGAATCCTACTTATTTAACAACTCAACCCAGCAGTATTCGGAATCCTACTTATTCAACCACTCAACCCGAGAGTGTTCAAATTACGACTTATTCAACCACTCAACCCGAGAGTGTTCAAATTACGACTTATTCAACCACTCAACCCGAGAGTGTACAGAATAAAAATTATTCAACCAATCAACAAAGTACTTTGACAAGTTTACCGCCACCCAGTTATGAAAGCGTGTGCGACTTACCACCATCCTACTCACATGCAGCTGGTGTTGCCAGTGTTGGTGACTATGAAAACATTGTACCAACTACAAATTCAGGACAAAACGGACATACGGTTCCGATGAGCAATAATATCTCCGGTGATAATCCCAATCCAAATTCAAATCCTGAAGAGATTGTAGGAGATATTAACGCAGAAGAAAATGTTTACGAAACCCTACTACAATAAGTGGTCTACTATTGCCCACTACTATCGCAGAAGTTGAAAATGTTAACCCAGGAGAAAACGTTCACGAATCCGATGTAACAATAAGCGGTCATAAATAAAAGTAATTTTGATTTTATTATGAATTGTTATAAAAATATGAAAATGCAACTTATTCTCATTAAATGCCCTCTATGAAATTGAAAACAGCTTCGGTTGATAGATTTGGCGACGATAAATAAACTTTTTCAAATCGCTTCCCCCGTTTATTCTTTATTCAATACAGTGCTCCGACTACAGACACTATGTATATGTATACAAAATATTTGTTGTATACAGAAAAAATTTCATAAATAATGAATAATCACACAACAGTCGACCAGTTGTTTGAAATTTAAAACCGACGGTTACATAAATGTGCATGCATCAATTCAGTCTTTTCGATTTTCACGATGCTTGTTTATAATGGAGGCTTGTTTATATCGCCTTGCTAATTTTTAAAATAGAAATAATTTACATGTGAAATTTTATTTACAATTTCCATTGTTAAAGTGGTTATGAAACGAAATTTCATGGTTTCATATTTTCATCTAATTGCATAGTGTAAACCTTGAAAAGTTTCCAATAAAAATTTTAACGGATAAAAACGGTTCTTTGGAATAGAAAATCTCATTTAAAAATGACACTGGCGAACTAAAATTGTCAGCCATTTTGTGCGCGGCCAAAGGGATTTGTGACGTTCAACAGTTGCTCTATGTTCGACAGTTGTTCTACGTTCAACAGTTTCTACGTTCAACAGTTGCTCTATGTTCAACAGTTGCTCTACGTTCGACAGCTGCTCTATGTTCAACGGTTGCTCTATGTTCAACAGTTGCTCTATGTTCAACAGTTGCTCTACGTTCGACAGGTTCTCTATGTTCAACAGTTGCCCTATGTTCAACGGTTGCTCTATGTTCAACTGTTGCTCTATGTTCAACGGTTGCTCTATGTTCAACAGTCGCTCTATCTTCAACAGTTGCTGTACGTTCAACGGTTGCTCTATGTTTGACAGTTGCTCTACGTTCAACGGTTGCTCTATGTTCGACAACTGCTCTATGCTCAACGGTTGCTCTACGTTCAACTGTTGCTCTACGTTCAATAGTTGCTCTATGTTCAACAGTTGCTCTTTGTTCAACAGTTGCTCTATGTTCAACAGTTGCTCTACGTTCAACTGTTGCTCTATGTTCCACAGTTGCTCTATGTTCAACAATTGCTTTATGTTCAACAGTTGCTCTACGTTCAACAGTTGCTCTATGTTCAACAATTGCTCTTTGTTCAACAGTTGCTCTATGTTCAACAGTTGCTCTATCTTCAGCAGTTGCTCTATGTTCGACAGTTGCTCTATGTTCAACAGTTGCTCTATGTTCAACAGTTGCTCTATGTTCAACAGTTGCTCTATGTTCAACAGTTGCATTTATAAATTTTTATAAATTCGGAATGCTAAAACTTATCCTAAGATTTAGGATGGAATGATCGTGTGATTAGTAAGTTTCTTATAGTTGATTTGTAACACACAAAAAACTGCGTTGCATTTTGCCATTTCATGATAACGCTTGATATTCTTCTGCAAATACGGATGTATCTGGTGTTTATTTAACTATTTACACAAACTTGTTCACCTTTAGTGCGTGCTAAAGTTAAAATAATCATAATTGGTTTACATGGAAGCTCTTGATATTCAGCTGGAAAATTATTGCGACGTGACCAAATTTAAAACAATCATCAACGAACATCATAAATCCATACATTCAGTAAGGTAAGTAAAGTTTGTTAAGCAAGCTTTGAGAGAAAGTCCAATAAGAAAGTAAGTAAGGTTTTTATAATCAAATAAAAACTTGATACTCTCAACTGCACTATGACAACCGAACAGTTGATAGCGAAATAAACGCATCTTTCGTTTTGATAATTTCCATCTTTATCGATAGAATAGACACAAAAATGTTTCTTTGCTTAAACAAAACTATGCTCCATTAATACGCAGGAACATTTATGCAGTTAAAACAAGTCGCGATTAAATGAATACACATGCATACAACTCGTTGCCTACGTGTAATGATTAATTCATTTCCATCTGCACAGAGATCGACACTTGCAATATATGTTAGTTTTAGGTTTCGGACGATAAACTTGATTGTTTACCTTAGCAATGAGTTTAAGGGAAAACTAAATTTGCTACTACGTTAAGATATTTAAGGTTAGAATACAAAAAACTTTAATCAAAATAACTTTCCATACGCCTATATTTAGAAGAGTCATACTACCGTATAAAGTAAATTTTACTAAGAAAACTGTCCTTTCATGACAAATTCAAAGTTTATTGACAACCTTTAAGGTGTGTATTTTATCTCTGTTTTCAATTCATTTGGATATAATTTTCAGCCCCAAAATCACAATGCAATACACTAACATTTCTAAAGTAAATGGTTTGAACCCGGGAGTACCGTTACATGTTTGTAAATGATGATCGTCCAGGTTAATAAAGTCCTGAGAAGGACTGTTTTTGTTGTTGTTGACTGACGTTTCGACAACCTTAGCAGTAGTCATCTTCAGAGTCAAATGAGGAGTAAACGTCAGGTTAGCCGTATTTGTTATCTGGTTCTTACGTCATTGTATTTTGTGGCTTATATTTACGTCAACTTAAAACATTACAGTTCAAACTAATTCACAATGACAATACACAATTGACACCCAAACATTACAACTAAAAACATAACACCTAAATCACACATCACAACTAAAAATAAAATATTTCACTTCACACTAATCCACAATGACAATACACATTTCCTGTACACACAATACAATGACGTAAGAACCAGATAACAAATACGGCTAACCTGACGTTTACTCCTCATTTGACTCTGAAGATGACTACCGCTAAGGTTGTCGAAACGTCAGGCAACAACAACAAAAACAGTCCTTCTCAGGACTTTATTAACCTGGACGATCATCATTTACAATCATGTAACTAACATTTCTATAATTTCTTTTTCAAAAACGAGTTTTGCATTCTGGTCAAAATTAAAAACTAGCCATTCCAAACCAGTCATACATTCATACAGATACTAATAAATCTAGCAAAATAACACTTGCTGTTTATATCGCGTAGTAACGCGCAATATATACAGGGTTTTTCACGAGAATGTCTATTGAACAAAGGTATTGATTATATGTTTGTAAATGTAGATTGTCCAGGTTGGTATAGTCCTGAGAAGGACTGTTTTTGTTGTTGTTGACTGACGTTTCGATAACATTAGCAGTAGTCACCTTCATTTGACTCTGAAGATGACTAGTGTTAAGGTTGTCGAAAAGCCAGTCAACAACAACAAAAAAAGTCCTTCCCATAACTATACCAGCCTGGACGATCTACCATTACAAACATGTAACGATACTCCCGGGTTCAAGCCATTTACGGTATTGATTATCCATGTTTGTTTTGATTTTAGAATATAGAACTTACAAATTTTAAAAACTTTTACCTACTTCAATTGACTGGTTCGATATACCCTTGATCTGCAACAGTTATCATGATGTCAAATTGGTGGAATTTATTTCCGTTTGCTCTTTTTGTAACAAGTTTTTCCTCAAAATGTAAGTCATCTGTTAAGAAACGTAAATTGATATGAATAAAATTTGGTGTTTTATTCATCGTTTTAATGTTTTATGATGTCTTTTTAAACATTTTCTCCGACACACAGGTTTTGGCATTAACATCTGTCCAACAAGAGAAGTAACTCTATCCAGTGGAAACATTACTTCACCGAACTATCCAAGTTATTATTATAATAACATAAATTGTGCTTTCACCATACGAGCACCATCTGGTTTTTCCTTTAACTTTACGTTTACCAAACTTGATCTTGAAGTTAAGTCAAGCGGTAAGAAACGACACAGGAAAATTTTCATATTTCTTAAAACTTTTATGTATTTCCTAAATTATATGTTGTTGCAGTAAAGGAATTAACATGCAGCTTATGTTCAAATTTAGAGACTTTGTCATGGTGACATCTCTAAAAATTGTTTTAAGCTTAGTAATTGCCATGGTGGGTGGCAAAAAAGACCTAATTTTTCTAAAGATAACTGTTTTATAATTTTATAACTGTTTTGACATTATGCATTTTGGCAGACTAGTCATCAGGCCGATATATACTATGACAAAAAAAGTTAACGGCATCTCCAAATTGAGAGATGACGCTTAAAAATGAGATAAATACATAATCCTTTTGTCGGCAGTGCAGGATTAGAAAATTTAATTACTACAGACTCCGTGACGTGCTACTGAAATAACGAGGGACGTTTTTTAATGACTCTAAATTATATTCGGAATATGAATTTATCTTATCCCTAAAACCTTTTACAAGTTGTATCATACATAGCGAGCATCACACTCATATTTAAACTCGTAAACTACATTGTTTGACATTTGTGCAGGCAGAGATTCTTTGGGGATGGGTGGTACAATAGTTCTTTCAAAAATATAAAAACAACAATGCAAGCAAAAAACAAACACTCAGTAAGACTCTTATTTTCTTTCTCGATATCATTTTAAGCCTTCGCCATTGGCGAGAAGTTTAAGAAACATAGAGTACTTGGCAGATCTATATTAAAAAGGTTTTTCCCGTTTATTCTTAGTTGATAATAAAAGTTTGTTTAGCAATTTTTCTCGAGCATCTATTGGAAAAGAATATTTTTCTTAATGAGTTAAGATCACTTTTAATGAACTCCTCCGACAAGAATTTATGCCTTCATTTTATCATGAAACGCCTCACTAAAGAAATCTTCTCTCTATGTGAGGAGAAAGAGTCAAAGCGTATGTACAGTCCAGTAAAGTTGCTTTGTGATGAATGCTTGTTAATAATTGACCATTGCGTTTATGGACGAGAACGAAAAAGCTAATTGGTCATTTGACTATTATTCAGAGTTGTAGTTTAATGCAGAGTGAAGAGAACAAATTTTTTGTAAAAATTTTATCGTTTGCGACGTACAAAACAAAGTAAACGTGTCATCTATGTAACGTTTATGTGCATATTTAATGTGTATATAAAATGATTCCCTCTTTGGAGTCTCCGAATGGGCTTTGGTATATATGAGTTTTTTTTTGTGCAAGTTTCAGTGGATTTTTCAAAGACTTCAAATAGCATTCATCATTAACTAACAATTTCGCTTTTCTTGATGCATGTTTTTCCCAAAATTCAATTAAAACCATATTATTACCTATACAAATTTTGAAAACATTTCACAAATGATAACATGGCAAAAATGAAAATAATCTTCTTTTAATTGACAAACGTTAACTGGAGCATGATTTTAGGACTCGAAAACTAGTTCAAATTCATTTATGCTTATTTACGTGGGTGCTACGATTATGTTAAAATATCAGGAATTTTTTGGAAAGATTTTTGCAATGAAAATACACCTTTCAACTTCTACCCTGGTGGCAATGTCGTTACTGTTTAAATGTATTCAGATTCCAGTTTTACAAAGAATGGATTTCGTCTCCAATTTGTGAGGTATTTTTCAAATACAACACCGACACCGACAGATACAGGTATGACTGCAATATTTACTTTAAACAAAGAGTTGTGCAAACGGAAATATTGTTTAATAAAACAATTTTCAAGAAAAATTTTATTTTCCATGTTTCATGGAAAAATATAATGTTGTGATTTACTTATAAATTTTCCCATATATTTACAACATTTGATATCTGATATTGTAACTTCTACTTGAGTTATAAGCTTACTGAATAAACATATGTTTTTGAATACATTTAAGAAATAGAAAAAGATTTCCGTATAGACTTCTTAATAATTTAAAAAATAAACGCGCATGTTTTAAAAGGTGTTATTTTAAAAGAAAAATAGCCTCTGCTCTTCGTTATTTTGAACTTAACACAGTTTTCTAAATTCTATTTTATTTAAAGCAAAAGTATCAGCCTAGTATAAAAGCAGAATTCTATTCTTTTATTCTTACTTAATGAATAACCCTAAACGTCTGACAAACATAGGCGATAAATAGATGTTTAAGTACTTTCCTAATCTTTTGATACAACTTGTGAGTTGTGTCTGATTTTTACATTAAAGACTGACCTGTTTTAAAGAGCTGTAGCCAGAAAGATATGGGAAGGACGGGGGGGGGAGAAATTTGTGATATGAATTCATATATTTTGTTGTGCAAGACTGATTTCTTTACAAAGCCAAACCATTGTCAAAAGAAATGAGTTGAGCCCATCTGAATGCATTATAAGCATCCCAAATAGCGTTCTAATTACAGCCCTATGGTTTTGTTTCAGTTTGCGATGACGGTTTGGGTCCATGGTATAATGAAAAAACAAGTGATGATTTTGATTGGTCAATTGGCAGGGGCAGTACGTCAAGCTCCAACACTGGTCCAAGCAAAGACTCAAAAGGATCATTTATTATTGGTGAATTTTCATTTATTATTAGTCATTACTGTAAGCGGAAATTTGGCTAATACAGTTATAGTAATTTTTATGAAATATCAATTTGCTATTATGACCATATTATCTGTTGAAAAAAATAAAGTTTCATGACTTAATTTAAGTCTGTGTATAAGAACAATACAAAACTTCAGTTGACCCTAGTGATTAATGTGATCATAACTTTATAGTTTATAATGCCAACCGATATGTTTCGCTATAATCCTTAAAAACAACAGAAAATTGAGTTTAGTATGTAAATTTAAGGATGTCCAAAGGCAGACACGTTATATATCAACCTTTACCATTAGAAAACTGTTTTAAAAAAGAAAATACCATGACGAATTGTCAAAATAAAAAGTTAATAGTTCATAAAAGAACTGTTTAAGACCAGACGACTAACCCAGCAATTCTAAAAGAATTGCTTTTAAATAGCGTCTTTGGGCTTTAAAAACTGTTCTTTTAGAATGTTGGCTAAGTTTTTGGTTTTAAACAGTTCTTTAAGAACTATTACGTTTTTGTTTTGACCTTTCACGATGGTATAATTTCAAAACAATTTTTAAGTTTGTCACTACGAAAAAGTCTTTACATTAAATTTGTTGGCTTTCTATACCAGGAAAGTATTTTTTCATTGAAACATCCTCTCCTCGAAAGCAAGGAGACAAAGCATGGTTGGTCAGTCAAAGTTTTTACTACTCAAGAAAATGTCTCACATTTTACTATCATATGTATGGCAACCATATTGGATCCTTGAATGTGTACAGAAAAATCTACGGAAGTAAATATAAAGTCTGGAGCAAAAGCGGTAATCACGGCAATATGTGGTTTAAAGCACAAGTAAACGTGAATAGCTTAATATATAGCTATAAGGTACGTGATCTTATACTTGAAATACTAAAGATATTTCCCTAAAGTACACTAGATTAACAAAACATTAGTTTTGATAAAATTTACAGAAGTTTTGAAGAATTCAAAGTAGATCTCCACTGATGAACACGCAGTGCAACTGTGACGGTCAAGTGTGCTATAATTGTTCTGTGCATGTATATTTTATACTTATATAGTACGTGATGTTATACGCGAGATAAAAATATTTCACTGACGTATGCCAAATTAACAAACGACCAGTTCTCGTGGACTGCAAAATTTTCTAGTAATCAAAGTAGACCTCTCTTGATAAAGGCACCAAACAAAAACACGATATCAGAGTCTTGCTGAAAAAGAAACTGAACTTTAGAAAATATATAGTCAGGATCAAGCCTTTACTGTTAAAAACTCAGGAGAATACAGGGAAACAAACGCATATTTAATTGTTATTATAATGTTTCAGCTCATTTATTTTTTGCAGATCATTATTGAAGGAGTCAGAGGTTCTGATTTTAAAGGAGATATCGCTGTGGATGATATTGAACTTAAAGATGGATATTGTAATGTTCAGTCGACGACTCCCTTGTACAGTCTTACAACAGTACCAACATGGCAACGAACACGTAATTAACATACATTTTTTATTTTATTTATTGGTTATCACTGACGTTTTTGAGCAAATGTCTTATTCACAGTAAATTTCTAAAACATATAATTAATTGATGGTTTATTAAACCTAGATCAGAGTTTCTTAAATGTTTGAGAATATTATATTCCAAATTTTAGATGCTCGAGGATGTACTTTTCAAAATGGACTGGGAACAACAAATTGTCCATGGAGGAATATTAACTATGACGGATATACTTATGATGATTTTGACTGGACTGTAGGCTCGGGTTCGACTAATTCCTACTACACAGGACCTGCGTTTGATAAATATAACTCTGCATTTGGTAATTTTTTTATTTTATTTATTCGTACTTTATAAAATAGGGCGGTCTGAGAAAAATTGTTGTTTACATAAATAGCTTGTACATTATGCCACTTTCGACTTCATTTTTTCGGTCTCATCTAAAGAGATGCAAGTACGATTATAACTGGCTAGTTAAGTAAACATTGACTTTGCAATAAAGCTAAATTGAGATTTTACAAGGTTTTTCTGGTTATTTCAATAACTCATATATAAAGCTTACCAGATTACTAGTATTTGCTTTGCGTTACATCACGTTCTTATATTTCAATTGATCATTTCAAGGAAGTCCATTTTTTTACCAATTTACTAACTATCCATACATTGTCTTGTAAAACCGATCAACCCTTTTTAACATCAGTATTCTTTTTCCCAAATAAAACTATTTACATATTTAGTTTTATTTTGTCAATGTTTTGGCTTTGCAGTACAATCCTGACAGTGTAAGGGGACAGTTTAACAGATTAGCAACTATTGCCTTTAAAACAAGTCTTTATCAAACAGCTTCATGACTTTAAAATCAAACTCCTAAAGGAATATTTTAGTTGAGAAAGTTTCTTCCATTATTTCTTGAAATCAGGATCTTATTTTCTTTGCACTTCTTCCTTAAGGGAAATACGCGTACATGGATGCTTCCTCACAAAGAAGAGGGGACAAGGCCTGGCTAGTCAGTGATTATTTCAACAGTTCCACCACTTGTTTTCGATTTTCATATTATAATTACGACACATCAGGTGGTTTGTTGAAAGTTTATCAGCAGATTCTGGGAAATACAAAAAGATTGAAATGGACGGCAACCCCAAAAAGTAGAGCGTTTAAATGGTTTGACGTTAATATAACTCTGCCAAATACTGGATTTAACTCAGCATACAGGGTGAGCTCTGCAGCCATTGATTTTTTAGCTATAGACGTTATAAAATTGGGCTTATAAAAAGGAATAACGTTTACCTGATGACAGCCGTTAGGTGCGAGTCTGCTATGGAGGGGGGCTTGCTCCCCGGCAAAATTTTCAAATTTAGTTATAAAACTTTGTTAAGTTTGTTTTCCAAAAATGCGTGATCATGTTTGAATGTTTTCCATTACATTAAAATGTTTAGAAATGCAGTATGTCTTTTAAAATTCGATTGCACAAATTTGTTGCTATCATTGTTTGATTGTATATTTTAGCAAAAATTGCCTGACTTATCACCAATCTTCATCAATTTCACCAATTTCACCAATGTTAATATGGGCTTGCTGTGTCTCCCACCACATACGCCTGTGATTATAGCAAATGTTAGTTAAATTGACCATAACCACCATTAACTCGCAATATTATTCAAATCATACCAAATGATTACCATTTTAAAACAGATAATTGTTGAAGGCATCAAAGGATCGGGTTATTACGTAAACATTGCTGTTGATGAATTTACATTTACAAGTGGAGCATGCACAATCTTAACATGTAAGTATGCTTTGTAATTGTAACAATACATCATTAAACATGCATTTACAACATTACTAAAAATAGAGAAATATATAGAAAGTCTGATATCAGGTTCAAATAAAAATTTTTGACTGAGGAAATTTTATTCTGCAACAAACCTTTCTATCTTAAACAACTTATCAATTTAATATTTTAAAATTCTTTTGTTTTGTAGTTTTGTTTAGAAATATGTAAACAGAAACAGTAAACATACTAGTCTGTTTTATTTAGTAAAAATCATAATTCAATACTAATATTCTTACTCAGCGATTTCAATCTTTATTTCCTTAAGAACAACGGCGATAAATAATTGTATCTTCTTATCTTTTGAACACAGCTTGTGATTTGTGTCTAATCTTTACATTAAATGAATGTTTTTGTTCCAGCTTGCGATGACGGTTTTGGAACATCATCTTGTCCATGGCATAATGAAAAAACAAGTGATGATTTTGATTGGTTAATTGGCAGTGGCAATACGTCAAGCCCCAATACTGGTCCAAGCAAAGACTCAAAAGGATCAAGTTCGGGTGAATATCAATTAAATATATTAGTCTTTATTTAAACAAAAATTCGATTAATTAAAATAAAATACTAATTTCTCTCATTAAATAAATCAGCCAAGAGGGACATATTATCTGTTAAAATAAAATGAAGTTTCCAAAAATTGAATTAAAGTCTGTGTATAAGAACAGTGCAAAGCTTTTATTGACCCTAGTAAATAATTGGGATCATAACTTTTTAATGCCAACCCAGTCGTTTTGCCCCCTAGAGGTGTTTATATGGAAGAGAGCTAGCCCGGGTACCCGGGATCTTAATTCACAATGTAAACAATAAAGTAAATGGTTTGAGCCCGGGAGTATCGGCATCTTTAGTACAGCACTACATGCAGACGAGTTTGATAACTTTCACACCCACATCAACAAACAGAACAACCACATACAATTTACCAAAGATGTCGAATAAAACAGAATTCTTCCTTTTCTCGACTGTTTGGTAAAACATGACAATCAAAAACTACGAACAATAGTTTATCGCAAACCAATACTCACTGACCGAATACAAGACTAATCATCTTACAACCCTAAATCACACAAAGCCACCACAATCAGTACATTAACAAGACGTGCACAAATCATGTGATTCACCAGACGCTCTTCACAACGAAAACAACTATCTCAAACGTGTTTTTGACAAAAACAACTATAACTCTGACTTCATCAAACGCAAAACTTACAAACCCAACGAACCCAGCAAAACGAGCAACTCAGCGACAACAGCAACGATACCTTACATCAAAGGTACGTCTGAGGCTATCTCGCGTATCTTACGGCCATGCAACATACGTGTCGCACATAAACCAAAGGACAAAGAACAACTCAACGAACGACAAGGTGCAGTTTACAAAATAAACTGCTCCGACTGCCACAACTCCTATATCGGAGAAACTGGCAGGAACTTAAACATAAGACTTACTGAACACAAACGAGCTGCTAAGAAACAAGACAAAACTAATCACATTTCCGATTATCACCGACTCACAAAGCACAACCCTGACTGGGACTCGAAAAATGCATTACTTGCAGCACTTACTATAGACAACGTCTTACATTAGAAAGTTGGTATACCAACTTGGAGCAAACCCCCCTGAACAGATCACAGCAATTACCGTTACCTTACAAACATTACACTTCACACTAATCCACAGTGACAATACACCATTGACACCCACACATTTCCTGTACACACAATAGAATGACGTAATAACCAAATAACAAATACGTCTAACCTGACGTTTTCTCCTCATTTGACTCTGAAGATGACTACCGCTAAGGTTGTCGAAACGTCAGACAACAACAACAAAAACAGTCCTTCTCAGGACTATACCAACCTGGACGATCTACATTTACAAACATGTAATGTAAACAATAGTAATATTCATATTGTTTTTACATGTGAACCGGGTGACCCACTAAGGCGGGCCTCACTTTTTGAAGTCGAAATCCCGGCTAGGCGGGTTGTGTATTTTCTCATATAAACGCAATAATCCGTACTGGCTCATTCACCCGCGCTGGAAATTACATAAGGAGAATGCTATGCTATGTTGTTGAACGTGAATGTTGTTTATACACACACGTTGCGTTCAGCCATCTTGACTATATCAAAGGTCATAAATGCTTTGCCAACTACACCTTGTATATGTACACCAGCCATATAATGATTCATGAATTTGCAATTTTAAAATATCCACGTGTTTCTGTAGACTGCAATCCAGGATACATGTACAGTTTCAACCAATCAGATTGTGTTCCCTGTCCAAAAAACACATATCAACCGATGAAAGGACAGGTTAAATGTAGACAATGTCCACATGGTACAATGACGTACACAGATGATCGCCACGTTTATATTAACGACTGTAAAGAAGGTGTTTTTATCTTCAGCATTTCATGGATCTAATGTTGATATCAACAATAGTTAATTTGCTTTGTTTTTAGAATGCCGTCCAGGATATTACTTTAATTTGTCTGAAATGGTTTGTACAAAATGTCCACGAAACTCGACACAAGAGAACAAAGGACAGATCACATGTGACATGTGTCCAATAAATCTACCAATCACAGAGAAGGAGGGAACAGTTTTTCAATCTGATTGTATTCAAAGTAAGTTGACGTTTTTCGAACTCTTCAAAATAATGCGGTCAATTAAACTCTTTTTGATTTAGATTGTAATGCAGGTTCCTATTTAACAAAACAACTTTAAATTGTACCAAATGTGAAAAAAATAGTTATCAACCACAGAGAGGAAAAACAAAATGTTTTACGTGTGGAATGAACAAGATCACCATAGAAACTGGAACTATTGACAAGAGACAATGCATTGAAGGTAGGTTGAATAGTAAAAATGAAGTTGTGAAATTATTTTATTGATGCGAAATATAATTAAACTAGTTTAAACTACTGCACCTGTCATCTGTTATTAAATATTTTGCTAAAAATATCTTTATGTCCAATCTATATTAGTATCATGTGCTCACATGGATTTTCTATTCTCTCCAGGTTCTTCACGCAAATCTATCGGAAAACTTATAAAGACTGTTATTCCCTACGCAATAGCGGCAATTTTGTTTCTGTTTTGTATTCTCTTGTTGTGTTATCACCTTAGATGGCGGATGAAGAAAAACAAAAAAATGGTGAGTAAAAAATAAGTAAAAAACAATCGACATTTGTCGTTGAAGCAGTAAATGCCTTTTTAGCGGTGCTTAAAACTCCACACCGATTATCATTAGGAAGTATTCAATGCGTAGCAATTTTACTGCAACTTTAATTGACTATTTAGACGAGATCTGGCAATGGCCGACCAATATACCAACGAGATCGCATCTTAAATCAAGGAATAGTAACTTCCTTATTCAACGAATTCATGATTATTTTTCAACAAAAGGATTCATCAGTTATTCAAATAGCATGGATATTATAATATATATAATATCAAGTTTTACACATACATTCAATCTTGTGGTTGAACAAAAAAATTGAAATGCTTTTACTTTGTCCTTTTAAATTTTGCGTTGAAAACGTTACTGAAAAATAGAACATAATAACCGTTACTTTTGATGTCACAAAAGCTTTATGAAAATGTTATGTTTATAGAAATCCCAAATTGTACCACATATTAAAATAGTATTCATGTAAATTGAAATGTCATTGAATTGAAACGGCCTTTTTCATCTCTTGTCATAGATCACAGCTCTGAAACCAACTTAAATGATCCAACAAACGTATCTGGCAATGAATTTATGCTCCAGTCTCGATCACAACAAAGTCAGAATCACGTGTATGAAGAACCGAGATGGGAACCCGAAAATCATTCCAGTGTTGTGAAAATCAGCTTTGAACCTCGTCCTCCCGGATATGAGGAACCTATTATTATAACCTTTGACAAGTCTCTGCAGAACCAGAGTGTTGATCAATGCGAAAATTCTTCTGTCCGTGATTCAATGACTAATGAAGATAATAGTGAACGATATACATCTTTGATATTATCCCCAGGCTGTAGAAATGACTTAGAAAATAATGACTATCAACCACTGCTGAAGAATGGTAATGTAACAAATGGCGAAAGTGTTGATCAATACCAAAATTCTTTTGTCAGTGATTTGATGATTGATGAAGACAATGGCGTGGAATATTTGACAATTATTGAATGAGACTGAGCATTTTCACACCGACGTCAATGTTTGTTTTATTGCACAACTATAAATGTAGAAGTCTTCAAACTATTTTTGTATGGAAGCTAAAACGTTTTTTGTGCTTCGACATTAAATAATCCTAATGGTTTGCTTTCGTCTTCCTCGTAAAAACTCGTTGAAAACTCATCTGACTGACAGCGTAAAGCGTAATTTACACGATCAAAGCTTCTCTGGCAAAATTATATATACCGCAGGACTATATCCATGTAAATGAGTAAAATGTTTATTTGCCAAAGTTTTCTTTGACAAAGATTATTTTTTCGTGTGAATGGGATAGTTTGTTCATTGCGTGCAGTAGCGTCGCCAGATAGATAAGCGATATTCATATATTCATGTTTTACTCACTAAGAAACAATTGACTTGAAAAGAACTTAATAAGGAAAAACAAAAATATATGAATAAAATCCCCCTCGCTTATGGGTTGGAGACGCCATTGTTTGCTTGTTTTGCAATTGATGCAATAATAGCAAAAATATGGGAATTAATTTTCAATACGCAAATGTATGCTTTCGCGAAAGCGAACACGCGTGTTTTATCGCAACTTTTTGCTACACAAATGTGAAAAAAGCAAAGAATATAAAGAGGATTTTGGGTACGGCTGTGTTCTACTCAAAATCGTAGGCATTCACAACCTAACGTTATGCGTGAATCGGCGTAACTGATTCTGAAAGCTTCAAAAAATTTGCGATAAGGTGAATTGTTTAAAAACATTCTTAATTAATTTATGTTAAAATTTTCTTACGTGAAAGTCTTGTTACGAGAAGCTGCATTACGCCATGGCAAGTTTACTTTGCTGGTTCATCTACACGGACAGATTCTGTGATCAATTTAATTTTCTATGGCAAAGATGTTTGTTGAAAAACTGGCATGCCAATTTTTGAACAAAGGACTTTGTAATAGAAATTGTTGTCAAATTTCTTGATAAAAACATTTTATAACAAAGATGCTAATAATCAATGAAGAGAAAAGTGCGTCAATAGAATAGAGTCTGATCTGAAAAATTAACTAGGACCCAAGGATAGTGCAAAGTTTCTCAGAAAAAATGTTCCTAAACCTGGAAAATAAAATGTGTTTCAAAAATGCTTAGTATCAAACTTTGGCGTTTGGAAAAATGCTAAACTGAAATTCATTGTGAAAAGTAATTATATTAAAGGCTAAGCGGTTCTGTTTTTGACGTATTTAAAAAATATTTAGACTTATCGATTTATATTTATCAGTTTTTGACACACTTATATTCTAGATAATGCTTGAGTTCTGATTGTCTTTGTTTAGAGATACAATCGTGTAAATAACGCGAATCTGTGGTCCATTGAAAACCGTAGTATTTCTTGTGGCATCTGATGCAGTTGATACACGAAGTAGCTACAACTTGCTCCAAGGTTGCATAAATTAACGTTAACTTCCTATGCGCACATAAGTAGTGGATACATAATATGGACATTCGTCACGCCATTACCGCTATCATACATTCGTCATTAATGTTAGTTTAACGAAATATTCGCAGAGAGAAAATAAGTAAGTTTGTTTATTAAGAAAACAACATGGGTTCGAATCCCGCTGAGTCACCTGATTTTTTCAGGTCCTGAGACGATTGCTTAAATTGTCCAGCAAAGTGCGAAGATCATATCTTGATTTAATTTCAAATACCGCACTTCATAAAACATTCATAAGAAAACAACAAGAACGTATATATATCGTACAACTGAGCCAGCGATTGTATAGAGCTGCGCACGCAATGTCATATTAAAGTAATACTTGATAACAGTAACAAAATATAATAATGCTGAGTGTACATTTAATAAATTCAACACTCCCACTCACTCAGCATCATACTATATTAAAGTAAGTCCTAGCTTAGAGCGAAGTTTCTCAAATTTTCCTTGTGGCAATGGTTTTGTAAAGATGTCAGCGATCATTTCATCTGTTGGACAGTAGTTTACTTGAATAGTTTCATCTTCAACTTTCTCACGAACAAAATGAAATTTAATATCGATATGTTTTGTTCTTTTATGCAAAACAGGGTTTTTTGACATGGCAATGGCTCCTTGGTTGTCTTCGTTTATTGTCGTCGGATTAGGATCATTAATTTTCAGGTCTTTTCGAAGTTGCCGCAACCAAACACACTCTTGCGTTGCCAAGCAAAGAGCGATATACTCAGCTTCGGAGGTTGATAAAGCCACGGTCGGTTGTTTTCTGCTTGTCCAACTAATCGCACCATTGGACATTAAAAACGCATTGCCAAACGTAGATCGTCGGTCTTCTGAATCTGCAGCCCAATCAGCATCCGAGTATCCTTCCATTTCTTCACCATTTGATTGATACCGCAAGTGCAATTTTATTGATCCTTTTAAATACCGAAATACTCGCTTAACGGCAGTTAAATGCCCTTCAGTTGGAGATGAATTGAACTTTGACAGGGTATTTACGGCGTGAGCTATGTCAGGTCGAGTTGCTATAGCTGCATAGATCAGACTTCCTACCATCGATTGATGTTGTGTTGGGTCAACTGATTTGCTACATCCGTCGTTTTTCACTAACTTCACATTGCTGTCCATTGGAGTGGATACGGGTTTACAGTCTTGTAGTTTGTATTTGTACAGGATCTTGTTGATATACTGTTTTTGGCTTAGCATTAGCGAGCCATTCTCTTGTTTGATGTTCACTCCCAAGCAGTAATGGAGCTTTCCCATATCTTTCATCTTGAATCTTGCAGACAGACTTGCTTTCAGATTTATCATCTCATGTTCACTCTCCGTCAATAATATGAGATCATCCACATGCACAGCAACGATTGTAAGATGACGATTGATTTTTCAAACAAACACACACGGATCAGCAGCGCTTTGTTCAAATCCCTGAGAAACCATGAATTCTTTTAGAGACAAATTCCAACATCTTGGGCTCTGTTTCAATCCATACAGAGACTTTTTAAGGTGACAAACAAGGTTTTCTTTTCCACGGACAACAAAGCCTTCTGGTTGTTCCATATATATATGCTCATCTAGTTTCCCATTTAAAAACGCAGTGACAACGTCCATTTGATGAATAAACATGTTTCTTGAAACAGCAAATGCCAAGAGAGCTCGAATAGACGTGAATCTGACAATAGGTGAAAATGTTTCTTCGAAGTCAATTCCATACCTCTGTAGGAAGCCTTTTGTAACCAAACGCCCTTTGAATCTATTAATTTTGCCGTTTTCGTCATGTTTCACTTTGAACACCCATTTACACGAAATCGTTTTTCTACCTGGTGGTAAAGGTACCAGTTCCCAGGTATCGTTTTCCATTAGTGATTCATAGTCTGAGTCAGCAGCTTCCTTCCACTTTTGAGCATGTTCGCTTTCAAGAGCTATTTTCAAGGATGTAGGCTCTTCAACCTGTGTTACATAGAGTGCTGTATGGGTTGTTGTCGACACATTGGCGTATTCATCATGATAATGAATTGGCAGTTTCTTCTCTCTTGCTGAACGTCTCAGCATAGTAGACTTCTGTTTCCTCTTTCTTCAGGTACAACTCGTTTTCTTGGTCCAACTCTAACTGCACTTCATTGGAATGCCCAAAGTCTGTTTCCCTAAAAATTATGTCGCGACGAATGAAGACTTTCCGTTTGTTTTCGTCATACAATCTGTATCCCTTTTGTTTCAAACTGTAGCCAACAAATCGCATTTTCTCAGCTTTTGGCTCCAGTTTCGGACGTAGTGAATCTGTAACATGAGCATATGCAATGCAACCAAAGACGCGAAGGTTAGAGACATCTGGTTTCTCACCATACCATCGCTCATATGGTGTAACTCCTGTTGCAGTTGTGACAATACGATTTCTGATGTATGCTGCAGCTGAAATTGCTTCCCCCCAGAAACTCTTCGCAATTCCTGCATGTAAGATCATCGAAAGAGCAGCTTCCTGGAGCGTCCTGTTCATTCGTTTAGCAACACCATTTTGTTGCGGTGAATGAGGAACGGTTGTTTCGTGTCTGATTCCCTTTTTCTTGAGATAATCTTCAAATTCGTTGGACAAGTATTCACCTCCATTATCAGTTCGTAATGTTTTAATATGGCAGCCTGCTTGATTCGTTACTGCCAATTCCCATTCTTTAAATTTTGTCAGTACTTCTGATTTATATTTGATAGGGTAAACACTTCCACATCTTGAGTAGTCGTCGATAAATGTCACAAAGTATTTTGCACCACCAAAACTTTCTGTATTCATGGGTCCTGCGACATCGCTGTGTACAAGCTCTAGCCTTTTTGTTGACTTAACTTCTCCCACTGCTTTGAAGGGTGCTCGACGTAACTTTCCCTTTACACAGGCTTCACAAAAGTCTAGCTTGTTTGTCCCAGAAATGTCAATACCTGTCACAATAGCTTTTGAAATCATTGTCTTCATCTGAGGTAAATTCATGTGACCCATTCTTTGATGCCATAGATTTATTTTTTGATTTGATGTTTCCTCCACCGATGCTTGCTTTCTTCCTTCCTCAACTTTGCAGTCTAGGCAATACATATTACCAGCAAGACGACCTTTAGCAATAAGTTTTCCTTTAGCATTATTTATCCAGCAAAGTGTGTGTCCAAATTGTACTACATTTCCTTTTGCAGTGACAGCTCGGGAACTAAAGAGATTAGCAGTTAGTTTAGGGACATATAGGACTTTTGCCATTGTTGACTTTCGTTGATACTTTTCTTTTGGTCCAAGGATCATCATGATTTGTATTTCTCCACTTCCACAAGCATCAACAGATCGACCATCTCCAAGAACGACGGGTTCTGGCACTAGGAATTCTTGATAGTTCTGTAGCAGTTGACGGTTTGATGTCATATGTTGCGAGGCTCCTGAGTCGATGATCCAGTTGTCCGCACCTTTTACTGTGTTCAGACCAACGGCAAATAGATTTTCACCAGAATCAGTATCTCTTCCACAATTATCCTGCACAGCCGCTGCATTATGTCTTGAAGACATGCCATTAGTTTTACAATCTTGATTTCTTCGATTCTGACGTCTCTTGTTACGTGGGCAGTTTCGAAGGATATGGTTCTCTTCTCCGCATCCATAGCATTTGATATGCTTTCTAGGAGGCTTGTTGTGCTGTAGTGCAGACTCGCCTTCACCAAATTCTTCACCAGTCAATTTACTGTTGTTTTGTTTACGTTTCTCTTCCTCATTGATCAATGCTTGATGCAATTGAGTCAAATTTAGATCATCTCCTCTTGCAGTCAAAGCAGTCACGACGGTATTATATGAGCGTGGTAGACTAAGCAGCAAAGCGACCATACGTTCATCCTCGGGGATGGGGGCCTGAATAGCTGCCAACTGATCAGTAATTACTTTCATTCGACGGAAGTGCTCATCCAATTTATCAGACTCTTTCATGTTTAAAGAGAAAAATCGTTGTTTTAGAAATAGCTTGCTCGCCATAGTATCACGCTCAAATCGTCCTCTCAGTGTGTCCCATATTTCTTTTGGAGTTTCACACCCAGTTATCAGGTATATAAGATCGGAGTTGATCGATATAACTAACAGAGCTTTCGTCTTTTTCTGTGCTTTGTCAAAGGCTGTTTGCCTCCCAGAGCTACCCTCTGATGTGTCAGGACGTGTCAGAGATCCATCGACATGGCCAAATAATTCCTTAGCTTCCAATATGGCTTTCATATGGTATTTCCATATTTGCCAGTTTTTTGCACCTTCGAGTTTATCAATTGACAGTTTGTCTTCCTGGGCCCATAACATGTTAGTTTAACGAAATATTCGCAGAGAGAAAATAAGTAAAAGTTTGTTTATTAAGAAAACAAACAAGAACGTTTATATATCGTACAACTGAGCCAGCGATTGTATAGAGCTGCGCCCGCATTGTCATATTAAAGTAATACTTGATAACAGTAACAAAATATCATAATGCTGAGTGTACATTTAATAAATTCAACACCCACTCCTTTTCCACCTGTTGAAAATTTTAGCGTGGGAGAAAACGCTTACGAATGCAAAAATAATCAGTCGAGAACTAAAGTAATTTTGATTTTATTATGAATTTTTAAAAAAGTATAAGTAAAAGACTTTTGTCGTTATTTGTAGTACAAGCCTGTGTTAGTAAAAACTCTTAACAAATGCATTTTAAATATTTCATTTTAATTTATATATCTATCACTGTTTGTCTGATAAAATGTCTTCTTTAGAATTGAAAAAGTTGTTGTTTGATATGTTCTGCACGTATAAATATATATTTTTTATTCACGTTTTTGCTACAGAAACTGTATGTGTATGTAAGCAAAGTATTTGAATTACAATCAAACCCGTATTAAGCGGACACTCTCGGGGAATGGACATCGTTCCACTTTGCGATTTCATGATAACTCTTTTATCTTCTGCAAATACGGATGTATATCCGGTGTTTAATTATTTACAAATAAGAACTCTTTCACCTGTAGTGCGTGTTAAGTTAAAAATATCTCAGAGAATCATATACAGTTTTTAATTGAAACAAGAACAAGGAAGTATAGCAACATAAATCTTGAGACTCAGCTGGAAAATTATTGCGACGTAACCAATTTTGAAAACATTACAATCATCAACGAACATCATAAATCCTTAAATTCAGTAAGGTAAGTAAAATTTGTTAAACAAGCTTTGACAGAAAGTTCCAATAAGAAAGTAAGTAAGGTTTTTATAATCAAATAAAAACTTGATACCTCTCAACTGCACCATGACAACGGAAGAGTTGATAGCGAAATATACGCAACTTTCGTTTTGATTATTTCCAGCTTTATCGTTAGTATAGACACAAAAAATTTTCTTTGCTTAAAAACTATACTCCCTCAATGCGCAGGAACAATTTTGCAAATTATATAAGTCCCAAGTTAAGTAAACATACACAAGCAACTCGTTGCTACGTGTATGTTATGTTTAATTCATTTCCATATGCACAGAGATCGACAGTTGCAATATATGTTAGTTTTAGGCTTCGGACGACGATAAACTTGATTGTTTACTTTAGTAAAGAGTTTAAGACAAGACTAAAGTTGCTACGACGTTAAGATATTTAAGGTTAGAATACAAAAAAATTTAATCAAAATAACTTAATATCCATTGAGCAAGAGTCCTTCGCTTTTTAATATAAACAATACATCAACAACAGCAAATTATTAAAAAAAATTATTACAAGTAAAACCTTTTCTTTATGAATACTAGAATGATTCTACGACAAACAATCAGATCACTCGTATTGGGTGGGTGATTATTTTTATATATGAAGTGATATTAAAGTCGGCACTCGGCAGGCTTCCTAGACGGTTTTTTGGAAATTGAAATTCGAGCCAGACAGACTTTGACACTAAAATGCTTTGAAATGATATTGTCGACTGCAATGAAAAAATTGTAATCCTATTTTTTAAATTTCTTCATGTCGTAGCGGATGCAAAGACAATTCTAGTATGTCTGATTTCTTGTATTATTCATTCAGTTTGTGGTATTATCGTGCAGTTGTGGTGCTGGCGGATCTAGCATGTTCGCATACCCCCTTCATAAAGTTTCGAAATTGATATGACTATATTAACACTAACTAAAATTCACTATTTTATCTAAAATGTAAGCAAAGCTTAACACACCTTTTTCTTTAATATCAAGACTCATATGTCGCAAAAGTGTAATTCAACTCAATAAAATCAAAATGTCTTTTGAAGATAAACTTTCCATACGCCTATATTTAGAAGAGTCATATTACTGAAAAAAGTAAATTTTACTAAGAAAACTGTCCTTTCATGACAGATTTAAAGTTTATTTACAACCTTAAAGGTGTGTGTTTTATTTCTGTTTTCAATTCATTTGGATATAATTTTCAACCCCAAAATCACAATGCAATACACTAACATTTCTATAATTTCCTTTTCAACAACGAGTTTTGCATATTGGTCAAAATTAAAAACTAGCCATTCCAAACCAGTCATACATTCATACAGATACTGCTAACTCTAGCAAAATAACACTTGCTGTTTTTATCGCGTAGTAACGCCCAATATGTACAGGGTTTTGCACGAGAATGTCTATTGAACAAAGGTATTGATTATATGTTTGTAAATGTAGATTGTCAGGTTGGTATAGTCCTGAGAAGGACTGTTTTTGTAGTTGTTGACTGACGTTTCGACAACCTTAGCAGTAGTCATCTTCAGAGTCAAATGAAGATAACTACTGCTAATGTAGTCGAAATGTCAGTCAACAACAACAACAACAGTCCTTCTCAGAACTATACCAACCTGGACGATATACCATTACAAACATGTAACGATACTCCCGGGTTCAAACCATTTATGTTATTGATTATCTATGTTTGTTTTGATTATGTAATATAGAACTTACAAATTTTAAAAACTTTTACCTGTTTCACTTGACTGGTTTAATGTACCCTAGATCTGCAACTGTTATCATGATGTCAAAATGGTGGAATTTATTTCCGTTTGTTCTTTTTGTAACAAGTTTTTCCTCAAAAAGTAAGTCATCTGTTAAGAAACGTAAATTGATATGAATGAAATTTGGTGTTTCATTCGTCGTTTTCATGTTTCATGATGTCTTTTTTAACATTTTTTCTGACCCACAGGCTTTTGCATTAACATCTGTCCAACAAGAGAAGTAACTCTATCCAGTGGAAACATTACTTCACCGAACTATCCCAGTTATTATTATAATAACATAAATTGTACTTTAACCATACGAGCACCATCTGGTTTTTCCTTTAACTTTACGTTTACCAAACTTGATCTTGAATTTAATTCAAGCGGTAAGAAATGATACAGGAAAATTTACATATTTCTTAAAACTTTTATGTATTTCCTAAATTATATGTTGTTGCAGTAAAGGAATTAACATGCAGCTTATGTTCAAAATTAGAGACTTTGTAATGGTGACATCTCTAAAAATTGTTTTAGGCTTAGCAATTGCCATGGTGGATGGCAAAAAATAACCTAATTTTTCTAAAGATAACTGTTTTAAAATTTTATAACTGCTTTGACACCATGCATTTTGGCAGACTAGTCATCAGGTTTCAGCATCTGCTAAACGACGATACATACAATGACAAAAAAAGTTAACGTCCTCTCCAAATTGAGAGATGACGCTTAAAACAGAGATAAATACATAATCCTTTTTTCGGCAGAGCAGGATTAGAAAATTTAATTACTACAGACTCTATGACGTGTTACTGAAATAACGAGCGACGTTTTTTAACGACTCTAAAATTATATTCGGAATATGAATTTATCCTATCCCTAAACCTTTTAGAAGTTGTACCATACATAGCGAGCATCACACTCACATTTAAACTCGTAAACTACATTGTTTGACATTTGTGCAGGAAGAGATTCTTTGGGGATGGGTGGTACAATAGTTCTTTCAAAAATATAAAAACAACAATGCAAGCAAAAAACAAACACTCAGTAAGACTCGTATTTTCTTTCTCGATATCATTTGAAGCCTTAGCCATTCGGGGGAAGTTTAAGAAACGTAGAGTACTTGGCAGATCTATATTAAGGGTTTTCCCGTTTATTCTTAGTTGATAAGAAAATTTTATTTAGCAATTATTCTCGAGCATCTATTGGAAAAGAATATTTTCCTTAATGAGTTAAGATCACTTTTAATAAACTCCTCCGACGAGAATTTATGCCTTCATTTTATTATGAAACGCCTCACTACAGAAATCTTCTCTCTATGTGAGGGGAAAGAGTCAAAGCGTATGTACAATCCAGTAAAGTTGCTTTGTGATGAATGCTTGTTAATAATTTACTATTGCGTTTTTGGACGAGAACGAAAAGCTTATTGGTCATTTGACTATTATTCAGAGTTGTAGTTTAATGCAGAGTGAAGAGAACAAATTTTTTGTAAAAATTTTATCGTGTGCGACGTACAAAACAAAGTAAACGTGTCATCTATGTAACGTTTATATGCATATTTATGTGTATATAAAATGATTCCCTCTTTGGAGCCTCCGAATGGGCTTTGGTATATATGAATTTTTCGTGCAAGTTTCAGTGGATTTTTCAAAGACTTCAAATAGTATTCATCGTTAACTAACAATTTCGCTTTTCTTGATGCATGTTTTTCCCAAAACGCAATTAAAACCATATTATTACCTATACAAATTTTGAAAACATTTCACAAATGATAACATGGCAAAAATGAAAATAATCTTCTTTTAATTGATAAACGTTAACTTAAAGGTGATTTTAGGACTCGAAAACTAGTTCAAATTTATTTATGCTGATTTAGGTGGGTGCTACGATTATGTTAAAATATCAGGAATTTTTTGGAAAGATTTTTGCAATGAAAATACACCTTTCAACTTCTACCCTGGTGGCAATGTCGTTACTGTTCAAATGTATTCAGATTCCAGTTTTACAAAGAATGGATTTCGTCTCCAATTTGTGAGGTATTTTTCAAATACAACACTGACACCGACACCGACAAATACAGGTATGACTGCAATATTGACTTTATTAGACTTAAACAAAGAGTTGTGCAAATGGAAATAATGTTTAATAAAATAATTTTCAAGAAAAATTTTATTTTCCATGGTACATGGAAAAATAAAAAGCTGTGATTTACTTATAAATTTTCCCATAAATTTACAATATTTGATATCTGATATTGTAACTTCTACTTGAGTTATAAGCTTACTGAATAAACATATGTCTTTGAATACATTTAAGAAATCGAAAAAGATTTTCGTGTTTCTATTTAATTATAAAAGCATAGACTTCTTAATAATTTAAAAAATGAACGCGCATGTTTTAAAAGTTGTTATTTTAAAAAGAAAAAATAGCCTCTGCTCTTCGTTATTTTGAACTTAACACAGTTTTCTAAGTTCTATTTCATTTAAGGCAAAAGTATCAGCCTAGTATAAAGCAGAATTCTATTCTTTTATTCTTACTTAGTGAATTTAACCCTAAACTTCTGACAAACATAGGCGATAAATAGATGTTCAAGTATTTTCCTAATCTTTTGATACAGCTTGTGAGTTGTGTCTGATTTTTACATTAAAGTGTGACCTGTTTTAAAGGGCTGTAGCCAGAAAGCTATGGGAAGACGGGGGGGGAGGAATTTGTGATATGAATTCATAAATTTTGTTGTGCAAGACTGATTTCTTTACAAAGCCAAACCATTGTCAAAAGAAATCAGTCGAGCACATCTGAATGCATTATAAGCATCTCAAATAGCGTTCTAGTTAGAGCCCTATGGTTTTGTTTCAGTTTGCAATGACGGTTTGGGAACAGCATCTTGTCCATGGCATAATGAAAAAACAAGTGATGATTTTGATTGGTCAATTGGCAGGGGCAGTACGTCAAGCTCCAACACTGGTCCAAGCAAAGACTCAAAAGGATCAATTAACGGTGAATTTTCATTTATTATTAGTCATCACTGTAAGCGGAAATTATAGTAATTTTTCTGGCTACCACAATTATAGTAATTTTTATGAAATATCAATTTGCTATTATGACCATATTATTTGCTGAAATAAAATAAAGTTACATGACTCAATTTAAGTCTGTGTATAAGAACAATACTAAACTTCAGTTGACCCTAGTGCTTAATGTGATCATAACTTTATAGTTTATAATTCCAACCGATTTGTTTCGCTATAATCCTTAAATCTACAGAAAATTGGCTGATTGAGTTTAGTATGTAAATTTAAGGGTGTCCAAATGCAGACACGCTATATATCAACCTTTACCATTAGAAAACTGTTTTAAAAAAAGAAAATACCATGACGAATGGTCAAAATAAATGGTAATAGTTCATAAAAGAACTGCTTAAGATCAGACCACTAACCCAGCAATTCTAAAAGAATTGCTTTTAAATAGCGTCTTTGGGCTTTAAAAACAGTTCTTTTAGAATGTTGGCTTAGATTTTTTGGTTTTAAACAGTTCTTTAAGAACTATTACGTTTTTGTTTTGACCATTCACGATGGTAAAATTTCAAAACAATTTTTAAGTTTGTCACTACGAAAAAGTCTCTACATTAAATTGCTTGTCTTTCTATACCAGGAAAGTATTTTTTCATTGAAACATCCTCTCCTCGAAAGCAAGGAGACAAAGCATGGTTGGTCAGTCAAAGTTTTTTCTACTCAAGAAAATGTCTCATATTTTACTATCATATGTATGGCAACAATATTGGATCCTTGAATGTGTACAGAAAAATCTACGGAAGTAAATATAAAGTCTGGAGCAAAAGTGGTAATCAAGGCAATACGTGGTTTAAAGCACAAGTAAACGTGAATAGCTTAATATATAGCTATAAGGTACGTGATCTTATACTTGAGATACTAAAGATATTTGCCTAAAGTACACTAGATTTACAAAACATTAGTTTTGATAAATTTTACAGAAGTTTTAAAGAGTTCAAAGTAGATCTCCACTGATGAACACGCAATGCAAGTGTTACGGTCTTAGATTGTCACTGTGTTATAATTGTTCTGCGCATGCGTATTTTATACTTATATGGTACGTGATTTTATACTCGAGAAAAAATATTTCACTGGCGTATACCAATTAACAAACGACCAGTTTTCGTGGAATGCAAAATTTTCTAGCAATCAAAGTACACCTCTCTCGATAAAGACACCAAACAAAAACACGATATCAAAGTTTTTTAAAAAAAGAAACTAAACATTAGAAATATATAACAGGCCTTTACTGTTAAAAACACAGGAGAATACAGGGAAACAAACGCACATTTAATTGTTATTATGATGTTTGAGCTCATTCATTTTTGTTTAGATTATTATTGAAGGAGTCAGAGGATCTGGTTTTAAAGGAGATATTGCTGTGGATGATATTGAACTTAAAGATGGATACTGTAATGTCCAGTCGATGACTCCCTTGTACAGTCTTACAGCAGTACCAACAGGGCAACGAACATGTGGGTAACAAAGTTTTCTATTTTATAGTAATTAACGTTTTTTTTTGCAAAATTTCATTTTCTCAGTAAATAGTTATAATTTGATAGTGTAATACAACTATACAGTTTCTTGATTTTTTAGAATTGTTTTATTTTATATTTTAGATGCACAAGGATGCACATTTCAAAATGGACTGGGAACAACAAGTTGTCCATGGAGGAATATTAACTATGATGGTTACTCTTATGATGATTTCGACTGGACTGTAGGCTCGGGTTCGACTAATTCCTACTACACAGGACCTGGATTTGATAAATATAACTCTGCATTTGGTAATTTTTTTATATTTTATTTATTCGTACTTTATAAAATAGGGTGGTCTGAGAAAAATTGTTGTTTACATAAATAGCTTGTACATTATGCCACTTTCGACTTCATTTTTTCTGTCTCATCTAAAGAGATGCAAGTACGACTATAACTGGCTAGTTAAGTAAACAATGACTTTGCAATAAAGCTAAATTGAGATTTACAAGGTTCTTCTGGCTATTTCAATAACTCATATATAGAGCTTACAAGAAAATTTGATTCAGTATTTGCTTTGCGTTACATCACGTTCTTATATTTCATTTGATCATTTCAAGCAAGTCCATTTCTTTACCGTTTTACTAACTACCCATACATTGTCCTGTAAAACTGATCAACCCATTTTAACACCAGTATTCTTTTCCCCAAATAAACTATTTACTAATTTAGTTTTATGATATCAATGTTTTGGCTTTGCAGTACTATTCTGACGGTGTGAGAGGCACAGTTTAACTGACTAGCACCTATTGCCCTGAAACACGTCTTAATCAAACATCTTCATGACTTTAAAATCAAACTCCTAAAAGAATATTTTTATTATATCCATTATTTCTTGATTTCAAGATCTTACTTTCTTTGCACTCTTTTCTTTAGGGAAATACGCCTACATGGATGCTTCGTCACAACGAAGAAGGAACAAGGCCTGGCTATTCAGTGATTATTTCAACAGTTCCACCACTTGTTTTCGATTTTCATATTATAATTACGACACATCAGGTGGTTTGTTGAAAGTTTATCAGCAGATTCTGCGAAGTAGAAAAAGATGGAAATGGACGGCAACCCAAAAAAGTAGAGCGTTTAAATGGTTTGACGTTAATATAACTCTGCCACATACTGGATTTAACTCAGCATACAGGGTGAGCTCTGTAGCCATTGATTTTTTAGCTATAGACGTTATAAAATTTTGTTAAGGAAGGAATAACGTTTACCTGATGACAGCCGTTAGGTGCGAGTCTGCTATGGAGGGGGGCTTGCTCCCCGGCAAAATTTTCAAATTTAGTTATAAAATTTTGTTAACTTTGTTTTCCAAAAATGCGTGATCATGTTTGAATGTTTTCCATTACATTAAAAATGTTTAGAAATGCAGTATGTCTTTAAAAATTCGATTGCAGAAATTCGTTGCTATCATTGTTTGATTGTATATTTTAGCAAAAATTGTCTGACTTACCACCAATCTTCATCAATTTCACTAATTTCACCAATCTTGATAGGGGGCTGCTGTGTCTCCCACCGCAAACGCCTGTGATTATAGCAAATGTTAGTTAAATTGACCATAATCACCATTAACTCGCAATATTACTCAAATCATACCAAATGATTACCATTTTAAAACAGATAATTGTTGAAGGCATCAAAGGATCGGGTTATTACGTAAACATTGCTGTTGATGAATTTACATTTACAAGTGGAGCATGCGCAATCTTAACAGGTAAGTATGTTTCGTAATTGTAACAATACATCATTAAACATGCATTTATAACATTGCTAAAAATAGAGAAATATATAGAAAGTCTGAAGTCAGGTTCAAATAAAATTTTTGACTGAGGAAATTTTAGTCTGCAATGTAGCTTTCTATCTTAAACAACTTATCAATTTAACATGTTAAAATTCTATTGTTTTGTAGTTTTGTTTAGAAATATGTAAACAAAAACAGTAAATATACCAGTCTGTTTTATTTAGTAAAAATCATAATTCAATACTAATATTCTTACTCAGTGATTTTAATCTTTATTTCCTTAAGGACAACAGTGATAAATAATTGTATCTTCTTATCTTTTGGACACAGCTTGTGACTTGTGTCTAATCTTTACATTAAATGAATGGTTTTGTTCCAGCTTGCGATGACGGTTTTGGAACAGCATCTTGTCCATGGCATAATGCAAAAACAAGTGATGATTTTGATTGGTCGATTGGCAGTGGCAGTACGTCAAGCTCCAATACTGGTCCAAGCAAAGACTCAAAAGGATCAAGTTCGGGTGAATATCGATTAAATATTAGTCTTTATTTAAAGAAAAATTCGATTAATTAAAACAACTATACTAATTTCTGTCATTAAATAAATCAGCCAAGAGGGACATATTATGTGTTAAAATAAAATGACATTTCCAAAAATTTGATCAAAGTCTGTGTATAAGAACAGTGCAAAGCTTTTATTGACCCTAGTAAATAATTGGGATCATAACTTTATAATGCCAACCCAGTCGTTTTGCCCCCAAGAGGTATTTAAATGGAAGCGAGCTAGCCCGGGCACCCAGGATCTCAATTCACGATGTAAACAATAAAGTAAATGGTTTGAGCCCGGGAGTATCGGCATCTTTAGTACAGCACTACATGCAGACGAGATTGATGACTTTCACACTCACATCAACAAACAGAACAGCCACATACAATTTACCAAAGATGTCGAAGAAAACAGAATTCTTCCTTTTCTCGACTGTTTGGTAAAACAGGACAATCAAAAACTACGAACAATAGTTTATCGCAAACCAATACACATTGACCGACTACTAGACCAATCATCTTACAACCCTACATCACACAAAGCCACCACAATCAGAACATTAACAAGACGTGCACAAATCATATGGGATTCACCAGACGCTCTACACAACGAAAACAACTATCTCAAACGTGTTTTTGACAAAAACAACTGTAACTCGGACTTCATCAAACGCAACACTTACAAACCCAACGAACCCAAAGAAACGAACAACTCAGTGACAGCAGCAACGATACCTTACATCAAAGGTACGTATGAGACTATCTCGCGTATCTTACGGCCATGCAACATACGTGTCGCACATAAACCAATCACAACGTTACGACAAGTACTAGCGAACATAAAGGATAAAGAACAACCCAACGAACGACAAGGTGCAGTTTACAAAATAAACTGCTCCGACTGCCACGCCTCCTATATCGGGGAAACTGGCAGGAACCTAAACATAAGACTTACTGAACACAAACGAGCTACTAAGAAACAAGACAAAACTAATCACATTGCCGAATATCACCGACTCACAAAGCACAACATTGACTTGGACTCGGCAAAATGCATTACTTACACTACTGACTATAGACAGCGGCTTACATTAGAAAGTTGGTATACCAACTTGGAGCAAACCTCCCTGAACAGATCACAGCAAGTACCGGCACCTTACAAACGACTTATTCACAATACAAACAAACGATCAACTAAAAACATTACACTTCACACTAATCCACAGTGACAATACACAATTGACACTCACATATTTCCTGTAAAAACAATAAACAATACAATGACGTAAGAACCAGATAACAAATACGGCTAACCTGATGTTTACTCCTCATTTGACTCTGAAGATGACTACCGCTAAGGTTGTCGAAACGTCAGTCAACAACAACAAAAACAGTCTTTCTCAGGACTATACCAACCTGGACGATCTACATTTACAAACATGTCATGTAAACAATAGTAATATTCATATTGTGTTTATATGTGAACCGGACTGACCCACCTAGACGGGTCTCGCTTTTTGAAGCCAGGTTCCCGGCTAGGCGGACTGTGTATTTTCTCATATAAACGCAATAATCCGTACTGGCTCACTTACCCGAGCTGGAAAATTACATAAGGCGAATGCTATGCTATGGTGTTGAACGTGAATGTTGTTTATACACACACGTTGCGTTCAGTTAATAAGATGGCAGGATTAGCTTTGAAGAAAAAAACTTAAAAAAGCCAAGTCCAAACAATTTTGATGGGGGACTAGGATGATTGAAAACCTTATTAGTTGTCTGCAGCGCTATATTGACTCCACGCCTCTGTAGCATTATTTCTTTGTTTTTCAAAGATCTTTATTAAAATTACTAGACCGTGCAGTTGCATAATGGTGTTAAAAAAACCGAAAGTTGAATTGTTATCAAAGCAAATATACCCGAAACTACATTCGTACTACCCGCCATTTTGAAATCAAACTTCCCGCTAATTAGCAATCACTGCTAGGCGAGCGGAAAAATTTCCATGTAAACACGGGAGAAAAACATTTCAGCAAAGCGAGCCAGCCCGGGAGCCCGCTTTCACATAAACACCCCCTTAAAAACATAAAAAAATTGGCAGATTAATTTTACTATACAAATTATAGTATGTCCAAGTGCAAATAGGTTAGATTTCAACCATAACTTTTTGGTTGTCCTTTCTATACCAGGAAACTATTTTTTCATTGAAACATCCTCTCCCAGACAGCAAGGAGACAAAGCATGGTTGGTCAGTCAAAGTTTTTTTAACTCAAGAAAATGTCTCACATTTTACTATCATATGTATGGCAACGATATTGGATCCTTGAATGTGTACAGAAAAATCTACGGAAATAAATATTCAGCCTGGAGCAAAAGTGGTAATCAAGGCAATGCGTGGCTTAAAGCACAAGTATATGTGGATGGCATATATTATACCTATAAAGTACGTGATTTTATGTGTGATTTTAAGATATTTTATTGAGGTAGGCTAGATTAACAAACAACAGCTTCTGGTAGACTTTACAGAAGTTTTAAAGTAATCAAAGTAGAAATCAAAGAAGTTTTAAAGTAATCACCTCTCTTTATGAAGATATCAAGATATCAAACAAGGACTCTAGATCACAATCCCGCTGATAAAGAAATTATATTTGAGAAAATATCTAGCCAGGATCATGCCGCTACTGCAAAAAATACTGCAGAATACAGGAAATAAACCTATACTTAAGTATTATGATATTAGAGCTCATTCATTTTTTACAGATTATTATTGAAGGAGTCAGAGGATCTGGTTTTGAAGGAGATATTGCTGTGGATGATATTGAACTTAAAGGTGGATATTGTAATGTCCAGTCGACGACTCCCTTGTACAGTCTTACAACAGTACCAACATGGCAACGAACATGTGAGTAACAAAGTTTTATATTTTATAGTAATTAACGTTTTTTTTTGCAAAATTTCATGTTCACAGTAAATAGTTATAATTTGATGGTGCAATACAATTAGACAGTTTCTTGATTTTTATAGAATTGTTTTATTTTAATTTTTAGATGCACGAGGATGCACATTTCAATACGGTATGGGGACACGTAATTGTCCGTGGAGAAATGTTGCCTATGATGGTTACACTTATGATGATTTTGACTGGACTGTAGGCTCGGGTTCGATTAATCCTTACTACACAGGACCAGGGTTTGATAAAAATAATTCGGCATTTGGTAAATGTGTTTTCATTTTATATATTTGTACTTTATACAGAACAATGGTCTAAGGAAAAATTGTCATATTTATGAACATTTTACATTTTACATTTTCTTATTATCTGCAGTTCTTTACTTCCTTTTTTCATATGCTTTTGTCCATTATACCGACTACACTTACATTGCCTTGTTAAACCTATCAACCACTTTCAACAGCATTTCTTACCTCAACCAAAACCCTAAACATATTTAGCTTGATGATCTTAATATTTTGGCTTTGCGGTGAGTTCCGACGATGTTAGAGACAAAGTTTAACAGACCGGCTCTTATTGTTATTTTTTTATACTACAAAGCAAGCAGTCAACCACGCCTTCATTAAACATCCTCACAAATTTAAAAACCAAACACTTAAAACATAATTTTAGTTGTGAAGAGTTTTTTCCTGATTTCTTGATCTTATTCTATATACTCTCTTTCTTTAGGAAAATATGCGTACATGGAGGCATCCTCACAAAGAAGAGGGGACAAGGCCTGGCTAGTCAGTGATTATTTCAAGAGTTCGACCACTTGTTTTCGATTTTCATATTATAGTTACGACATATCAGGTGGTTTGTTGAAAGTTTATCAACAGATTCTGGGAAATACAAAAACATTGAAATGGACAGCAACCCCAAAAAGTAGAGCGTTTAAATGGTTTGACGTTAATATAACTCTGCCAAATACTGGATTTAACTCAGCGTACAGGGTGAGCTTCAAAACTATTACCATTTTTACTACTGTTTAATTGAACAATGATATTGTTTGAATTGCACTAAATGACCAACATTTTATTACAGATAATTGTTGAAGGTATCAAAGGATCAGGTTATTATGTAAACATTGCTGTTGATGAATTTACATTTACAACTGGAGCATGTGATTATGTATCATTGTACCCCACAACAGGTATGAGTATATTAAGCTACGTGAAAACTTTCTCGACATGTTGACTGAACATGCGCAGTAAAATAATTTTAAAGTAAAATTTACAGGGAGATCAATTTTAACCTGTTTGAGATTTTGTCGTACACCTGAAGGTTTTATGCTTCATGGTTCAGGGGGGGGGACATATCACAGTTTTTACGTATAAATGTCCACATAGATTTCATTATTACACCATTTAGTAAAGAAATGTAAGTATATCTGTAGATTTTACTTCTACTTGGAGTAAGCTTACTGTGAACCTTTTTTATATACATATTTATACTAATGTATTTAAGAAACAGTGTTCCAATCGATTTATAAAAACATGGGCTTTTTAACCATTCAACCAATTCTTTTCATGATTTTGAATTTAACATCTTACTTCTAATTAATGAATGGTAACAAAAGCTGGCTTTAATATATAAAAAGTTCTTATATTCTTCTATGACGGCTCTTATATTCCTACTCGTTGACTCTCATCTTGATTTCCTAACAGACAAAGGCGATAAATAGATGCTTGAACTTTGAAGTATTTTTCTTATTTTATGACACAGCTTGCGTGTCTAATGTTTACATATATTAATCCTAACACGGTTTAATATGCACATGAAAAACATGTGACTTGGACGAGATTTGAACTCGCACCTTCGGGATACCAGTCCGCCGCTCTACCTGTTGAGCTACTAAGCCCACAGGGATTGCAGACGAGTCAAACTTTTTTAAACTGCATATGGACGAGATATTCTCGCCACTAATAGCAGTTTACTGGATGGCACCGTGTTTCGACTTTATTCCAAAGCCATCATCAGAGTATATATATAATATATTAATCCTAACACGGTTTTAATAGGCACATGAAAAACATTTGACTTGGACGAGATTTGAACTCGCACCTTCGGGATACTAGTCCGCCGCTCTACCTGTTGAGCTACCAAGCCCACAGTGATTGGAGACGAGTCAAATCTCTTTTAAAACTGCATACGGACGAGATATTCTCGCCACTATAGCAGTTTACTGGATGGCACCGTGTTTCGACTTTCAACTTTTCCAAAGCGATCATAAGAGAATTTATATAATATATTAATCCTTGGTATCCCGAAGGTGAGGACAGGTATCCCGAAGGTGCGAGCTCAAATCTCGTCCAAGTCACATGTTTTTTATGTGCATATTAAAACCGTGCTAGGATTAATATATTATATAAATTCTCTGATGATGGCTTTGGAATAATGTTTACATTAAAGTGTGATTGTTTTTGTTCCAGTTTGCGATGATGGTATGACGGCATCTTGTCCATGGCATAATGAAAAAACAAGTGATGATTTTGATTGGTCGATTGGCAGAGGCAGTACATCAAGCTCCAATACTGGTCCAAGCACAGACTCAAAAGGATCAATTTATGGTAAATGTTGTTTCATTATTAGTCATTATTTAACACGAAAATTTGCTTAATTTAACCATCTATAGTAATTTTCGTCTATGAACAAATTAGCTTTAATTATGGGACATATATTATCTGTTACAAAAAGAAAGAAGCTTCAATAGAATTAATTGAAGTCTGTGTATATAAGAACAATATAATGCTTCATTTGACCTTAGTGAGTAATTTGATCATTACTGTATATTGCCAACCAAGTCGTTTCGTTATCATCCTTAAAAACAACAAAGGCTCGACTGGGGAGCGCGGGCTCGTTTTTACTTAGGATTATAGGGTAGGGTTTGGGTCAGCGTCCTAGGTGTCCGCTAAACTGCATGCAGTAGTCCCACAACAAAAAACTTGCTTATTGCGTTGAGTAAGTAAATTTAAGGATGTCCAAGGGCAGACACGTTATCCGACCGTTAGATATCAACCATTACCATTTGCTTGTCTTTTCAATTTATGGTCAATGTTAATTAGTTATTAGTCATTATTTTAAGCAAAAATTCGGTTAATTTCAAATCTATATCAGTTAATTTTCGTCAGAGAATAAATTGAACATATAGGACATATATTATCTGTTTATAAAAAGAACAAAGCTCCGAGGGAATTAATTTGAAGTCTGAGTATATGGCCTAGTTTTCACTAGACACAGAAGCGCAAGCAAAAAAAACAAAGCAAAGCATATTCTCCTGTTGTTAGAGGAAAAAAAAAGAAAAGGATTTTCTTTTCAATTTGCTTTTGTTCTACCTTATGCTTATGTCAAATTGCTGTGCTTATTCTTATGTTGATGCTTATGTCAGTGGCTTCATTGCTTTCATTTGTATTTTCTTTTATCTTTGTTTGTCCTTATGCTTATGTCGCTAGTGAAAACCAGGCTTAAGAACAATTCAAAGCTTCATTTGTTCCAAGGGAGTAATGTAACGGTAACTGTATTCTGCTAACCAATTTGCTATAACCTCTAAAAACATCAAAAACATGCCGATGCGTTGAGTATTTATATTTACGAAACTCCTAGCGCACAGAAAGGTTATATTCAGCCATCACTTTTTGCTTGTCTTTTCTACCAGGAAAGTATTTCTTCCTTGAAACGTCCTCTCCCAGACAGCAAGGAGACAAAGCATGGTTGGTCAGTCAAAGTTTTTCTTACTCAAGAAAATGTCTCACCTTTTACTATCATATGTATGGCAACGACATTGGATCCTTGAATGTGTACAGACAAGCTTATGGATATGACTATAAAGTCTGGAGCAAAAGTGGTAATCAGGGCAATACGTGGTTTAAAGCACAAGTAAACGTGGATGGCATATATTATACCTATAAAGTACGTGATTTTATATGCAAGATAAAGATTTTTCACCGACGTAAGCCATAGTATACGTTGATATACAATACAGAAATTTTTAAGTAATCAAAATACACCCCTCTTGATAAAAACGCCAAACAAGGGCTCAAAATCAGAGTCTTGGTCATAAAGACACTAAACTAAAAAAAATGTATAGTCAGGATCACGCATCTCCTGACAAAAACACAGGAAGATATACAGGGGAATAAATTCGTATTTTATTGTTATTATGATACCAAAGTTCATTAATATTTTTTCTTAGATTATTATTGAAGGAGTCAGAGGATCTGGTTTTACTGGAGATATTGCTGTGGATGATATACAACTTAAAAATGGATACTGTAATGTCCAGTCGACGACCCCCTTGTACAGTCTTACAACAGTACCACCATGGCAACGAACATGTGAGTAACAAAGCTTTTTCATTTTGTAGCAATTGCATGGAGATCCTTGACGCTTTTAGCATGCAAATGTCACGTTCACAGTAAATTTGTAAAAACTTACAGTTAATTGATAGTTTATTACAACTAAAAAGTTTCTTAATATTTTGGTACTGTTTTGTTTCAAATTTTAGATGCACGAGGATGTACTTTTCAAAATGGACTGGGAACAACAAATTGTCCATGGAGGAATATTAACTATGACGGATATACTTATGATGATTTTGACTGGACTGTAGGCTCGGGTTCGACTAATTCCTACTACACAGGACCTGCGTTTGATACATATAACTCTGCATTTGGTAAATTTTTTTCCTTAATTTATTACGTACTTTATAAAGTAAAGCGATCTGAAGAAATATTGTCCTTTCCATAAATAGCTTAGAGATTATGCCACTTCCGACTTCATCTCTCATGTCTCATCGTCAAAGATGCGAATACGATTATTTATGGCTAGTTAGTTAAACAATGACTTTGCATAAAATTAAATTGAACTTTCACCATAATCATATCTGGTTATTTCTATAACTCGAACATTGAGTTTCTGAAAAAGATTGTGATTCAGTGTCTGATTGGTATAATATCCATTGCAATCTACTTTTTTTTATCTCTGTTTTCCATTACTGGATACAGTTGTATTTTCTTGTTGAAGCAATCATCTCATTTTAAGACCAACATTCTTTTTCTCGACCAAAATCTTTCACACGTTTAGTTTGATGTTTTCAATGTTTGGGCTTTGCAGTGAGTTCTGACGACGCGAGGGGCAAAGTTTAACAGACAAGCTCTTATTGTCATTTTATAATTTTTATATAGCAAAACACGCCTTTATAGAACATCCTCATGATTTCAAAATGCAGACGCCTAAAATAACATTTTAGTTGTAAAAAGTTTTAATCATCTTTTCTTGATTTCATGATATAATTCATTTCCTCTTTTTTCTATAGGAAAATATGCGTATATGGAGGCATCCTCACAAAGAAGAGGGGATAAGGCTTGGCTAGTTAGTGATTACTTCAAGAGTTCGGCCACTTGTTTTCGATTTTCTTATTATATATACGACACATCAGGTGGTATGTTGAAAGTTTATCAGCAGATACTGGGAAGGACAAAAACATTACAATGGTCAGAAACGAACAGAAGTGGTGTGTTTAGATGGTTCGACGTCAGTATAACCCTTCCATATGCAGGATTCAATTCAGATTACCGGGTAAGCTTCAAAACTATTATCATTTTTGCTAATGTTTATTGAACAATACCCCTCATTGACTCATGATATAGTTTGAACTACACCAAATGATCAACATTTTATTACAGATAATTGTTGAAGGTATCAAAGGATCGGGTTATTACGTAAACATTGCCGTTGATGAATTTACATTTACAAGAGGAGCATGTACAGGTAAATATATTTGGTAATTCTAGCAGTGTGCTAGTAAGCTACATGCAAAGTCTGTCGACATGATGACTGAACATGGGCTTCACATTGTGAAGCGTTTCTTGAGTACTAACCAAGCAATGTGTGAAAACCCTCTCAACATGTTGAGCTTTACAATATTCTACAATGCTTAGTACGCTGCGTATATAAAGCTACATATATGGTTTAGGGGTTGTTTACCAGTTCATTTAAGTGCATTGCAAGGAGTCAAAATTTCAAGCGTAAAATTACAACTGTTTGAAGCACCACAAGTCATTCCTGTGATAATTCTCCAAGTAGGCCAATTAATTAAATGCAGATATGATCTTCGCACTTTTCTGGACAATTTAAGCAATTGTCTCATGAACCTGAAGAATTCAGGTGACTCAACGGGATTCTAACCCATGATCTCTGCGGTGCCGGTGCAGTGCTCTGACCAACTGAGCTATGAAGTCACACAGTGGTGAGCACGTCAATTTTGTTGGGCTCATGTTATCTCGTGAAAGGAATGTCATATGAAATAATGTTTTATGCAGTGCGGTGTTTGAAATTAAATGTAGATATGATCTTCGCACTAATGAACTCATCGTTTTATTATACTGCCAATTTCGGATTTTTTGTGAAGAAAGGTTCAACAAGCGTTGCGTTTCTTGTTTTCAAGTGTTGAAAAAGAAGTCATTGTAATAATTATAGAAGTGCGAAGATCATATCTACATTTAATTTCAAACACTGCACTGCATAAAACATTCTTTTACATGACATTCCTTTCACAAGATAACATCAGCCCAAAAAAATTGACCTGTTCACCACTGTGTGACTTCATAGCTCAGTTGGTCAGAGCACTGCACCGGCACCGCAGAGGTCATGGGTTCAAATCCTGTTGTGTAACCTGAATTTTTCAGGTTTATGAGACAATTGCTTAAATTGTCCAGCAAAATGCGACGATCATATCTTCATTTAATTTCAAACACCGCACTGCATAAAACATTTTTTCATAGGCCAATTAAATTGGTGTTTTTTATTTTAAATGTTTTGCTTATTTATAAAGTCAGAATATTGTGAAATTCCTCGAGAAGATTTATCAGATGATAAGTATTGAATCATTTCCATTTGCCAAAATCATTTAAAAAAACGAATAATATTTATATCGATAAATCATTGCAATAAACTACACACTTGCTTAAATGAAATTCATAAATGTAAGAAAACGAAATTTTTTGAAAAAAGAGCTAGACCATAATATCTATCCAAAATCAAAAAGGCCTTCTTATCACATCTGCATAGATTAATATAGTTAGCTTCGGTAAATGTTTTTACTTAAACAAAGACGAACAAAGCGATTACAGAAACAGTTTATTTTAATTGCTTTTATTGTGTTTGCAGTAAAATTTAAATTTTTATATAGCCTCTAGCAAATCACATTCCTCACGAAACATTGCAATCATATCGGGAGCAATTGGTGGTCTTGTTCTTCTACTTATTATTGGTATGGTTATCATTTATTACGTACGTCAGAAGAACAGAAAAAGAAACTCAACCAGCTCCACCACTCAACCTGGAAGTGCTCAGAATCCGACTTATCAAACCAATCAACATGGCAGTCCGCAGAATCCGACTTATTCAAGCAATCAACAAAATACTATGACAGGCATACCGCCACCAAGTTACGAAAGCGTTTGTAACACATTGCCTTTTTACATCCACGCTACTCCTGGTTTTACTAATCATGGTGCTATTCCCCACTTGGTACCAGCTGCAAATTCAGGGCAAAACGTATATACTGTACCGATGAGCACAATTGTCCCTGGTGACAATCGCAATCCAAATCCAAATCCTGGAGAGATTGTGGGAAATGTGCCCACCTCTAATGCACCTGTAGAAAATGTTGTCACAGGAGGGAACGTTTACTAGTCCAATGCAACAATAGTCTGTCGAGGACAAAAGGGACTTTGATTTTATTTTGAAATCTGATGAAAGTATAAATAAAAGACTTTTATCATTGTTTGTAGTACAAGCCTTGTGTTTTTAAAAACACTTAACTAGTGCATGTTAAATAACTCAATTTTATTTATATATCAAACATTGTTATTCTGATAAAATATCCTCCATAGAATGGAGAAAATATCGTTTGATAAGTTCTGCACAGATAAATATAATTTTCTTGATTCGTTTTTGCTACAGAAACTGCAGTTGTATGTAAGCAATGTATATGCATTATCAAGAAATAATGTTGTAACTAATGACTTATCACACACAAGTTGTTGAAACTATAAAATCTACACTTAAATAAATGCATGTGTATGCGGCAATTAGTCATTTTGTCGTGATGAAATAATTAGTGTCTACAATGCTTGTTAACTTTTAAAATAGAAATAACTTTCATTTGCAATTCAATTTGTAATTTTGGTTGGTAAATATACTTCAGTAAGCTAAAATTAACACGCTTTCCAATTGAGTTAAAAATAGCAGTGAGCAATAACTCTCGCTATTTATATCCATTGTTCTTTATTGTACTTTAAACCAATCATATACTACTCTGAACATTTAGAATAACAATAACTTTTTTGCTCACTATCTGATGGATATTTGTCGAATGAGGATGTCTAGCAGTAGAAGTCAAGAATTTGCTGTGCTGATGAAAACGTTTGAGTGAGTTCTTTGTGGCGAGGTTAACCCAAATTATAAGGACTCAGCGTACATCATTGATACCAATTTGCTAGGAGAAGTCTTTATACTTCTTCTGATTGGTGGAAGGGAAGTTGTGTCGAGACTAGAAAAGGTAGCTTAATACATAGTGATGATTGATGAAACATTAGAAAAATCCTTGCGTAGAATCGTGTATATTTGCCAGTAATACCTAGATGACAATTCTGAAGAAATGTGGTGGTACGTTGTCGTTAAGGTAAATGAAACAGACTCAGCGTAAAAGACAGACTGCCTAGAAAAGTTTATTCCACGGACTTTTATTGATTAAATAGAAGCCGTATCAAGCTTAAAGGAGGGTAGGTAATACAGTAATAAATAATGAATCATTTGGAAAATTCTTACGTGAAATCGTGGATATTAGACGGTAACACCTTAATCACAATGGTGTGTTAGATATTCTTGAATATTATCGAAGTCAGTTAAGAAACTGCTCAAAATGGACACCTCAATGAAATTTTAATGTTGTAAAAGCTTTAAAAAAATTTTTTAATAGATTTTCATTTGCCTACTGTTAAGAGTCAGTACAAGGAGTCGCGACTCATTTTGTGATATGAATTGCACCTTTTTAAGTCCTGATAATGCAGTTTTTAGGTGGAGTAAGAGTTTTAAAAACATTCTGTACAAGTCACATCATCTGGGAGACCAGGACTATTTAAGACAAACTAGATCATGAGCAAATTGATTTTTTTATTTGTTTTTATTGTTTTTACAATAAAATTTTAATAAGTTTGCAACAAATCACGATCGACAAGAAACATTGAAATTATATTGGGAGGAATTGGTGCTGTTGTTCTTCTACTAATTTTTGGTATGGTTATCATTTTTTATATACGTCAGAAAAGCAGACAGAGAAACTCAACCAGCTCCACCTCTCAACCTGGAAGTGTTCAGAATACAACTTATTTAACCAATCAAACTGCTGGCAGTCTTGAGAATCTGAATTATTCAACCAATAAACAAAATACTATGACAGATACACTTCCTTCTAGTCCCGTAACCTTGTGTAACGTACCACCATTTTACTCACCAGCTACTCGTGGTTTTGCGAGAGGTAATGTTCTTCCAAACATTGTGCCAGCTACAAATCCCGAGCAAAACAATGAGCTGACGAGCACAATTTTTTCTGCTGACAATCCTAATTCGAATTCAAATCCTGAAGAGATTGTGCGTGATGTGCCCGCTACTATTGAAACTGTAGAAAATTTTGGCGAAAGATAAAACGTTTCCGAATCCGATGCAACAATAATTGGTGAAGGGCAATTGGTGATTTTGAGTTTAGTGTGATTTGAGTATGAATTTGATAAAAATACAAACATAAAACTATCATTGTTTGCAGTCCAAGCATTTGTAAAAACTTTTTTATCGATTCATGCTAATATTTCATAATTATGTATCATATAACTGTTTTTTTTATAAAATGCCCTCTGTGGAAAAGAGTTAGATAGCATTATTAAATATGCAGGCTGGTTACGCCACTGGTCTTATTTGTCATCTGGACGAATTATCTGCTGAAGTAAGGATTGCTAAATACCACTTGTATAGGCGGTTGCTATATACACATCTTGCAACAGTGTTGTACGTTTTACTGACTCGACTACAAAAACTTTGACATGAAATAGACACTTTGTCGTCTTGGCAAATACAATGGTGAATGGTCAAAATAATAACAAAATAATTCTTATAAAAACTGTTCAAAACCCGAACACTAACCCAATACTTCAAAAAGAACTGTTGTAAAGCTGAAAGACATGATGCATTTCGAAGACTACTTATCAGGTGTCAATTTGTGTTAAATGGGTACTTAAAAATCATACGATATTTATAAATTATAATGGTAAGAAAAAGTTAACACAATCTTTAATTGGGAGATATTGCAACTGAAAATGTTGAATTTTCAGTTTGATTTGCAATTTCCATTGGAAAAAAAACGAAGAACTTAATTATTGATAATATGAATGTGCTTTACGACTGGGTTAAAATAACAACATTACTGTAATTTGAACCAATCATATACTCTAATCATGTAGGTGTTAGTGATGAAGTATTTTTGAACAAGTCGCTTTGTATTATTTGATTCATATTTGTCG